TTTTTTTAAATTCTCAGATTAAGCATTAAATAAGTTGAATATTTCCCTAGAAACAGCTATTCTGGCATCTTGTCCAATCCATTTTTTCAGTCCCTTCTTAGGTTGTTAGAGATTATAATCCCTGAATGTGATCGGAAGTTCTCTTTTTAATTAGTTTGAGTTGTTCCAGATTTCATTAATAATTATGTGGAAATAGTTTTATTGGTAAAGGAAGAAACTTAAGTATAAACTTGTTAGATTTAAACAACTGGATTAGTGGTAATAAGTGTTATAAATTTAAAATTTGTTTTTTAGCGGTCGAACAGAATATCAAAGTATCGAAGAAATGCGAAGACGAGCCCGCGTGGAACGGACTTTTCTAAGGTAAAAGTTTTCTATTTTGCCGCCGAAGTGAAGCTGTTTTCGAGTAATTAACTTAATTATTCCTTCGTATAGAAAAATTTTCTCTATCTTCCTGTGTTGTTCGGCAAAGAGAAATTAATTGCTCTTTATAAACATTGAATTCCTTTGAATTCTATTCCTGTCTGATAATTTTAGTCCTCATGACAATAATAAAAATGTTCAATTTACTTGCATTAAATTAATAAACTAATTAATTAGTTTAATTAACCAGTAAAACTGTACTGCTTTGTATTTTTTAAGTTAAACAAAACATATTCTTTTGAGTTATGTCTTGAGTAGAAATAAGTACTTTTGTTATGCAAAATAAATATCTCATGATAGAAAGAATAATTTTAAAAGATTCTTTTCCAAACAAAATGTTGCAGTTTTCAAACCTTTAGGCACTCCATACGGGGGTCACGAGCTACAGTGAACGGGTCTTTGATCAGTGCTCAAAATCGCGTGGCCTCCTTGTCTGATACCACTTCTCGGATTTTCTGGTATTTTACCTATTCTGACTTTTGTCATGTAATTAAAATCTTCGCAAAAATGAGTTTGTCTTAAAAGCCGTGTTGAAATCCAGTTTAGTGTTGCGGGTATTATGCTCTGCAAACCAAAAAATTACTTTCCACGAAATAAAGTTATATATTTCATAGTTTTTGTTGGAAAATATCAGAATTTCTATCTGTGTATTGATTGTCAGTTTTTTAAAGTCAGTGATTTAAGTCCAAGTATTGTTTATTTATGGAATAATCTAGATGTGATTACGGAAAATTGGTTTGCGCTTACTAGTTTTTGCATTGTAATTGGATTACACCTTGACGAGTGTAGCATGAAAGTGAAGCCAAATTGCAAATCGTATACTGAATAGAGATTAATTCGCGTGTTGAGAGTTGTTCAGTTTCAGTGCACGTCACTTTCTGCAACTTTAGTTGCTGATGCAACTATTTATTCCAAGTGCTTTTCTTGTGTTTAATTCACATATTTCTCTCTTATTAATAATTCCATACTCAGTTCATTTGAAAAGGAAATTTAATGTGCTATAGGTCAACTGATGTTGTATCTCAAGTCTTATAGTAAAGTTTTCCTAAAGTTGGTAAGATTTTAGTAATTGTTATGATAATTCATAGACGTATTGATGTTGAAGGAAAGCTTGCGAGAGATTACTTTCTTATCTGTGCTTCTTACAGTGCTTTTGTTTTTTGTAGACACTCAAGATTCTGTGTCCCTAAATGGCTTAGTAGATGTCTCAGATGTTTTGCCATGACTGCGGTGACCTCAAGTCTTGGAATCATTGGTAAGAGTTGATTCAAACGCAGATATTCATAGTTCTTAGTACTTAGCATTGAACAATATTTCTGACAATTTTTTTAGTTCTTTGCTTCCAGATTTCTTACATACGGTAACTGTTTTGATTTTAAATTAATCATTCAGTTCTTCATTAGTAACTCGAGTATTTACTATTGCATAATTGATAGATTGCTCTACAAATTCTGAATTCAAATTAGCAGATGTGAAATTTACAGTGTTGCAGACTGCATGCGTCGTGCAGTATTCACTTTGATAACATGAAATAGTGAACTCTCTGTTGACTTGTGTTTTTTGGAGCTTTTTGTTTTCCGTTAAAGAAACTGTACTTATTATGTGAGATATTGGAACAGTTTCTTCTACAAATACAAGGAGAAAATGGTATTTTGTTTGCAAACAAAACTGTATCGGAAGAGGAGCAGAAAAATTTGTTGTGACACAATAGAAGTTGTGTGGTTAGTAATGCCTTTTATTTTCTACCATCTGTTCCTTTTTTTGCTTGAAATTTTGCGTAAAAATTAAATTAAGTTACACTTTCCTATGGCTACTTTTTATTCCTAATACATCTTCATGCAATGATCTTATTATCCTTTTCACTCTAAGGAAATTTTTTCATGCATGATTTTTTTCAAACAAGAATTAGTATTGAACGGACTTATGACTATTGATGACCTTTCTGTGGTCATTTTTTGTACCTCATTTTCAGCCGATTGCTGTAAATGAACTAATTTTTGTCTATTTTTTGCAATAATTTCATATAGTTCATTACGTTTATGTGATACAGTTTATGCAGTTTTCATGTGGAATCTTTAATTCACTGATAACTTATAATAGTAGATTAGCTCACAGAAAGTGAATATAATTACTTGATCAGCTTGCATGGTCGAATTATACATACGTGAGTAATTGACACTTGTTTTATTTTAAAAATTATGCAGTTATTTCTATTAGTCCCATAAGCACGTACGTATGATGACGACATTAAGGAAATAGGTATTAATAAAAAGTATGACTCTGAGCGTTTTTTGTCAAGTGCATTCACATTGGAGCAGTATTGCAATTTGTCATAATGACTATTATTATAAGTAATAATCTAGTATTATTTCAATTGTTATTATTAATGTTAGCGTTATACTTATCGTTGCCACCGGCTAATTTTGTTGATACTAAATTCAAACTATTTTGTTAGTCTTCTTGCCCCTCCGATTCTTGTTTTCTTATGCGTTCTGCTATCTCTCTTCTTGTCATTTTTCTATCAAAAGAATTTGTTGTCATGAGCGGAAAAGCAAATTTTTGTGTTGAAATGTAAGAAGATGTAAGAAATTGCTGGCGAAGGTCATATCCACTCATTCCTCGCGAGACCAATGTGATTCTTATCGAGAATCGCTCTCGAAATTATGTTCATTGATATCAACATTACAATCTGAATTTTGAATTCCCATCTCGCATATTTTCCCATACCTTTCTGCTCATCAATATGACTACATGGTCATATTATAGTATCGCTAATATTTGAAAAATAAAAATCATTAGCACTAGAAAATTATATTGTTTTAAATTTCGTTTTTAATTTATTCAACTGTCATTTTATACATACATTTTAATGCAGCATCAATTGTCATCCAACCGCTCTAATGAGATTTTTATTTTTTACATTATTTATTGTGCTTCGTTAAAATATTTACGCTCAGTCTATAGTATTAAGTGACATAAAATTGACTTCTTTTTGCTTAGACATATGCAAATTTATTTTGAGTCTTATTTGAAATTATGTTTCCTATTGGCGAAGCAGATAACTGCGTAGAAATAAAAAACTGTCATTTGCAAGTTTTGTGGAAACTTTTGAAATTAATAGATTTGTATACCTTTAGATCAGTTAGTAAAAGATCTCGTAACCCATGGATAAGTTTTTCAGATTTATGTAGTGCTGAAGGTCATTTATATCCATTTTTGACCTTTCTTCCGAAATTCTTTGCTCTTTGTTTTTTTGCTTGCAAAAGATGGAATGAGATTTAAAATAATGGATGGACTATTGAGAGAAACAAAGTATCATTTTCTCCGTCAAATTACTTCATTACCTTTCTTAATTAATTTAATCTGAAACTACGTCAATTGAAATACTTGCAACATTATCAGAAATATCTTCTTGCTTTTGAACTATTAAGCATCCATTTTGTCCTTTAGATAATTTGTATTTCATGCAGTTCACTGTAGTTAAACCATCGAGTATTGTATGCTCACGAATCATAGGGCTTATATGTGTAAAGTTATCAGTTATCAGTTGTTTGAAGACTAGTTTTCCTTGAAAAGAGGTCAAATTAACGTATCATTTCTTCTATACCTTTGCAGTCTCATTCATGGCTACAAAAGCACAAATGTGGTGTGTAAGGCACTACAGTACGCTAAAATTTGTGGAAATTTTTGTCTCAAACTCTTTTTTCAAACTAATAATTTTTTATCGATTGGTCAGCTGATTATTTAGCTACTTTAATAGATTGATAAATGGGTAAATTTTCTACTAAAGTTGAAAAAGCGTAAGTTTCAGTGATAATTTTTCGGCCATTTGGTGCGAACTTCCTCTATTCTTAGCTTTTGAAGAAGAATCGAAAATTTGCATAAATCCTGGGAGAAATGTCATCATCAGCCAATACCGAATGGATGTTTTCTAAAGCATGTTGTAGATTCCACTGGTGTCTTCTGGATTCTCGGCATTATGGGGATGGTGGTAGCAATTCGAACAATAATAGCAATTATAAATTGTTTGTTACATATAATTTCCTACGAGCAAATTTTAAAATGATTTAAGGCTAATGAATAGTTCTTTCTGTGTGACATGTGTAAAATTCATACCTTACATATATCAAACGAGCATGATTAGTTGCAAATTATGCGAATGCAAGTTCATGGAGTCATTTCTAGCAAAAGAAAATGAAAACTGAATATCCCTTAATGCATCCATAAAAGTGATTCTTCTGAGCTAACTTTTGTATTAAGTAATTATTATTTCTTATTATCTCTACTTCATGCAGTATATTATTTTGTTAAAGAAAGGTGGTTAATATTACTATTGTCACCCAAGCATCGAAATCTTCTGAAAATAAAGGCATGACTTCAGACAATAAATTTTTCTTTCACTCAGCACAAGTATTATTCATCGAGTTTCTTTTTAAATTAGGACACTTAATTGGAAATAAATTATCAGTAATTAACAAACTCATTGGTGCTCAACATTCAATTGGGAATTTATGGCAACATTTGTCTTAATGTTTTTGTTTTATTACTATTGACCTGCCCGTGCTGAAAGGCATATCAAAACGTTAGTAAATTGATCATTTCTCGAAAAATTATTAATAAGTATAAATTGAGACAAATAATACAATTTTTATGCTGAAACAAATGAAATAACGAGTTCAATTAATTGTACAGAACACTTTGTTGATGCGCAAAATCACTGGGTAATTTGTGCCGTTGTGTTTCATGCATGCATTTTTGCGTGTATGTGCTTGCGTAGTTAATGCAAGTGTGTGTATCTGTGTGTGTGTGTATGTGTGTATGTGAGTGTGCAACTATAATAAATGCTTCAGCATATGTTTATTGGCTGACAAGAAGAGAAAGAAAAAAGCCACGCAAGAGAAGGATGCTTTCCTTTTGTGGGCAGTTATTCTGCTTGAAAATGTGCCGATGCGCTGTAGACTCTTTTATTCCTTAATTTTCACTGCATGCTTACTTCACTATAGCACTAGAATAGTCTATATACTTCATTATCATTTCTGACAAAGTGGGGATTCATGCTTGAGTTCTACCTCTAAAGATTTATAGTGCTGAAAGCGATGAAATCAGAAAGTGAAGGTAAGAATCGGATTTATTCAAGTTTTAGCACGATTAGAAGTCCTATTACTCTGGTAACTTTGAACCTCTATAATTTTCCATTTGCAATTAGCATAAACTCATTCCAAGAGTTCCGGAAGCATTGCAGCTTTCGCTGGTGTTTCTTGACTGATGTTAAAATTTGCTGTCGGTTTGTGGGCTATCGATTTATACGGCTCAAAATACTCTGTGTCTCGATCTCGGTAATCATTTCTTCCTAACTTTATCTATATTTGATTTGACTTTCCATTATTATTATTATTTGATTTTCTATCATTATCAAATCACTTTACAATTTTCATGAGGAAAGAATTGACTGGATTGCTCGTCATTTCAATTAGAACTTGATTAAATATTTAATCCTTATTGCTTGTTTGTTTATAGTTTAATGACTGAAAGCTTTACGTCTGCATTTTTGTTATTACAATTTTCGTAAAAAACTTCTTGTTGCAACAAAAAACTTTTTTTGTTATTAGTCAGGCTTTGATAAATGATTTTAACAGAACATGATTATAAGCTCTGCTTGTTCAAAAATAACTTCATAAAGTTGTTTTTGCATTTCATCTTTCTTTAAAACCGTTACTTTTTTAGTGACCATAAATTTCGGAGTTTTAAGAAGCAATTGATTAAATCAGCTATGAAATTTAAATAAAAATCTGCTATTTTGAATTAAATTTAACACTTCAAAATTGAAATTTCTAGTTTTCTTTTGAGTGATAGCTCGAAGGTTTATAATCCTTTCATTTCCATCCTGAGATATTTTTGCTAGCTAAAATCTAATATAAATAATTGTTTGTTTATGAAAATTGTGATGGACATCGGTATTAATTGCAGTGACCGCAACTTGCTATAAGGTCATTCATTCATTATGTAAACAATATTTGTTCAAATCCAAAATTTTGCTAACTTTAAAACAGACACTTTGTTCTTTCAGTCATTTACACTATTTTTCAATGTTCGTTCATTTCCTGGAATTCCGAACTCTGTGAAAAATGAAAATAAAAATTTTAGTGTAAAATAGACAAAGTTTATGTTCTTTTCCTGCAAACCTGAAACTTAAAAGATTCACATGACTGATTAGAATGGCAGAAGAAGTCAGTCTGTTTTCCATCTTTTCTTATCATGACTTCTACTTTTCTTATCAGTTTATTTGCTATCATTTTTTATTTTATGCTATGACAGAAACAGTTATTTGATGATGAGCAGTGCTCAGTGTTGAACTTGAAATATTTGCTGTTCCGTTAAAGTATAGAGCATCGGAAACTAGCGCATATAAGTGAGTCATGAAATAGTCAAGGATTCGTTTTATAATTTCTTGTTCAAAAATAACGTGGTTTTATATTTTTGTATTTTTTTGAAAGGTTATTTTGGTTTAAAAGTAAAATCTTTCTAACTTTATCAATTCGGTCTATGAGAAGTTTCATAAAGAAAAGGGACGTAAATAAATGGTTATGTAAGTAGTCCAAGATTCAATTTTGTTTATCTGAAAAAAATTTCATGGTTGGTTCAATTGTATTCGATCATTGGTGGAATATGGCCAGTATGAAAGAAATAACTGAAACTTGTTGAGCTAACGTAGAGAAATGAGGAATTATGCTTGTAAAAGAATACTGGTACAAAATATGATTGAGATTGAGATGCGAATGACATGTTTGGTCTTTTACTTTTTTCGTCATCCCCTGAAGATTCTTTTTTCTGATTCTCATTTGTTTTATAATTTACTCGTGCAAAGTAACCGTACGTATGTTTTCAGTGAGACTGCTCCAAATTCATCTGCATATTGCGTTTCGCCCACACAGCGGGAGGCTTCAACACTTGTCTCGGAAGTTATTGCCACATCGAAAGCTATCGTCGTTCCACCTGTGAGTAGTTGCTCGTCGTTAGCACCTCAGTCCAACATTGTCAATCATCGAGAAACTATCTTTGGAGTTGATGATGAATGTTGGCAGTTGAGTAGTACATCTAATATGCTTTCCAGTGGAAATATGCAATTAGTCAGTTTTTTCTGCAGAAATTTGAAACTAAATTGAGTTTATACATTATTAATTATTCATTCATTTTACTTTTCATATGTTTGAACCGCATCCAACTGATCACTTTTTGCATGTCTTAGCCAAATGAATAAGCTTTATGAGTCAGATATATGCAATTTCAAATTAGAATCACATATTTCATTGCAATCAGTTTTCGTTGAGGAGTTTTATTCTTGCATGAGTTGTTGACATGAATTTGGCATGTGAAAGTACCTAAACTTCGTAAGAATAGAAAAAATAAAGGTGCTTCTGTCACTTACCGTAGTGTCAAAAACTAACATACAAGCTTCTTTTCGCTTTAATCGTTCTCTAATTCTTTCTCCTAGAATGCATTTTTTCATTTTTTAAACTAGTTGAATGTAAAAGTTTCTTGATTACTATACCGGATCATTTTATAATCGTAGGTAGAGCTAGCCAGAACGATAAATAATAATAATAATGAATTCCCATCAGTCTTGATACTGTAAGTGATTATTATGATAATCTTAGGATACCTTAAACAGATGTGGTTTATATTTATGGATTTAGGCAGCTTGTTCTTATGCATTAGTTTCTCTCGATGCTGTTTCTTGCATCAATTGTAAGTGTTATGATTTTTCGATTGCAAGAAGAGTAATTATAGAAGATCTAATTGAAGAATTATATCAAAAAATGTGGATGAAAAAAGGCGAAGAGTATTTCGGTTTTTTTTAATTCCAACATTTTTCAAGTTTTTGTGGAAATTTGTAATTCAAAAAAAATATAATTTAATGTCATGAATAAACAAAATAAAAGACAGCATGCCACTTTTTAAAAAATATGGCATAAAAATTCAATTCATTGAATGGATTTCTGAGAGTTTTCTTCAGTTTTTCATGACCAAACTAATAAAATTAGCTTGCTTTCATTCCTCACCTTTAGATGCCTTTGTTGAAATTCAAAGTTCATGCTGGAAAATTATTGCTTTCAGGCAAGTGTTTCCAACGCAGTTTCAGCATTACCTTCTGCAACAGCGGCTCATCGTCTCGTTTCTACCAATAGCCATTATCCAGCGGTCTATCGAAAAAACACCTTAAGCTGTACGTCAAGTGTACCAGTAACGAATGGTTTCGCAAGCGGTTCAACTGTCAATCGATTCATACCAAACGGTTCTATTTCCGGATCTCCTCTGCGAGCTCATTCACCTCGAACTGTACCAAATGGTAAATCACAAAATGCCGGTAGTTCGCCTCGTTCTTCTCTTGCTAGGTAAGTACTCATTTGATGGACTGATATTTTACCTCAACAAAAAAGCATGAAGTTCAGACTTATTTTCAGCTCTATTGTTACAATCAAAGTAATTGATGAAATAAAAATTATCTGGAACTTAATTGCTCTGTTTACGCTGTTTCTTTTGCACGTAGATCACGTATTTTGTGCAGCTCGATATTACTTTTGTACGTACTGTATAGTTATCCTTGCATCACATATTTTGTTAGATGTATTAAAGATTTGACAAAATGAGTTTTTGAAGGTAGTTTTGATCTCTGTGCGATGGTAACTGTCAAAGATTGAATTTATTTCAGTTATTCTTCGTATAGTTCAATGGTCAATCAGACGAGTGCGTATAGTCCGACATACGTCAGGCGATCTCCTCGACAGGTTATTATCTTCTGTTTCGTTTGAATTCAAATTCCCGTCTTGTTGTTTTCTCATATACATTGCAGTATCTTATGACAACTAAGTTTTTTGTTTTCAAGATGTCAGCCTTATGAAGCAAAATGTCACGGGTCATATAATTATCAAAATAGAATAAATTAGCTGCTGTTTTTGCATGAATCATAAAAGTAATACTTGGACAAAGTTCAATTTTTTTTAATTGAAGAATTTTTAAAATTTTTCTCATGAAATCTAGTAGCTTAATAATCAGATAATCACAAAAATAAAACTAGAAATTGGTCTCGAAAAGTTTGTTTGCTGATGGAAAAAGATGGAAATTTTTTGGAATTTATTTTCTATATGCAATCCGTATGTCATGAACTTCTGATTATTTTGAATGAATTATTTTTTGATAACGTCTATTTTGATTAAAGATTGCTTCTGGTGTGCAACATCACAAAAGCAAGATGTATACTAAAGTTATAAAAATATAATAAAGTTGTATACTTTTTGTGTTGCAGTCATGTGATATTGAGGATCAAAAATTACGACCGTAAGGTAAATATTTTTTGTAGTCATCATCTCCGATCAATGAGGATTGTTTAGTAGTAATTCACATGCGTGCAGACCTACAAGGACGATACGGGTTTAACGTAAAAGGTGGCGCAGATCAAAATCATCCTGTGATTGTAAGTCAGGTTGCTCCAGGCAGCTGTGCCGATAGATGTAATCCGAGGCTGAATGAAGGCGATCAAGTAAATAATTCTCTGCTTGCTTGCACGATTGATATATTTGCTATTGGAATGTCATGAACTCATAATAATTTTGAATAAATTATTGTTTTAGTTTTCCCTATTTTAATTAAATTGCTTTTGGTGAATGAAAATTGGCAAATTTTTTGTTCGTTAGATGCAGGGGAGATGGCCTCTTTCATTTGTGTAGATCATACATGTTTACAGGTGCTCCTAATTAATGGTATGGATATAACTTCGATGACACACGAACAGGTTGTTCATTTTATCCGTGCCACACGTGATTCGAATGAAGGAGAACTCGTACTTACTATCAGGCCAAATGGTATATAAACTTTTAGCTCTCAAATTAACTTAAAAAATTCTAGTCGATATGACTGCTTTTTTTCATACTGCTTTTACAGTATATCGCTGTGGTGGTGATATCGAAGAAACAGATGGTTTGCATATACCCGAAGTGATGCATGTGGCGGAAACGGTGCCGTGGTCTGATAAACTTTCACAGTCTCTTATTATGCTGAAAGAATCACTCTCATCTGGGAAAATTGCCTCGCAGTTTGAGGTCTAATATATAACTTGCATCTTTGTTTCGTATGGTTCACATTTGGAATTAGTAGTTCACTTTATTATTTCACAAAAGGGACTCAGAAACTAAAAAGTATTCATTACTTAAAGAACGTATAAGAAAGGCAAATTTTTAATCCGGCTTGAAATCAAGTACTCTTTCAATCTAAAAAGCCTCAAAATGTCAAGGTGGTAAACAAAATTGATAAATTAGTACTACAAAAAAATTGACTTCGTGTATTCGTGTAAACTAGATTAATAAGGCCAGATTTGCATATATTTATTTAACCAGAAATTAGAATAATGCATACATCTTCCTTATTATGATTGAATTAAATATGAGTTTTTTTGTAGCAGTTGTATCGGAAGAAGCCAGGCTTATCCATGGATGATTGCAAGCTATCATCAAATATTAACAAAAACCGATATCGAGATGTTTGCCCTTATGATTGTACTCGTGTAAAGATTATTTCTCCAACTGGTGATTATATTAATGCATCTTATGTTAATGTAAGTCATTTGGCATAATCACAGTCTTTTCGAAGTCTGTTAAAATTATGTTGAAAAGTTATCCAAGTGCGCTAGAACTTCATTTGTTTATTTACTCAAAATTTTACTTTACAAAAAATTACTACAATCAAGTGAAGGTTTGTGGTGACCAATTTCCCACTTTCAGTGACATGCTTTTGCAACAATATTGAGTTTATGATATTTTCTATATTGATTACATGTTTCGATAAGTTAATGCTTAATATACGTTCACTTTATTTTCAATATCAAAACACCCTTAACAACTGGAATTTCATATATAGAAATGCTACTTCGAAGCAGTGAAGTGATGCAATATTTGCAGATGGAAATTCCATCCAGTGGAATTGTAAATCGTTACATTGCTGCACAAGGGCCTCTTGCGCATACTTCTGGTGATTTCTGGTATATGGTCTGGGAGCAGCTCTCTACCACAATTGTCATGCTCACTACTACCGTTGAGCGAGGTCGAATCAAGTGCCATCAGTACTGGCCTAGACTTTATGGAAGTCATGATTATGGTCGCTTACAAATTTCGTGTATTAGCGAACGGGAAACTATCAGCTGTGTTTATCGAGAAATATCAATCAAAGACAAAACAGTAACGCTTTAAATTAGTTTTATACTCTTCCATGTGCGATACTTGTTATTTGGTTATATATTTATCCACCTGATTAGATGGAATGAAAAGTACTGAATAAATATGCTAATGTGTGGTCATTGACATAATTGGAAGTTTTATAGACGAAAGAAGAAAGGCGGGTAAGTCAAATGCAGTACACAGCATGGCCTGATCATGGTGTGCCTGATAACCCAAAGCATTTCATCGAATTCGTTGATGAGGTAAGTTTGCCTTAGTTTTCTAATTTTGTATGCCATAAATTAGATTTTGAGTTCAATTTCCTCTTGGTCGAATAAAAGTTGTTAGAGATTTTCTTAGGTTCGCCTTGCTCGAGCTGGATCGGTTGATCCTATCGTTGTCCACTGCAGTGCCGGAATCGGACGTACAGGTGTCTTAATTCTGATGGAAACAGCTGCATGTTTGGTAGAAGCTAACGAACCTGTTTATCCTCTCGATATTGTCCGTGCAATGCGTGATCAACGTGCTATGCTCATACAAACATCGGTTTCTTTTTATTCTCCGTTAAATCTTATAAAAAGAACCAAGTTGTTGACTTTTTAAACAGAGTAATTAGTGGTAGTCAGACTACCACTAATTACTCTGTTTAAAAAGTAAATTCCTTCTGAAAATTGATAATTATTAGAAATTTGAAGGACATTGTTGTATTATGAGAACATAAATTAGTTGATGGATATTGAATGTTGTTGTGACAGTATATCGAAATGGCAAGTTACTGGATGGTTTATTTTGTGATATTGAGAGCTGAATATGAAACATATTCACAATAATAAGTGGTGGTATATGTGACGTGGTACGCAAGATAATGAATGGCTTAAATTTCAGGGTCAGTATACATTTGTATGTGAATGCATATTGCGTGCTTATCATGACGGTTATATTAAGCCACTGGCAGAGTATTGCATGCGGTAACTGTCTTCTTTTGTAACAAACGACCTATCAAGGTCTTCCGTACATGAGAATGTGGTAACCAGTGTGTACAGCTAAATATTTCATTCCCAACCAATTTATCACCAAATAATATGCATATTTCTGCATGACTTCAACTGATGACCCAACTCATTGCAAATGATACTGTTTTCACAAACTAAATTGTTATTCCACTTCTACTTCAATATTACGCAGTTCAAAGTTGACTTATCTGCTACAAATACTGATTATCTACCTTAAGGCTATGTCAGCTTGCATCAATATTGGTCTTGTTGCACTGTTTGTTTGTTTCTGACATTGTTCATGCTTGATTCTCTCTACTCTCAATTGTTTCGCTAGAGATGTCTCAAGTTAAGTACCAATAACTTTATGTAACCCCATACTATGCATATCAACAAAAATAAAAGCTACCTTGTAACTACTGAAAACAAAAGTACTCTCAAGCATCTTTCAAGCAATATTTTGGGCATGGTCTCACAGTTGTTAACACTGGCAAATGCACTGAACTCACATAGTTCTTTCCGTTTCCAGAAACTCATTGCAGGACTTTACAATTTATATGTACAAATTCTATTGACTATCATCACTTTTTTACAGAAGAAACAGCATTTGATCATGAATTAACTTTTGAGAACAACACAGACTATCAAATAAACACCACAATTTTAAATAGCATCCGTGCTTCTGTAGCACCTCTGAAAAACATCAAAATTCGGAGAATAAGTGTAAAAATGAGACAATAGTAACTGTTTTTAAAACAGTCGTTTTCTCAACATATAGATTTTGTTCTTACTTTTGAAAATTTAAATTGCATCTTCTATACGAAGAACAATTTTTGATGAATAATGGAAGTGAGTACTACTTAGATACATAGATTCCAATATCAGTATCCTTGATTCCACTACGTCAGAATGAAGTGAAATTGAAGGACACATGTATAAAAATTAATAGAGCAAAGGCACGGAGAACAAGCCTCGCCGTCATTATGAAAAAATATTCGACTAAGATACAAATAGGATAATATCTTCTGACAAATCAAAACTGAAAACAGGTAGTAAATAGCGAACAAATATGTTGCAAAGTAAAACTTATTTTCAAAATAAAATAATGATACAGAGAGCACTTAAAATGTTACAAAAGTTACAATAGGGAGAAGTACAAGTAAACCATCAATGATAATCGTCGAGGTTTTTGCTGAAATTAGCCATGCTCTTGTTAAGTAGTATGTGCACTGTGATGAGCTTAGTCACAGCTCAAAATCTGCTAACCAACAAGCTCAGGAGAAATAATTTATTCAGTGCTGATAGCTTGCACTAGTCCTTGTTTCTCTAGTATTCTGAGGCGTTTCTCCACGGCATTCTTATATTTTGAAAGAACCAGTTTATCAGCTTCACTAGACACTTGTTCTGACAACGTATGTAACATCATATATGCTGTTTGGTACCTGAAAGATATGTCAAGTCTTAGCCATCTTTCTCAGAACTCCAGAAAAAAAATTAATGAATTTTAAGTTAATTGTAATTAGATTTCGATAGACAACAGAACATAATATGCCATACCGTTGAGAACATAGATGAGGATTACCAAAAAGTTCATCCAAAGCAGCATTCTGACAAAGCTGAATAGCGTGTTTATACATAATTCGTTCTGCCGAAATCACTGCCATAGTAGGATCTGGACCTGGTAAGCCAAGAGATGCCAATTCTTGTGACTTTACCTGAAAACGAATGAAACTTTCCTCCAGGTATTTACTTACAAATTCACGATCATGAAGTTCATGAGATAATTACGAGATTGAAACATTAAATTATGCAATAAAATTCAAAAATAGATGATGTATATTATGATAATTATTTAAAATAAAGATATTTAATTTGGAACATTAACTACCTAGCTCTACAAAATTTTGAACCAAAGACTTTAAATGCTGATATATCTATTGAACCATTACCAAACACTGATGATATTTATCATTGAGTTGATTCAATACGTGCTGCACAGCAGGTGAAGGATGCAAAATTTCTGATGATATTTGTTTCTGGGCAAGGAGAAGAGCTGAGGAGAGCATATGAAGAGCTCGGACATACACAACTAGTTGTTCTGCACGACGATATGCATCTGATCGTTCTTTTTTCTGCAAAGTAATTTATTCAGAAAATATTCAGTAAACTGCATATGACATGATTTTATATGTAATACTGATTAAAAAATCTGTACGCGAAATGAAACTAAAATTATTTACTACATTTTTCAGATAACTTGAAAAGGTGCCTTTCGCGGTGACTTCGATAGCAGTATAGGATTCCCCCTGTCTTCAGCAACGTTAATCAGTGTTTCGACTAACTCAAGAACAAATCGTAATTTTGCCAACACTTGAACATGTTCAGCCTAAAATCGGACAACCAAATGCCATTTTATAACACTGAGAAATCAAAATACAGTTACAAATGCAGAAATAAGATAACTAGCTTTCCATAGAAAAGAAAAAAATTCATCGCAATAAAACGAACGTCCATCAAAGTCTCCGGTTCCAACGACGGTAGAATATCATGTAAAGATGGAATAACATTCTGATTGTTCAGAGTTCCTGGCTCAATGTTATTAGATGCATCATTAGCAAGTTGATTACCTGCGTAACCTTCATCAGCTGATTCACTTTCCATGAGTTGTGAACGCGAAGACACATCTACAAAATAACATTACAGTATTTTAAATTGAAAGCAAATTAGTTCTGAGTTTGAAAAATACTGGAGTTTAATAACTGGGCTTAAGAAACAAATGTTATGCAACAGAAATGTGATTTCGCAAAAATGAACTAGTATTAAAAAATGAGCCAAAAGATAGACAACAATAGAAAAATAAATTGTTTTTAAAAACTGATAAGAAATGAAATACACTAGGATGTGATGAAAAACCTCATAAAATCAGAATAAAATTGTAATTCCATCTCTCATACTTGGAAAATTACACTAATTGCAATTATTCTAAAATCCTGAGCTCTAAATATTGCTTTATAGAGACAAATAACTGACTTCTAACTGATTAAAAACAATATTAACTTAAAATTTTTGGTAAGAAAATGTAAACATTATTACAAGACTTGCTTGAAGCAAATGGAAGATGAATTGGTTGACTCAGTTCACCATCCTCTTCTTCTTCACTCAAACTGCTACAAAATTAATATTAAAAAAAGTGCGGCATATTACACAAACACTGGACGAAAGCGATAAAAATTAGCTGCCCAAATTCATTCTGGCAGCAAGTACTAACCCTTACATTCGGAAACCAAAGCAGTAGTATTAATTCTACTGCATGAAATTACAATATTCATGTTTTCGATACAAAGAGAAGCACAAAATTATTGTTATACATAGACAAATTAAATATTTTGGCAACCTTTCTATGACAATTATAAACGACAGTTTGTTTTTTCTAAAATAACATTTTATGTGCGCAAAAACCTTGTGGAAAGTTCGTTGGTACCACGAGGAGCAGCGCGGACTGTAAGCGAAGCACACGACCGCGGTGGTGAGACCGACAGATATTTGAGGTTATCCACTGGAGGTGTAGGTGAGAACTGTGGTGAACACTGTTTTGCTTGCTCTTTTGTCTCTGAAGAGAGTTGCACACCTTCCATTTCGGTGTTTTCTCCTAGTTCAATAGCCTGGTCAGCATTCCCAGTTTCCATTTCGGGAACTGCTTCTAAGACTTTCCGACTACTATATGATCCGCTTGATGTGAGAGGTGCGGTGGTAGTAACAAAAGATGTTGATTCTGAAGAAGAACTGACAGCCGATGTCGTTGCAGTGGTGTCTACTGCATACCTTCGGACCCGACTTGATAGCATTACATCGTATTGTGATATGCGCGAATCTTTCACGACAAATTGCGCTAAAATACGATAATAAGCTAAATATACTGAAGACATCACAGAACCAGTTTTGTGAAAAAAAAAAGCAATCGTGACGTAATTCCTTAAGCTAAATTCGATAACAGACAGCAAACATTCCTGCGTGAAGTGTACCACAATTTTTAAACAACAACTAGGAGAAATTTCAGTATTTGAGGTTCTGTTAACTCCTGCATAAATAAAGTGAGAAAATGATGAGAAGGAAACGTATTGACTGCATAAGATAAGAATTGTTATTGTGGACTGCCTTTTGAATATGAAGCAATTTGTTTATTGGTTAAGACCGAGTGAAATATAGCCAAATTCTGACCTTTAGATTGCTTTTAATCTGCTAACTACATGATAAAGAGAAATCCCATATGTTCAAGTAATTTCAGTACTTCAGAGCTCTATAAAAATTACGAATTTGAGAACTTTTGTTACTTCAACCCTTAATTACATGGAAACTAAAATGACGCATTTCTTACCAAACACTACTGAATATTCCTTAATATAGACAAAAATTACTTGAAGGCAAATTAATGTATTCAATAGAAGGGACTTTGGATTCGACATTTGTGGTATTTGCAACACTTCGAATATTGCATCGCTGAATGTTTGTTATATGACTGTAATGCGCATCGAAGGCATTTCGCTTTTCTTCCATCTTTGCATAAGCTAACCTCTGACTTGGTACTGGTACAGCACGTACATTGCTGATAGTATTATGAACCTGAAAAACATTTTTGGGTATGCAAATGGTTCAAGTTCAAGCTATTTGAAACTATAACATACTAAAATGTAAATAAGCCATAATAGCACTCTAATAAACAGTGCATCAAGTATTAAATACGAAACACATAAAAATACCTTAATTTGCTTAAGGAAATTTCCTGAACCGGAATCAATATTCGGGTTGGCTGCTGAGAGTGGTCGACGAGCTACTGAAGGTGAATGTACTTTAGACCGACTACTTGCAAATGAAATTGGGGTACCATGAAGTGATGGTAGGAACGTGAAATCATCTGAATCAGACCCAACTCCAGCATGTGTTCCTGTTGTTGCTATGGTATTTTGCCTGCAGAAGTCGATATATGTCACGACGAAGTTATTTATGAACAAATAGTGAAGTTTTGCTTGGAAAATTTTATACGAGACTATAACATTTGTTGTGATGAAAGGATAGGCAAATATCGGCAAAAAATCTGCATTTTCCAACAAAATACTGATTGTGAAAATTCTGGCATACAAAACTTATTTCAAAATTACCGAGAAATAGCAAGATGAGGAGAGCCAAGCTTTGAACCGCTTACAACACGACCAGAAGCAGTTGGAGATGACACAGCAGGCGGAGGCGTTTTAGGCGACAGCGAGGAAATATGTTGAGGTGAAGTCAACTCATGCTGTTTTACAGAATTGGGATTTGTTGTGATGAAAGGATGTGAAAAAAATGCCTCTGAAACCCAAAATATTCAAAACTGTGAGTAAATGAAACGCCTGCTTCGGAAGTTTAAGAAGCAAATCTTAATGACAAAAAATATGAAAGTGGATAACATATATTAAATCAGATAAACATAATAAACTACAGCTTAGAAAACACTTCAGGACCACTTATGAGAAATTATGATTGATCAACTATCTTAGGAATGAAATGGATGAATTAGATAGAGTAAAAAAATTGTAAATGTTAAGACGACTTCATGTCAAAAGTAGAATAAAATCATTTCTTCAATATACAGAAATATAAAAAAGAAACAATTCATGCAAAAACTGGATCTATTAACTACTACTTCTAGTCCTTCTTCTATTCTTCTAAAATGAAAATAATTCGAAACCCTATTTACAGCAGTAAACTTATAATCCTTAATGAACATTAAATTTTCACGTATATGTAGTCTTACAGTATTCTTACAATATAGACCACTTGTGAATATGCCACTGAAGAGCAAATTAAGATGTACTTAGCTGCTAAAGTGTAACGAAGATTAAAAGCCTTTGAAGTGCAATTTATCAACAGTAATATGTGCTTACGAAGTATTGCTTGAAAAGTACAGAGCAATTAATTTGTATTGTGCTCTCACCCTTTTAGTACCAAAATAATGTAAACAAATTTTAATTTCTGTACTATTATAAAGGAGTTCATTACATATTATTACCAAACATTCTTCAATAAGAATTTCTCAATTGAACTGGGAAGAATTTCGAAGTATTCTTAAAATAATTTTCATAAAAACATGTCTCTTCAAAGTAACGGCGCACTAATCAAATTTTAACAAAATTTGCACGTAATTATTGTTCAGTCTAGAAATTAAACAAAACATTTACCAAACTCAATCCGATCCTTCGAACTTCGTTTTAACAAAGCAAGTAATAAATCTTTCAGAAGAGGACTACAATATGTTGGAATGTTTGGTCGTAAATCTTTATTTCGTTCATAAAACTGCTTCAGAGCTTGAGGTGTTTGCGCTTGAAATGGTGCTTTACCCGTTAAACACTGAAAAATAATTGTTCCTACTGACCACAAATCTGCTTTGGCGCAATACTGTAACGACATTATTACCTGAAAATATATGGCCATAAGATTATCAAGATAATGACCATATAAAATTCACAGACTTTGAGAAAAATTTTTTTTAATTTAAATGACAATAGTGAAAAAAAATTTTTCATAGAAAAAATACAATGCTCAACCTTTGACATTCAAAACAAGGTTACCTCGGGAGCCATATACATTGGTGAACCACATAAAGTAGCTGCCATATGACCATCTCCTAAAAATCGTGCAAAGCCGAAATCAGCAAGCTTAACTATCAAATCCGTAGCAGGAGGATTTGGTCGCTGTCCTGGATTGCACAACAATAAATTTTGAGGTTTCAAATCCCTACAAACGTTGACGTAAACAATTTGATTCTCTGAATGTGGTTAAACATTTAAAGAATAAAGAAATTTTCCAAATAGAAATCAAATTATCGTGAGGAGTTCGAGAAATGTTCTTCCTCGCTTCTGTCATTTGAAAGAAACGGCGTATAATAAAATAAAAATATAAGCTTAACAAAAAATGTTAAAAAATATCAAGTTGAAAACTATTAGAATGAGAAAAATTCAAAAATTTTCCTGCAAACAGATTATGACGTACATAACTCTGATAAGTATCTACTAATATCAAAACAACAAGTTGAAAGAACGAAGGTATATTAGATAATCTTTCAATTTTTCCCAAATTCTCATTTAAAAGTGAGATTAAGTATGCGTGAGCTTGACTAAAATATTATGATTACGTTTAACACATTTTCAGTTCAAATATCCCAAATATCGACTTTTACCTGCAGCAGTAAAACATTTTTGAATCAAAAAAATGGATGTTCATAAACAGACAACATAAATTTTTATGTAGAAATAACCTGTGCACGATCCCTTTCTTATTTATTGCCTCAATGGCTCGAGCAATGTGGACAAGAAAATGTTGAATGGTTACTTCAGGCAGCGTCACTTTATTTTGCAAATAATCTCCTAGATCTCCTGCATTACAATATTCCATAACGAGAAAAACATTGGCTGATGTTTCGACACATTTTAACAATCCCACTAAATTCTCATGTTTCAAATTTGACAACTCCTAAAATTAATATTAATTACGCACAACGAAATTACCTAGACTTTCCAACATTAGTTATTTTCCTCAGCAAAAATCCAATTAGCACTACTTTGCAAACAATTCCTTGATTTTTCAACAACAATATTCCACTTTAGTTTTATATACTCACTTTTAATATTTTAATTTCTTTGTTGAGCAAATTCTTCGATTTTGTCAAACTCTTTTTAGCAATGCTTTTAATGGCTACCGGTATGTCTTTGTGCTGAAAATACAATTTATATTTACTTGATTCGCAGAATTATTACAAAAATTATGTACATGACAGTTATTATGAGCTATTAACAAATGATGACTTTAGCTCATCCCAGTAATTCACATCTTCTAATACAGAGAAAAAAGGGTACACTTCCCGTATTTTATATTCCTTTTTTATGAATATGCGAAAATACATGTAGTCTCAAGATTTTTTCATATTTAAAATAGTGTGAAAAAAGCATTCAAAGACTTTTTTTTCCTACGTGACACATTTGAGACTTTATAATCACATTCAAAGTTCAAGTTTTATGAAAGACTGAATATATGAAAAAACTAAAATAAATTGACTTCAGAAAACGATAGTGCAATTGACACAATAATACTCAGATATACACTCTAGTGAGTTAAGATTAATAACAGCATTTAATTCCTAATACTAAATCAATAAAGGGCAGATAAGAGAGAAAAATATAATTTTGAAACGTGTGCAATAATTTGTAAAGTATTTCAAGTATATCAGACATCATTCATTTCTCAAGTATTGAGAGTAAGAATAAGCAACTACGATCTCACACAATAACTTTCTATCTTCACACAGCTTTTGAAAGCTGGTAATGCAATGAAAGATTTTCAATATAGTGGAAACTAATGGCGAATCTTAATTTAAATTCATGAATCTAAGAGTGGAATAAATTAATAATTGTCATTTCCATACTAACTGGATTTGGAAAAGATGAAAGTAAACACATGTTATGGAAATCACAAACATTGCAAGTAAAAGCAAAAATTGACAAGATCGTAATTACTTAGTCCTAGATTTCAAGACTTTTAATTAAGATTTAAACAAACTATAAGCAAGTAAAGTAAATAAATTATGTCCATAAAATAAATTATGATCATAATAGTTTATACATGTAATAAATATAAGAAATCTGTCAGTAAGGCATATTGTGATATGCTTTATGCTGTTAAATACTAAAATGAATTTAAATCATACTGATGTAGCCAAATAGAAAATATTAGAGAATAAAATTAATAACTAAATTAGCGAAAACGGTAGCTTACGTCAACATATCGGCCTTTGTACACAATTGCAAACGCGCCATGACCAATCAGATCTTTTTTTGTATATTCAAAGCCATCAAATCTTTCCATGATTTATCTTTTCAGCTCATACCGATTCCTGCAGAATCATCCACAGGGTGCACTGAAATAAATAAATAATTTCCATTCATGTTCTCGCGCATTCAAAGTAAGGAACCGAATTAGCACAAGACATGTGAATGGTAATGAAAATACTGCAAACAAACAAAAACAATTACTGACGACGTAATTGCTTGTAAATGTAAAACTTCATGACAAGATGAACATTGAAAATATGCATGCCCACAAGAGCCAGTCCCTGCTCTTATATTTTCATAGTTGATTACCCATAATGAAGCACTGTACTGCTTGGTATTCGTGAATACTTGTGAATTAAACTTATGCGACGACAAAAGTAAGCATACAAACATGGTTGCTCACATTGTTCTTCGTTGTTCGATATTGACATCATAATAACCAAAATGATTAGTATTTGGCGTAAATAGTGAATACATGTAATACATTCGAGGACATATATTAGCAAATTTCTCAGTGCTTACCATCCTTCTTTTGTTATGGGTACTTTGTAAGTGACTACATAACTTCGACAGATCCAACATTTTTCTGACTAAAGTAGCAATACAATCACATGAAAGAGTTAGTAGTCTTAGTTAGACAAAAGTGAAGAACGGACAATGAATGGATGTGAAGCAGAAATCATCACGACAAAGACTGGCATAAGAGGAATGTATGTTCTTGTAATTGCATGCTTTAGAATGAAAAATTGCTGATAAATGCGATAAAATGGATAAGCACGAGTATATTTATTATATTTAACGAACGTATGTATTAGTAGGATAGATTAACTATGTAAATGAATAAAGAGTAAGGAGTCAGCGAGTATAACAGAATGTATTAACTGCGTTCAAGTAATCATTGAAGTCATTTGAGGCTATAATAATGGCTTCAACTTACGTTGAGCTTCTCTACAACTGGCTATCTAAAAAAGGAAAGCAGCAGCCATTTCTCATGCAAACTTTATTAGCATACACGCAAGTATGTAAAATAATGTACTACTCTTTACTGCATGAGCAAAAAAAAGCCGTGTGACGATTGCATGCAGTGTTCAGTCCAACATGTTTACTCGCTATAGAAACATGACAGTAAGCGTGTCCTGAGTCGTAATTCTCGCTTGTCCATCCGTCACATATTCAATTCAGTATCTACAAAAATAGTGTACTCGTTCAAGTGCTACAAACAAACAGCATAACAAGTTTAGTTATTACTACAGTTAATACTATCCGTTTGCCTTCACTTCACTTAACTGACTCCTTCACACCTTACCAGAGCCCGATATTAAACTTACTCATTACATTCGTAATTAATGCCAAATGATGAATAACACAATCTACCTTCTCTTCCCATCTAGCTGCAACCCATCCTTGACCCGTCTGAGCTGCTGCAACCAATTCCTTGACCTGTCAGGTACTGATTCTACAACATGCATACGTTGGCAACAGCTACAATACATTCCTATCAGTGATGACATAAGCTGTATGCAACCATTACAATTTGCAACGAAAAGAGGACAAAACACTAACTGCATTAAAAGTCCACACCGAGCAAAGCCGAAGCAACACAACAATCGATACTTTGCAAACAGCCGCATAATTTTATTTAACAAAACTCTCCTCTTCGCAGCCGCAGCCTTCCTTTCTCTCTTTCTTTCCACTAATGTTTATCTATCTATCTATCTATCTATCTATGCATCTATCATGTATACATCAAGCAACTATCTATACATACTTGGCAGTTCAGCCGCATTCATCCCTAACTAAATCCGATAACCTTTTTTTCCCATTCGTATGAAACAGAAACAGTCAATAACTGTCAATCACAATGAGCAGCCAACCATTGAACCCAAGCTCATCTTACTAATATAACTATTCTAAGAGACTATTCAAGCCTGATTCGTTTCCATTATTCACTATCACTTATGGAAATGATTAATAATGCTCTTTGAATTAATGAAGGAGGCTGCGCGGATTAAAAGCTCAGTGAATGCTTGTTAACGACGACTGAATTATATTAATGATGACTGTGATGCAGCAGAAAATAAGCATTCATTAGAGATCTAAAAATTTTACGATCTGTAGAAGAGTACAGCTTCAAGTACAAGAGGCAATGAAATAATCGTACCTTATTCATTCATCAGAGCTACGGTGAAAGCAAGATGGAATACGAAGGGAAGATGGGTATAAGGGAAACGAGCTTCTGAAGAATCAATTGGCAGCATGAAAGTGAGGTTTCAAAGAAACAAGGGATTAAGTTTCCACGTAAATTCTTCATTATCTTGCAAGAAGTAGACAAAAGAAGAATGAAAATGCTTAAAAATAAGTGAACGTATTAAATAAACAAACAAATATGTGTAAGCGTGGCGGATTTCTCTCAGCAATAAGAAAAGAAAAGGATAGAAAAGAGCACTCCTATATTCCTCTTTGGAAATTGCTCAGCGAGTAATTCAGCAGTAAAGTCCTTCGTTTTCGACACACATATCGCTAAGATTTGATGAAAGCTTGCTCGTAAGAACACTACGGAGCAGCTAACTGCCTGGCACGTTTGAAGTACACAGACAAGTCTCAACTTCTGCCTTACGAATTAACAACAACAACAACAGGGCTTAACGATAACAAGCACAAATAAGCAACAAAAAGTTTAACTTTGATATACTGATGTATAAGTTATTGTTATCACTTCTTCCAGTACAATTTAGAAGATAAAGTAGACACGGACCTCAGTCTACAGCAAAAACTTTCGTGCATCTACGAAGCATCGATTTTTTCATTTAAATCAGCAAATGATAATTAGTCCCCTGACAGAAGTATCATGTGAAACAAATGACAAAGTATTATCAAAACACTGCTCTAATTGTTGATGCACTGCAGTACTGATCAAAGCTGCACCCAATATCGATTTTGCTGCCCAATACAGATGAATTAAAAATCAGATCACTCAGAACGGAGCGTCAGTGACTGATCACTTGCACCGAATAGCAGTGCAGTTTATTCGGACATCGAGAAGTGCTTTTTTTCGTAGGAATAATTTTGGTAATGGTAATACTTCATGACGATCGCACAGAATTTCAGATGACTACTTCAAACTGAAGGAAATTCATAACACCATCAAAGAGCTCTCAAAACGTCCTAGTCTTCAAAAGTATGAAAATCAGTTCCTCAACACTTTAAAGCAACAGTCAACCACCCCATTCTTAATTTCTCTGATTCTATTTTCTCTAAATGAATTCAAATCATATTGACGACAAAATTTAATCAATGAACACAGCTCTATCATAAATAAACCAAGCATAATTCTCAGAAAGAGTAATTGAGTTTTTTTCAATGTATCAAAACAAAATAATTCAAAATGTGAACAAATACAATAATGTACAAATAAAGTCAAGGCTAAAGAACATAGAAGTAGAATTTCAGAATCACAGTAATATATTGTTTACTCAGACACTTCGAAGTTATAAATGTAAAAACACTCATCACAGCAAAGTATTAGAAGTTATGAATCAGTGTTATGAAACGTCCCGGTCATTCATTTAACACACCTTTATGAGTTAATTATTCACGATATAAGATAACAGAGAAATTTACTGCTCAGAAAAAAGCAAAAGTGTAAACTGGTACAAGTAAGAAATTTCTTCAGTGCACGAATCTTTTGCATGTACTTTATGACTTTTTTATTAAAGGAATACTTTATGAAATTCCTTTTGAATGAAATGCAGCACCTTACCTGAAGCACAAATTATTGTTTAGAAGCCACCAGTAAGAGTAAACAATGAAAATTCATTATTAACCGATTTAAAGATGTTCTTATTATCTACACCAGTTCTTCATCCACAATTAACATACTCAAGGTATAATAAATTATCTAATTCAGACTTAACATAAATGTAGTCTTTTTACATTCCCCGTATTTTTGAAAACTACTGCTAACAAATAACATGAGACATTTTGATCAAGTTTAACTCAGCGAAGAAAAGGCTAAAGATTAAAAAGTTAGTTGATCGCTTGCACGTAGTTTCCTGGAAACAGCCCGGTACATCCATTTAATACACCTTCAAACCAACCATCATCATTCTTCCGTAAAACGTACACGATGCAATTTTCTCTAAGAGTCAACTCATCCGGTTTTTCTGCTTCATAGTCGTACAGTGCAATTGCTGAAAACTAACTGCTTAATTCTAAGAAAGTCACTTGTAGCCAGAAAAAACTCAGACCACAAATATTGTTTTCAAAAACCAAAATTAAGAAGTGTTATTGGTAAATATAGTGAAGAAAACAGATAAGCTCCTTTTTTAAATATGAGAAGAAATGGCGTTTTTTTTTTTACCTTTTTCAATATAAACTTTTGGAATCCATTCGTATGATCGGTCAAATGCAGACTCCAATACCAGAGATGAGCATTCATTAGCAGATGATCCAGAAATATTTTTTGAAGATCCTGACTCGTGAATTGGTGTAACTGTAGTTGGTATCGGAGGAGGTGGCAAAGGCTCATCATCCATCATAACAGAAGTAGGTGGTGGAGGAAGTCCGTCGGAAAATAACACAAGAAAGATGACGCTTACAAAAGATATCTAACATAGATAACAGTGATATAAATGAATATTTTTTCTTACATTGGATGACATGATGACACTTCTTGATTAATAGTGAGGAAACTTGAAAAACTTACCTAAGCTGTTTGTTGATAGCCTATACTGAGCTACCGGAGCTAGTTGAGGAGGAGGAAGAGGCATAGACTGTTGTGAATCGCGTTTTTTGTTAATAGTGCCATAATTTGGAGCAGCAGAAATAGTACTATAATTTTGAATAGCATGCGTAATAGTGGAGAATCTTTGGGGATCAATGACGGGAGTGGCCGCTATCTGTGGTGTGCGATAGTGGTCTCCACGAGCTGTTGCCGAACGAGAAAGCTAAAGGAAATACTTTTCACTCTATCAAATATAATTATTTTGCATTAACTGTAATTCCCTTTTAAAAGTCTCTACTGCAGCAAACTTCAAAAATATACTAAATTTTCCTATGATTAAAGTGGAACAGAAATTAGCTCACGGAATATGTTACTAAATGAACAAAACTTACTAAATGATAAAACAACATGTTAAACACCCCATGTTCCTTTTACAAAAATAACTCTGCCACAGCTGATGACCAATAGTAAACTGTACTGGTCATTATAATAATAGTGAAACTTTTGCAGTTCAAACCATTCAAGAAAGCTGCATTTATCATTTAAAAATGTTGATAAAATTTATCTTTATGAAACGAAAAAAATACCGTTGCAGTAATATTTGCTTTCGGCAATAACTGTTCAAAATTCGGAAAAATTGGAAAATGTGCGTTCGAACTTCCTTGAGATACGGTGGAGGTTGCATGCATTATAAATGATCGATTTATAGGCTCGGGAATTTTAACACCGTGTCCCAAGTTATCTAACACCGAATAATCTATGGGAGTGCTCTGGTAACGCTGAACAGGTTCCTTAAATAAATGGATGTAACAGAACGTAAATTTCTTCACTAATTAAGAACAAAAGATACAAATTACCAAATTAAATAATTAATTGACCTGAACTCCAACTGCAACAACTTTAGGCTGCTTTTGAACATATTTGTTCACTGTTAACAAACCAATCTCCCGTCTCGCTACTTTCTCTTTATGAATTGAAATGATTTCTTCTATACTGTTAATCTAGAAGAATATGATATAGTATGTAAATAGTATTACGTTTTTACCATCAGATAAGATAAATCCTCAAACTAAGATAATTATTGTTTGTTCTACTCCTTGAATCACCAATTAATCCAATACTATGCTACAAAGCTCTCAAATATTTTAATTCTCAAAATAGAAATAACACTAAATGAATGTAACAGAAAAGTTCGAAAACGAATGCTAATCAAAATGTTAGCGAAAATGATACCTGTGACACCATGTTATTGATTTTACCCGTCTGTAAATCGAGGGAATGCAACAGTGCATAAGCCAAAGTATTAACCTGATATGCTACACTGGCAAGACTTTGTACAGCATATCGTCTAGTTTCATCAAAAGCTGCCCTTTTATCCTGAGCCTAAACGAGATTGAAAATCAGTAACAAATGAACGTAAATTAAAAATGAATATAAATTTCCATTTTTTAAATGCACATTAGGAAAAAATTTTAACAACTCAATTATTGCCTAATCAACAGAACCAATTTAGATAATATCCAAAAGCGTATGAACAGAAATTAAAAGACGGAAGTTACTTACCATAGTAGAAAATATGAATGTTACTAAGGAGCAAAATATCATGCTTGCTTCAACTTTCATAAAAGCAAACGATTTCAATTTGAACTTAATGAGCTAAATGAAAAATGCATTGTTGGAACTTATTAACAACTGACGCCACTTGATTTCTGATACATTTTAGCCAATTTATCATGTTAGTAAGTTAGGAAATAAGCTGAATTCCTTATATCAGACCTAACAATAACCATTGTAACGACGGCTATAAATTTACAGATAGGAATTTACGCATATCAGACCAGCTAGCAATAAAGTAAATAGAGTGGAGCGTGACTCCAGTGGATTGCAAAATTTTACGAAAAGGTTACCCATATTTACCTGAGCATAATTTGCTTCGCAGTAGGCAGCAACTCGTTCCAAATTCGCATAACTGTTTTCAAGATTTGCCCTACTATCGGGAATTTCATTTTCAATTAAGCTGCGCAAAGTGACATCACCTTGAGCTCCTTCAACCATCGCTTCAAACCCAACATCAACGTTCAAATTATGTACATGAAACCACAAAGTTTGGCATCAGCCAAACAAAACAAAACATGACAGAGCAGTTCCACACCTCACACAGCAATTATATCTCTAAAGCATGATAACACAATGCAACCCGTTGATTCGTACCTTATTCGAGCAATAAGGAATGGAAGCATTAACGTTACCATAGCTCACTTTCATCAATGCTTTCATACACTTTCGTTCATCACGCAGTTTTCAATTTTTCCAGTCTTTCCATCAATTTTCGCTACTGCTTTCACTGCGCTTATTTCAATCAGTCACTTAAATTGTTAATCACTTTTTTCCATTTTTGTTTTTCACTGAGTGGTGACTACACTCTTCCACTCTCACGTAACTTCTTGAACTTACGTTTTGTTCCTCAACTTTAACTCAGTACCTTCAACCTATCGTACTAATAGACTACTCTCTTTATTTCACACTTCCTCATCTACAAATTATCTTCTCTACACGCAGTTCATCTTTGTAAAATGGTCGTAAATATGATGAGTTAAAGTTGAGGAACAAAACGCGACTATTATTTTTAAACATGGGTTGGAGGACAGAATGCTATTTTTTTTCAAAAATGTGTGGAGGCATCATATTCTTTGGCCTGTGCGATATTGGTGGCTTACAAATGAATATTGTAGTGGAAGTCAAAAATATTCACGCTTTTAGGCATTATGACAAAAATAAACCCAGAAAAGTTGCTCAATCAATATCTTATGAAATAACACACTGCAGTCAAAATCTTCGAAAGAATCTATCAGCTCGCCAATTTTCTTTCTTTTTTTATGTATCGTATGTGTTTGTGAACTGTCTATTATTGTCCATGGTTACACTGCTTATGTAAAAGTTTTGTTCAGTATATATATAGAAACTGTCTACAATTCTTTATTAAAATTATATGTCTTAGAGATGAAACTTTCTACGAGTCATTGGTAAGTCAAAAAATGTACCATCTAATTCTTAATACTTTGGTTATACGTTGGTTTTGATTCAAGAGTGAATTATCCATACAGAAGTGTTAAAAGAAGTCTAAAACGATGAGCAAGCACAAATGTGTGCCAAGGAAATCGACGCATTATTTTCCTTTCGAAATGGCAAATATCAAGGGAATGTAGTACCTTTTTGTTCTTTATTTATGTCATATCAGAATTCACAAAATAACATCTGAGTATTGACTTATTCATGCATTTTCCACGGCATGAAAATTGAATAAATGTTGTTCAGTGTAATATAATTTGTCGAAAACTATGAAATTGATCATGTTTATTCATTTACTTAATTAGGCACATTTTTTACCACATGCATTTCTTTCAAAACGTCCTATAAACGTCTTTCCACTCCTGTTTGCTCCAGTATCCAGCTTCTCGAATATTTTTATGAGATTCATACCAAGTAAAATTTGCTGTTGCATGAGGTACTTTCCATTCTCCGTAATCGGCCTAAAATGGAAATGTATCGCATGAGCAGATATTTTTTACACAACATTTTTTGTCTATATTTTCGGGAATAGCAATTTATTTGAATGAAAATAAAGATAAAGTTTGAATTTGCATTGTTATTTCATTGCAATAAAAGTTGAAAGAGACTCTCTGAATAAATTGTAGTGAAATAAGTTGGAGCTAATTAATAAACCAACCTGGAGTACTTCTTCGACATTGCAAGGCACATGAAACAGTTTGCCAAGTAACTCTCCAACGCAAAATTCCAAAATTGGTGGATAAATCCATTGAAGTTTCTTTCTCTTTGACACAAACAAACCACCCACCCAAGCAGAGTCAGCGTTTTCGTATAAGAAAAATAAGTCAATCTTGATATTATTTGAATAAACGCTTAGTTCCAATGAGTCATTAATCTAAACACAATTATCAATTCCATCACTGCCAAGTATATATGTTTAGAACTGTCTTACTATCTAATGCCATTTCATATATCGGATTATGATCTAAATCTATCTACCATACACTGTTCACACATGTAAAAAATGTTTTGTCCAAATATGGTAAAATCTGTATTTTTCTTTGCATTTTATTTGTATTGGTGGTGATATACCTGAATAATAAAAATTCAGGGTTGTTTTCTGACGTGCAATAAAATGAACCTTTCCAAGAATCCAATAAAGCTTAAATTCTTTCGTTTTTTCCAAATTTTTCATCATAATAGGATTTAAAGCATCAATCTTCATTGCGAGGTCAACATCCGTCGTATCCATGATGAAGGAGCATTCTCTGTACCAACCTATTGTTAACTTTCTATTACAATGGAATTTTCGCTTTCGCCTAGCAAATTGCAATCAGTCCTATTCATAACACAAATGAGCAAGTTTTTGATTGCCTAAACTGACGTTCAAAGATATGATTTGCTGTTACTAATATCAAATTTTGTTTGAACTTCCAGTAAGTAACGGATCAGAATTCTTTCTCAAAAAAAGAAATACTAGAAAATAATTAAGTTTTTTCTCTATAGTTTGCAGTGAATACATCGTTTTTTTCACTTTTCCTTTTGAAAAAAAGCAACAACCTAAAAGCGTCCCGCCGAATAGTATTGGTGTTGAATTGTGCGATTCAATAAAATCTCGGAACTTTGCCACTTTGTCGATAAAATTCTCTGGAATCGCACGACTATCGACAGTACTCGTAACATTCATTTTCAAACAATTCAAGAATCTTCCATCTTTCCATTTAAAGATGAATTCTTTTTTATCTTCTGGAACCCATATTTCTCGGTCAAACATGTACACTTTTTTAGTTTTGAGCCTACAAGTATCAGTGGTTTCAAGTTTTTACTTTTTACGAATTAGTTCGTGAATAAATTAAGATTTGTAGGGTAAAAATTCAATCAGTACTAGTAGTAATTACATTATAAATATTGAATGAAATTTACTTTCTAAAAACGATCCCAAACATATGTACTCTTTTTATTAAAAATTTACCCCTGAATTGCGCGTTGTTCATTTTTACCAAAAAAAATTACATAATTATCAGTTAATGAATATTCCATTCGATAAAAGATCAAGTGATCAAAAGGTGATAGATTTTCACCATCATCATATGTACCAAAAATCCATTTATTAGCGAAAGCATCACCGATCCAGAGTAAATAATTGAATTGTTTCAAATATTCTAGTTCCTGAGCTGAAGGCGTGTATGCCTAGCGAAATGCTGATTTTAATTATTAAAATTCAAAAGAACTTCAAAAAATAACTTTCAATAAATACGCTAAATTTTGACGATTAATTTAATTAATCAATAGGTACTTATTATTTCAATATAGATAATAAGTTTTTTTCACATTATAAATATTTTTATCATATTCATTATGAGATTATTGGCAGAATTTATAATTATTTGAGAGGAATATAATAATTAGCAGTTCTAATTAAAGCAAGTACTGAATTTTACCAAAGGTATTATAGCAGTGCAATTGGTTGGTTTTTTTTCTCCAATAATGGAATGATTTGTGGTGTAATGCTGAACAGATTGTATTTTGTCAGGGGGGATGTTGTTAAGGTAGTACATAAAATAAATTAGTCCTGTCAGTGAAATTGTCGCAACAAAATATCTGACAACTTTGTGCATGGAATCGTTGTGTTGTTGAGCAAGTGATGGATTTATGTCAAATGATGAAGGGAAATGAGAGCTCTTCTGGGGTTACGACTGCTTTTTTTGGAAACAGTGCAGATATTGTAGAAGTAATTACTGAAATAAGTAAGCAATGCTTCTGCATTTGCAGAAATTAATCCAAAGACAGAATGTTTTTGATTGATTTTAGTTTATTTCTTGAATTTCTACAATTAATCAAGCAATATCTGTTGTTTCAGTTGAAAATGATGATACGAAATTATCAAGCAATTTAATTTGCTTGTAAGACTGTGCAACGAAAAATACCACAGAGAAATTATTTAACTTTACCTGAAAATAAATATAAATCATAAAACGTTGATGGCTTCTGAGTTCGAGGATACAATCTACTTAACAAGTGAGATTGAGAGTGAGGTGACGTATCACCGCTGACTTTCTTAATTTCAAAAAATGAAACAATGCATTACGATAAGATCTGCATGACAAAATCGGTTGTATTATCAGGCAGCAACCATGTCAGATAAATCCTACAGATATATTAGTGATTGTTATTTCTGTGTCGTAATTTAAGAAGTACTTCAAGCACAAACATTGATGTCACTGTAGATAGATAGCTTTGATATTTCAAAAATTTAATGAGAAATTTAAATTTACTGTTGAAAATTTGAGATTTTGATGGATTAGCACAATTTTTCAAAAATTCTGAGCAGTCTGAAACTCATTACTACTATTGATTAGTCAAAACACAAGAAGAAATTTCATTACTAATAATAAATAAATAGAAATAAAACACTGAAGACAACATTACGATTATCAGCAAGTCTGCAGTAGATCTTACGATGCTTCGTTCTGCTCACGCACTTGCCATTTCATGAAAACGTCTTGTACGACTAGAAAGTGTAACTTTGCTTGTCTTTCTTTGACTTATATATTTTGATTCACACTTATGTTGATTTGCATGAGATTAATTTCAATGCATCAACCAACAAAGGATGGTTTTACTTTCTAGTTAAAACATCACTGCATTGCTCTTCTAAATATTCTCATGCAAATTTGCAGAAGTGTTATAATATAATGGAAATTTTTGATAACTCTGATGATTTTGTCAGTTAATTGTACTGAATTTGTAATTCATTTCTCTTACTTTGAGCAGACTTTTTGAACAAAGCGAGCTGCTACAGTACAATCTTTGATACGCACTCTTCTTTCTTCTGAATTGTGTCGATGCGATGGCTGAAGTCAGACCAAACCTTCTGAAATAAGCACTGATTCAGTTAATTAGTAGCAATAATGTAATTAAAAATGTGAAGGAAAAAATAAGAAACTTCCGATAATGCTTAGCACTATCGGAAGTAATGAATGAGAATTAGTTTGAGATGAATGAATTCTAGCATTCTATTTTGTCACAAAAAGCGCTCCTTCCGTCAACAACTATCTCTCTCAAATGCTAATCATCATTATTATCTCTCATTACAATCGTACAAAACTGCAAACAAATTTGCCACAGTGTTCATGCCTTTCAATAGCGAAACAAGCTGATCAAATATTGCCCTAAAGCATTTCTACTTCTTTCTATTTATCAGCAAAATAGCTATACTTATTATTCCAGTATGCTATTATTTTATGCAAACATATAATATAAATATTTGCATGCATGAAATTTCCCCCAAAAACTTTTTAAATACACTAAAATAAAAACTTTAGCTGAGTAAGTGAATATGTGCACATGCAAATATTTGTCATTCAAAGTATTTATGCTTGATATGTAATTGAAAATTATTTACATACCAATTTTATTCTTTATTTTTCACTACAGAAGGGATAACAAATACTTGTATACAATGTAAACATTAACAAGTAATGATAATGGTAATGATAATGGCAGTAACCTTGGTAGATCAAAAGTGGTCATAAGATTTTTTCATTTGTCAATGACTGACTAAGAGTTAAAAAGGATTAATATCATTTATTGCTTTGAAGAATTACTGTAAATTGTAAACTAATTAAATCAATTCATTCATTTCCAGTTTAAGCTTAAAACAGTAGAAGTAGTTCATTTTCAATGCATCAGCATAGCAGGACAAACGAATTCTAGAAGTACATAATTCTTGTAAACTTTTGAGGAAGTGAATCATATTCGATACTGAATGAATTCTCGGAAACAACTCCGCACATTGTTTGGAGAAAGAGAAGTCAGCGATAAGGAAAAATTCAAAATGACCGAGCAGTCTTTTCAGCATAGTTTACCAAAACTGTAATGGCTTAAAATTTATTTTTTTGGTCGTAGAAAAGCTGATGTCACCAGGAAAGTTTATGTGTTGAAAATCAGTTCACGCATTCAGAAAAAAGAGCTTAACTTTTTATTTTTTAATTGAAACTGGTTGCCACAACTTGTGCGATGATCTTGATAGTACAGTCTACAGATTCTTACACATTCGACAACATGCCTTCAGTCCTGAGACAGTAAATTAACAGCTTAATAATTTGCTAAACTAGCCAAGTAACTAGAAGACCACATTTCTGACTTTTTTACTTTTTAAATTATAAATCATTTGGTACTTTATCTAATTTGAAGTTCAAATTACATAATTATTTTCAGTCAGGTAATAAATGTTAACTTCTAGACATATTTTTCCACAAACAATGACATAAATTGCAATGAGTATTTTGTTTCATTCAGAGTGTTGCATTCGGTAGTACTGAAATAAAAATTTTATTTTTCGAAAATTTCAAAGTCTTTACACTTGTTGTTTCTGTGATCCAAAGCAAACTTTTTCAACAAGTAATATTGTAAGATAAAATTAGTCCGACCAAATATATTATTGTAATCGCTTTCAAGTGCAAAATGTTTGCGACAAAAATTACGATTCCTTCATTTGCTGCTCACTTTAGTTCGTCTTGAACATTAATGATTGTGGCAAAATGAAACTTTTTCCTGATCAGCTCAGTCTTTTTGCTTATTTTATCATTATAATCTGATCTAATTTTTTTCATGAAAAAGCTTTTTGCTAGGAGACAAATACTGCAGATTTAGGTCAATATTTCCAAATGCTGCACACAATTGTATGACTAAGCCAGAAATTTATTTCTGTAACTGAAATTTAAATCCCTCGCAATTATTTATAATATTTTAATAACAGCTTTTTGCTAACTTTCCGATACAAAATATGAGTTTTATTATTGTGTTATTGAATAAATAAGTAATAAAACTGATGTCTTGCACATTTACTAATGTAATTGAATAAGTTGTGAGCAAAACAAAAGAGAAAACATTTTCACTTACAAGATAAGAACTCGTTATTTCAATAAAGTAATTCTGATTTGCAATTTATAACTTCATTAAACTCCCATTACTTTTGAAACAATAAATAACACATCTCTGATAAGCAATTTTTTAATTCACAAAAGTCAATCTTAACTTTTCCCCTTTAGAAGTTGCATTTGGTAAACTTGAAATGAATTGACGTTGAAAAAAAATGCTAAAGAAAATTAACGCTGTGACAATTACAAATAGGCCAAAAACAACTTAAAAAAAAACCCACGCCTAATTTTTTTGCTAGAAAACAAAATACTACAGATTTAAATCAATTTGTAGTATAAATATGACTAAAAATGGTAAATTATGCATTAAAAAACAGTAACAATAATAATAATAATAATATTTAGCACTTATTTGCAAAATATTGTCATTATAATTATTTTATGCCGTCAAAATAAACGATTTCTGAAACAGATTGATGCATTGATGGAATAAAGAGTGAGAATCAAACTATGCCCATTAAATGAGTTCAAATTTTTGAATGTAAACATATTTGCTTGTCGATAATGGAGAAAACATGATAACAATTTTGTTATCACCATTTTATTTGTTATGATATAATAAAAGTGTGAAATTAGTCAAAGTTATGCAATATATTAATACAGTAAAACCAGATATTGCATTTTATTTCGCTCTAAAAAGTTGCGTCTAAGATAGCCTGTCTTAAATACAAATAAGAGAACAAATTATTCAGAAGCATTACTTACTGTCATTCCGAAATAGTCGCTTTCCAATAACTTTTTCAGCTTATCACATTTCAATCAGAGCTTTAATTTCATGTACTTTTCTCAACACTTGTAGATAATCTTTCTCAAGCTTATCATATTTAGAAGGGAAATTCCAAGCTATGGCGTCCAAGGACTTAGCTTAGTCCTTAATCTGCAAGGAACCCTTATTCTGCAGTCATACCGCAGTGATTATACAAATTGTTTGTGTGTAAGAAAATTCTAAAATTTTATCAATTCTAAACGTTCTAATTCTAAAACTTAAACTGCATTCAAAACTTCAGTCATCCAGGCAGCTTATTGTGTGTTTACTTGCACTGGTTTTAAGCAGTTACAATAGTATGCCTACACTTCTTTTTATGACAATACCAGAAAAACCCATCAAATTTAATATTCAGAAGCCTAATAATGTCAGAATATCCTATAAAATTTCAGAAGCCAAAACAAGCTTATTGAAATGCATTGAATGATGTAAAAAAATGAAAATAAAAATTGTAAATACCTCACACGACGCACTCTGAATGATTCACAATTTAAATTGAATATTTGGTTTGCGAAGCCCGTAACTGTTTACAAGAAATCATTTTTTGCTTGAAAGAACTTTTACTCAAAAAAGCTAATTCCTAACATGTATGAAAGTAAATACTTCGTGTAAAGAGCTCAAATCTTCTTGCACATTAGACATATATTCTAAATATTACATTAATAAAAGAGATAATGCAAATGCTTCTTAAATATCAGTCTGAAACTGCCATTTCAATTTCAAACACACTTCAATTCATTCATTTCCTTCTTTTGTCATTTTTCTAAAATTCCCTCTAATAAGCCATGTTTGCCAGTGTGTATGATTAATTCTCATTAAATACAAGAAGTCCCAAAGTAATATTCATAAAAGCAACTTATTGGTTTAATGTGAAGAAACATCATTCTTGCACATATCCTTGAACATTTTTATCTCAATTATTTGAAAAACAGATTTAAAATATTTTAATGACTGCTCAAATAAACTTTTTCTTATGCGCTTTCTGAGCAATATTAAAATAAGTGTGAAACTTTGACACAGATTTAAATTATTTAGACTAGTTTTTCAAACACATTTAGAGTAGATAATTAACCGTCTTTCATTTCTAGGTTTTAATTAAAATTAAAACTTGAGGATTAAAAATGATATCTATATTTCATGCATATTTTTAAATTTCTAAATGTTGAAGGAATTTAGTGAGAGCAACTAATTCTTCCTGATAATAAATTCGGTCAATTCTTCAGCTAAAATTTTTTTAATTTATTATTCTTGACAAAATTAGAAACTTAAAAATATAAATGGGTTAGACAATTTCAATTTACTCTATTTTTTTAATTTAAAAAAAATTTAAATTATACTGCAGTAATAGAGTTTTTCGTAGTATTGATAATAATACTGCAAAGCATCACTGTAATTAATGAATAATGCAATGATGATAACAATTGTCAGCGATAACAATGTGTTGACAACGAATGAAATGTATGATATGGTAATGATAATATTAGTATCATCATTAATGTCAACAATAATAATAATAAATACGATTTCACATTTTTCCGACAAAAGTAAACGTGAGCACGAATTCTCATTTCAATGATTTTGCCTCCTGAAAAGCTGGAAAAGTTGTGAAAAAAAGAGTTTTGAAAAGGAATAAAATTAATTTTAGCCTTAAACAGATAAGTCTTGCTGTACTAAGTTCGCTGTACTGAGTTATCATGACAGTAGTTGTCATCTGATGTTGCCACGAACTGGCATCCAAATAGATGCACTATTACTTTTGTTGCCGTAATTGCTTAGAGATGTAGCATAAAAATGAGCTGCGAAAAGATACAAGCCCAAAGTGAAATATTGAACTTGGGAATCGAGAAATATCGCAGAAATTAAAGTTTCGAAAGGCTCAATCTATGGAATCCTCATTCATTTTCTGCAATATTATTATCCAGCTAGACTTTAAAGTAGGAAGTGAGAAACAAAGGTCGAATATATATGCCTAAGACTAATCCACCTCCTTATGAAAATACAAGTTCAGATGATTCTTAAACAACTTTGCAAGATGACATAGCGCTGAAGGAAGCTTCTCTCTACACTCTGAATAATTTAAAAGCATATCCACTCCTTTAATGAAAATGTAAAAAACAAACAAATGCCACACCTCCGATGCGTCTCTCCACACTATCTCATTCAACTCCAGCTGCCAAAACTGACTTCAAGTTACTCTTGCTAGTAAGGTATCGTAACTTTAAGAATGAAATAGTTTAGAAGCACTGAAGTGCTGCAAGTCAAACACTCTTCCATATTTATCCTCGCCATCAACAAGTATCAATTTCGTTCTTGACGGTTTGGGTACTCAGAGCAAGTGCTACATTGCTCGGTTATTTTAAAAGCAAAAAGTTTGCACAAAGATCTTACTTCCGATTGTTTTACGAAGCGCTTAAAAAAAAAGTGCTGTCAAGTTTTGCAAAATAAACGGAAGCTTCCTTTATCATCTGTTATCTTTAGTAATTCAATATACTGCATAAAATCTCACTCTTCTTATAAATCAATGCATATTCTAGCCTTTGCCAACTATTCATTACTATGAAAAACATTCTACACATTCCACCGGAAAAAATTAATAACATACTGTATTTCAGAATTAAGTCACTTAATATACAAGCAGTTAGTTATACGAGATCATGTTTTCTCGAAATTCATCGAACAACTGTTTATGCAATAGCGTTCACCAGTATCTGTTTTGTCGTCAAAGACATGGCCCAAGTGAGCATTGCACTGCAAAACAGAAAATAAAAGACGTCGTTACTCTCTAAAATATGAATATAAATGCTTAACTAAAAAAGTGTCAAACTTTTAGCATCTCACTATACCTAACCTGCTTACATCGTACTTCAATACGTTCCATTCCCATGGAAGTGTCTTTCAACCTTACTATGTTCAAATCATTCTCCACTGACTTTGAAAAAGCTGGCCATCCACATCCGGAGTTAAATTTAGCTTCTGACCTAAAGTGCTCCAAATTGATTATCTCACAAAAATAAGAAGACATTATTATGTGAACTACAATAAAAAACAATTGTGCCTGAAAAGCTGTGCTCCACAACATCGGCAATTATATATGCCTCGTTCAAAGTGCTTATCAAATTTTCCAGAGAAAGCTCTCTCGGTATCGCCTTCTCGAGTAACACTATATTCCAAAGGACTAAGAACTTTTTTCCATTCTTGAGCTGTTACTTGCTTTGGATCAAGTATTCTTAATGCGTTCAAAGCACTATTCTCTGAAAGTGAAATATAATAGGCACGAACAAATAGACATTAAATGGTTAAACCTTTTTGAACTCATTACCCATACAGTGTTTTTTTTAATACCCGCTTTAGTATTGAAGTTGAAAAATGTCAGTAAACTAAACTTCATACTTACCATAAGTCTTACTAGCCATTAGTAACCTAAAAGAGTTTTATACGTTAAAAATGATCTGCATACCAGTTGAATTGGTTTCCATGCGACAGGTTCTTGTTTTTACTAAAGCTGAAAGTATCCAAGAGTTAAGTTTTTTTGGAAATCCAGAGAAGGTAGCAAAATATCTAACCGACCTCATCTGTATAGCTAGTATAATTCTTGAAATTTCGTTTTCTTCAAATCAAACTTCTACTTTTTCTGAACTATTTCAAACAGTTAAAAGTAGTGTCATCTGAAATATTCACGATATCAAAAAGTAGAGAGATGCTTTAACAGCTTGTCTAAAAAGGAACTTTAATTATCCTTTCTTATGCGAATTAAGTTCACTACTTCAGTATGGAACTTTTTTTATTCTAACTAGACTACATAGTCTACCTTAGCAGTACTAAATGTGGTGCTAATGTACTGTTATTATCCGCACCACTGAAAAAAACCACAATATTTCATTAAAACACTCATGCATGCCACCTACTCAATCACTTTAGCTTTAAAAGGTATTATTTTTTGCATATTTTCCAGCAGAAACGCATTTTGCACCACGCTACGCAAGAGTTGCATTCGTGTTGCATGCTACGATCAGTTTCGATAATGGGTCATATGATAGTAAATGGACAATTGCTTTTCTGTTATAGTAAAGGTTGTTCGTGCAAAGAGTTGTTTGCTAGTGACCAGATATTACTGGAGGAAGTTTCATTGTTTAGTCGATCGATTTCAGCAAATAAACTCCAGTATGGATGTTTCCATTAGGAGTAGTGTAGAGTGCATGTTATTTCATTTATAGAAATGAAGTATTTTATACTATTTAATTGAGATAAACATTTAATTATGATATTTCGGCAGTCATTTGCTTCAGACTTGAATAGTAATAGTCATTTAACGGTGCAAAAAAACGGTGCTATTAATCTTTAGAACACTTTGTATTGTTTATGGCTGAGAAAATATTTCGACCTTTGTCAGCTAAAGAAATTCGTAAACATATTGAAGGACGAAGCGAAAACTCACATCAGAAATCAGAAAAGTAAGTCTTTTTTGGCATAAAAGCGAGTTAGAGTGCGCAGCTGTATTTTTAACAAATAGCACCTTTCTATGGAAAATTCTCTCTAAAGATTAACTTACAATTTTCCAATATATTTCTAAATTTTCAAGGAATTTTGATAAAAATGAAGATAAATAGATATAATATAATATGTGCATCTCAAAATATATCTATTCTATTTCTCACCAGTATGATTTCCGTTCCGTGGGAAAGTACAGCTTTTTATTATTGACGCTCAGTGTATTAGCACCGATATTTACATGAAGATTGATTATTGCAGAAGGAAAAACTTTGATGACTGTGATATTAAAAGTGACAATAAATCTAATAGCCTGAAAAAGAAATATAATGATGAAGATGACCGATTGGATGGTCGAAGGTATGAGTCGCAGCGAAGACGAAGGAGTACGGAACGACACAGTGATATTCGACACCGAAATGATAAACGCTATGGCAATGAACGGAAAGATGATTTGGATAGGGGACGAAGTTCGGAACATAGTAGAGATCGATATTCAAGTAGAGAAAGAGAAAGAGGAACTCCCACTGATAATTATCACAAAAAGGTATTTTTCGTTCCAGCATAGTAGTGCGTGTTACATAACACGTATATATATATAATAAATGTGTAAATGAGTTATATATATAGCTCATTAATGAGTTATATATATAGCTCATTTATTCATTTATTAACATATTGTAGTTTGAAAATTTAAATATACCTCATTTTGTATTTGTGAGTAATTTCTTACTTTTCTTTAAATTTACTTTCTAATTTTATGCTTTATTTTATGAAGAGTGAGCGCCGGATTGCTACTCTCTCTTCTTGACCCTTTTAGAGTGGCTCTAAGTACAGTAGAAAAACTGAAACATCCCTCGAGGAAGGCAGAAGTGGTCGAAGAAATCAACGCTCTCGACATTATGGGTATGTTGGCAAAACATTTAGGATATAATTAAAGTACTATTACCTATAATAACTGTCATTAATTTCTCGATTAAACTAGTGACTTGACTGACTTTTCCATTTATGTTCTTGTTAGCACTGTTTTCAAATATTCGTGGTACCTCAATTTTTATTTAGCATTTAGAGTTTTATCTGAATCTTGGCAAGATAGTAAGTACTGGTAGCAAGATCAGTTTATTTACATAATCGATGTATGTCTCATCTTAACTCTTTTGGCAACTAAAAAAATTAATTTAATATGATGGTCCAGTGATGATACTGATGATGAAGAAAGTAGTGACCGACCTGCTTGGGCAACGAAAGCTGTTATGAGAAAAGCAGAAGAAATTAAGAAAAGAAAATTAATTTGGAGCAAACCAGAAGAAAAGCATGTGAGTTTTTTCTCTCTTGAAAAAGGAATATGCAAGTCATTTCTCATTAGTGCTGTATTTAGGAATCAGAAGATATTACAGTTTCTTCACCTACTGGATCACGACCTTCTTCCACTGCTACGTGGAACTCTATATTAGCAGCGAGTTCTTCGGATAGTAAACAGCTAGATAAGTTCAAACGGTACGTTTCTTTTTAGTTGTCTAAAGTGACATAGAATCAAGAGTTCCGTTTTAAAAAGTTATTAATTTATCTGATTTTACATTAGGCGTACATGTAATTATATTGAGATCCATAAAAATTGCAGCTTAATGGGTATGAAAAAAAGTGTTGGAGAAGGTGAAGAAATTGCAAAAGTTGATGAAAATCAAGTTGAAGCTGAAAGAAGACGGCAGCGTGAATTATATAGTGGTTTAGATCAGCAGTACGCAGTAGCTCGGTCGTTTACGCATCTTAGTCGAGGTCAAGGACTTGGCTTTCATTAGTGATAAATTTTTATTGCTTTTAATTTAATATTAAAGAATCTAAATGTCACCTCAAATACTGTAGTAAAGTGCTACCTGAATGTGTTGCTGTACAGTGATTTTGTTGGTTTGTTTGCTAAAAAAGGTATGTAGCAGATTGATTCGGCGCAGTAAACATTGTGAGTTATTTGAAACATTTGAATTAGTGCTCCCTAAGTTGTTTTTTAAAGTATCGTATATTTCGTTGTGGAATGTCATGAAAATATGTTGATTTTCTAAATGCCTATTTGTATGTTAGCTGTGTTTTGTAAGGAAGTCGTAAAACATTGATTAGGTTTTATTTTCAACCTATTCTCCTCAACAGTTATGTAATGCTAGTGTTTATTTGCTACACAATCGCATAAATACTTCTATTCATAGATCAGATTCTTCAAATTGGTTACTCGATGAGTATGAGCATTTGGAACAGGAATTTTTCCGACCATTCAGAGTTGATGCAAAATGATGATATTGCCAGATAAGAGATAATAATTGGAGCACGATGATAAAAGCGATGAAGAGAATGGTGGTTTTCTGCCGGTTTGATGCTTTTAATTCCAGGGTGTTTATCATTGCTGCCTGCAAGTGGTAAGTGCTTTTTTAGCATATAACAGTATTCGTTTGTAAGTCAAATAAATGTGAGGTTATACCAATTAAAATTAGTCATCACTTCTGGAACTGTTACTAGTTGGCTCACTGGTTGTTCTTTAAGGGCTAGTACCCACTTGAAAGTTTAATTCCTCATCGAGGTAGCGGTGATGATTTAACTTATGCTATCATTTGAAGAATCATGTAATTAGCAATAAAAATGTCTGAACCGATGAACCGCTTTCTCGTGAGTCATCTCATACCTTTATTAGGTTTGGATCTTAAAAAGTTGGTAGTGGTACTATAAATAGATGTATGTCCACAATAATGCAGTTAAGATCTAAAATAAGTAGTTGGCAAAGATTTCTTGCTTCAAGATTCAGGAGATTTTTTGGACAGGTGCAGTAACTAGAAAGCTCCTATCTCTCAGTCCATGATATGATTATTTCGGAATCTATAAATTATTTCGGAATCTAGTACTTACTATCTCTTCATATGGATCGTGTTTGCTTTGAATCATCATAGAATTCATGCGTTCCGCTGTGGATGGTGTTCCTTCCTTATCAACGAATAGTCTACATTTTAGCCTATGTTCCATTCTTGATTCTTCATTAGAATTCTTCCACACACTTCCAAAATCATTATTTTCTTCATTTGTTTCCACTGCCATAAGCAGCAATTTCTCACGTGGTACCGAATTTCGGAACTCTACAATTGATTAAATCTTGACCTTTTTATGCATTCAGTAAAAATAGTGAAAAAAAGACGCTAAATAGAAGTATGAAAACAATAAGCAAGTTATCCCTACTCTTATTTGCTGAATTTGAATATGTTAAAAAATTCACATCACTTTATTTGATCATAATGCTATTAATTCCAAACTAACAACTGATACCATTTTGTAAATAAACTCTAATGTACTCTGTTCCACCAGGAGCAATATTTCCCGTACTCGGACGTACTCGGAATTTCTCAGGCGATGTAATCTTGACTTTAAATACGACGTTTTTGCTACTTTCATTTTTCAAAACTACCATATCGACCATATCGTTTTCGCCACTCACCGGATTCAGTGTCAGCTCCTCACGTGGACTAAACTTCAAATCATTTTTTCCAAAGGAAAATTGTGTCAAATATTAGCTGGGATTACTGCTTTACTTAATATATATAAAGAGATATACCTGATATATATATCTGATAGATCAGCTCAGATATATATATACCTGAGCTGGATCTACTTTAGTTTAGTAAGTTATAGTGCCTCTTACGTTGCAATAAATGCTTAAGATTGTGATTGTATCAATAAGCAATCAGATAACATTACTTTTCTTTAAATAAGGCAACAAAAGACTCACGAAATGGAGAGAAATTTGACTCTAGTATGATTTTTGGAAAAACTGCTTAAACGTCTCTCTACCAGAGGACGTAATGTTTGCGGTATGCTATTCCGTTTGGTGACCGATGGTACACGTTGTGAAATAAAAGTCAACGGAATGTTTCGATCTGAGTCTTCATCCCCAAATTTAACCGACTGCAATAGACATTTTTGGCTTTTGTGATGGTGAGTTTTCTTCATGATTTAAAAAAAATGTACATATGCTAGAATTTACGTAATTTAAAACCTTTCGGATGTTTAAAGCTTTAGCAGAGATCACAGTGATTCGGCCCTACCAAATTTTTGTGATTTATTGCTGGTTACATTATCATTTACTAATTTATTAAAATTTACCCTTTTAAAGCTGAAATTGCCGAAATGAGCTGTACTGCTATCAGGCGAAAGATTAATAGTTGGAGTAGTAATTTGCTGCGTTACTTCTTGAGTATTATTATCAAGTGTTGCATTTGAAGAAGATTCTGTTGGTGGCAGTATAGATCGAGCAAGTTCATCCATAGTAAAAATGAAGTTATCCTGAAACTATGGTTCAAGAACAGCAAGAAAGATTGATGTCTTTGTCTTCTCTAATCAGCAAGTCTTCAACTGTTTAACAGCATTAGTCAGCTAAATTGATTAGAAATGGTGATTCTCTGTTTGTCACCAGCAAAGAATCTGTTATAACTAAGTAGTGTCGTAGCTGACTTGAACTTGATCCATTCCCAAGTTAATGCTTGAATTACTATTTATTTCGACTAGTAACTTTGGCTACTATTAAAATGGTTTCTATAAGAAGGTATTAAAATGAAGAAAATATTTTTAAGTTTTTATCTTTTGTTGAAATTTGCAGTTTTTTATGTAAATGCAATATTTATATGTGCTAATATGTTGATGTGAGATGTTAATTTTAGGCTTAAAAAACTGAGTAATGCAAGCTTTCATCTGCAACTGTTCATAAAAGTTTCTAAAATTAATGACGTAACTATTCTCCAAAATAAAATAAAATTGAAAAATGCGAGGATTTTTCCGTTGTTGCTGACATTTCAGAGATATCAAATCTTGACTAAGATCTGTAGAGTTGGTTTGAGATGCGATAACAGATTTCTGTTTCTACAAATATTCGAGGTCGATATAGTAAAAACTGGTGAAAGGCCATAGGAATGTGAAATTAGGGTTAAAAGTTGGAGAATAGTTTCAGAACTAATGTTGTGTACATTACGCAAAATCGAAATCGCAATAATTATTGATCTTACTGATGTGTGTATATTCGTTGTACATTTCTAATGTTAAATATCTTCTAAACAAAATTCGCGAAAGAGGTGATAGCTAAAGCTATTTTTAATGTAATTCGAACAATAATACATAATATGTGCATTATTCGTTATGTTCAAAAGTTATATTCTCCACTTTTCAAGTTTTTTAACCAGCAGTAGTAAACTGTAAAGTTTTCAAAGAAGGTACTGAAATTCGTTAGCGTATAGTAAGGAGAAAAGTAGATAAATGGAAACAGGAATCACAATACATATTTAAGGTGGTTTTAATGGTGATAGCGAAAATCTGAACAAATTACAAATTCACTATGAACTGAAACCTGAATACCTACGACCGCGTGTGAACGATTTCATAGCGTTCTAAACAAATATCGCTCAGTTCTGGACAGAAACAACGAAAGCAAGAAAAAATATGGAGCAATCATGAAAGGATTGCTATTCACTGTGTAATTTATGGTTAAAAAAACATTGGAATGCTTGCACAATATATTTAAGATGCAAAAAAGTACACAAAGAGTGTATTACCTTGACTACAAGGAAATAGAAGTAATATTTTTGAACAAGTAATCAGTCATTCAACATTAGCACAGCAAAGAATGAATGGAACAATCAATTATATTGATTGATTAGCGATCAGTTCACAAGGAAAGAGTGAGCAATTTCAGCTTCTTATCAAGGGCACTGATAATGGGTTAGATTTTCTGGATTTGATGTTAAAGTAAAAACTGATGTGAATCATTCGTGGGAATTACATACTGTTCTTCTTGGTTAATAAGCTTCCACTATTTACGATTTATGAAAGAATATATACGAAGAGAGAAGCTAATGTGGGGGAAAATAAAAATAAAACTTATCGTGAATGCCTACGGAGTTGTTAGTTGTTCAAAAGTGTAAAGCAAAGTAAGCTTAAATTTGAAAAATAAAGATGGGGTCAAGCTTTAAGCTCTGCCCTTACTTTTCCTTTCTTCTCTCTGTATAATCAATCGCAGTAGGCTGGAAAACTTAAGCTCTTAGGACTGTATTTCACTTCTCTGCTAAATGCTGAAATCATTTCAATCTCTTTAAACTATTTCGCAAGCTTGTCGGTCACTCATTCAACTTATCAAAACTTTAATTCATTTTTTTAATTTTGAAGAAATTATTGAGAATCCAACTTTGTTGCAGATTAATTACAATGATGCCGATACAACTAGAGCTACATTTCGTATACGTCCATCTTTAGAAAAATGATAATTAAAACTTAGGGCGTGAGAACTTTTTTGATTGTCATTTCAGACTTGACCACTTTACTAGGTAGACTGAAAAATTAATTCAATTATTTCTTTTTTGGGACTTGTTGCAAAGCTAACTGAGAACTTTTCAGTTCTGTACACAGATGTAAACATCTGAGCAAAAACCTTTATGAGCGAGAAAAATTTTTCAAGAAGTCGAAGAAGATATTAAATGAAAGAAATAATCGTAGATAAGATTTGTATATGGAACAAACATATACGTACTTGACCACCATAACGCTTTGGAATAACTGATATCGGCAAATATGATGGAAGTGATAAGCGTTTCACGTGTTGGAGAAGGGGCTGCATCTCCGGTGACATCCACGTACGTATTAACAGCCAAGATGCCTTTAGCAAAGTTGGATTTTCAAATATCAATACTGACTTCAGAGAATTTGGATAGTAATATTTACAAGATCGAATGATAAATTTAATCAGACCCAAATCCTAGAAAGTGAACAGTATTTACTTTCAAATAGTAAAATACGAGATTAATGAGCAAATTTTTGCTTTCTCTTTTTGAGAACTCTACAAATTTACCATCGAAAAATTGTCTAATTTTCTTCATAATAAGTTCAAATTTTGTACTAAACGTTTACTTCTAAAATTAGTATTTGAAAGTCATTTTCATCAAATAATGACATGATATTTCAAAAAACCAAGTTACAATGGAAATAGAATGTGCAAATTATTTTTAATGAAATAAATCTTTAAATAAATTTTGTCCTTTAAAAAGTTATCTACACTACAAAAGACTTAGCATATTTTGTAAAGAACAAGACGACATGTCGAATAGTAGAGTAATTGGAGCCGCTTGAAGCTCCATCGTGTGTCGTTCAAGCCAGTAAATTATCAGTCTGTCAGTATTTGCTAGTCCGATGACATGTTGTCGCATGTTTATCCACACTGCAAAATCATAATCATGCCAGTTTGATACTAATATACTTAAATATTAGAAAGAATGCTAATTATTAATATTAGAAAGCAATTAGCAATCTAATTTGCTAATTGCTAATTCCATAATTTCTAACTTCTTACCAACTCTTGTCGTTCTTGGCATCAGTACCTTAATGACATCACTGATGCAGCATTTTTAATTATTTAGGTTTTATTTTAAAGATTTTGTCATTTCTATCTCCGTGGTTTTTTAACGTCATTAAAAATATTGCCAACTAAATATTATTTTTTCTCTGTCTGAAATCTAAACTAAACTAATTACTGAAAAAAGACATACGTATTGAATATCCGTTACAATCTTTGCCATGTAAGTAGGCTAATTTTCGATCAAGTAATGGCTTTAGTTCCAGCAAACTGATGTCTTAAAATATCATTTGTTTTTCTAGTTACTGAGAAGCTAAAGGTACTGAGACCTTGAAGTCACGAAATGACTTAAGTAAACCCTCATTCACTCTCGCACTGACTAATCTAAAATCAATCAAGATTTGTGGTCAAAAATTATTTAGCATTAGTATTTTCAGTCATTCTCAACTGCTCTGAGAATCCCTTCCCTTTTAAAAAATTACTGCAAACAGAAAAAGATCGTCGCCACTTGAGACATTCGAGAATAACTGCGTATGTTACGTCTACGTCTTTATGGTAAGCGTATAAAAATGACAAAGGCCACCAATCTTCAGTAAGTAACCTGTTCAAATCATCTTGGCATATTTTGGAATCACTATTGCACTGAAATTAATGCAACCCATCAATAACAAACAATTTAGGGTCATTCGAAAGATTTCATTAAAATCATGTAAGAATATTTCATTTTGATAATTTGAACCCTAGATTATGAGAGTATTACTAATTACAATGCATAGATGAGAAGCTATATACTTGACTCCAGAAATATTATTACTGAGAAGTTGGTAGTAAAAAAATCGAAGGTGATTCTGTAGGGTGCGTAATTGTTAAACTTGAACTGAGGACTATTTGACTTGAATACAGATTAGAAGGAAGGTTTTTTTACAAATTTGAATTGGGAAAGATGAAGTTTTTTTAAACAAGAACTGTGAATCATTTCAGATATTGATATAGTGGCAACCTTTCGAAAGCGCTCTCGTAAAGCTACCAACAAATGACTGGAGTCTGATTCATTCATTGTGCCTGCATTAGTCACGTGATAAATTTCTGAATGAATCGAAGCAGCAATATTATAGAAGCACCAATTTTGCAAAATTTTATAATTGGAAATGATCGAATTGATAGACGGATGTTGGATGCAAATGGACGTTAGCTGTTGAAGTCCTGTGAGTGCTTACGTTTTTAAGAAAAAATTTACTACTCTCATCTCACTATTTGCACAAATTTTAGAATATGAGAAATTCACCAGCATAAACTTCTACTCACTTCGCTCTACTTACATATGCTCATTACCACGCCTATTGTTACTGCTATTATTAATAGTATTACTGTCAATCTACCCTCCTGTTATCTTTATCATACCATTCCACGTACAGCTAACAGAAAGCAATTGGCTTTCAGATATACAACAAAATAAATTTGTACGTCACCTTAAAATTGTTTTTCTCTTTGTGAAATGCAAATGATATTTTTTGAAATTTGCTGTGACAACATTCCAAAAGTATATTGTAAGTGCTTTGAATATTTCATGATAAATTAAAGGGGTAGGAGATGCTAGGTGCTACTTTAGTGAATCAAGCAAGTAAGCATCAGTCTCATATGTATCCCAACTAATCTTACGGATAACCTCGAGTGAATTTCTATATATGTATATATTCCCTAACACTTGATTTTGTAATATCAATTAATTTTCTTAGGACGTCCAGGTGAGAAGTTCCCCGTTTCCCGAAAGTTTCAAGGCAGTTTTTGAATTCAATCAGTGATCTGTCATAATGAAAGCTGCATTGCAACTTGAATGATACAAAAGTGATGATTCGATCAAAATAAAAGTACTTGAATTTTAGTACCTATGTGTACATAATAGAGATCAATAATATAAGTGTACTCGAGGCACGAAAAAATGGAGTAGCAGCTTTCTTGCCTGAAGAAAATAAGAGCCTTTGCATTCTCCAGGATTTCTCATACCGCACAAATCCGACGTTTTTTTGCATATATGTTTCTCGTTTCTTCAAGATACTCGCTAATTTGAGCATATGACATTAACCTTCCTTACACGCAGAAATTTCTCAGCATGCGCAACACGCCTCTCCCCGCCATACGGCGGAACAGATCCGATCACGAACAAAAAGAAACAGTGTGTAAGGTGCATGTGGGCGGTGCAATCGTGACCTCACATCCCACCCCTCATACCTCACACCTCACGCACACTCTGCATAATGCACTACGCATCAAGCCATTACACGTTCTTCAGCTGGCGTACATCATCTCTCTGCCTGCACGCCATCTATTCTTGTCTGTGCGTGGGGTTTTCTCCTTGTTTGTCTATCTACCTGTTGTGCACGATGTTTGCAGTCAGTTATGGAGAGAGCAATAGAGCAGAGAAGCAATTGATTTTTTATGTGGCATTTTTGCGAGGAGAGACATGTAATGTATGCATGGGAGTCTGCTGAAGAGCGATGTCTGCTCTCGCTGTTTCTCTTGTGTAAGCTATGCAAGTATGTACTTGGGTCTCCAGTTCGATCTTGACTTGTTTCAGATGGGGTTTAGGTATGGGTCGTCGTACTTGTTTGCTTCTATGAATGCGTGCTTTCCGGTTGTGTTGTCACGGGAATTTACATTTCTTATTCTATATCTCTGACGTCAGCACTTCTCTCTCTCTTCCCCTTTAACGTTGTCATGTATCAATGATATCATATGTCTCTCATTTTTCTTGAAATTTTTGGGCGGCCCTATAGTATATTACGTTTAATCTCTCCTCGTCTTTCACTAGTATTCTATTGATTAACGATTGCGATCGATTAAATGTTGTCTATTTTTGTGATTGTACTGTCTGTAGACGGAAGTGATTTCATCATTAGTATGTGTAATAATGACTATTTCATCACAGACGTGCATTTATTTCCTTTAGCCTAGGCTTACAGCAGCATATTACTAGCTGTTACTCAAGTAGAATTCTTAATTTTTTAAAGATATTATTTAATTGCATGTTGTGAAAGTATAAGGCACTGACTAGATTTTCTCTTCGAGTCATTTGGATGCCATCTTAAGTCATAAAAATAAGTTATTATATGCATGGTTTTGTATGAAAATAATCTAAATGCGAGCAAAAAGTAGTAGTAGTGCCAGTTGTGATGCAAAAAGTTCAGATTTTTTCACTATTATTCTGTTAGCAAGAGCAGATTTAGAGAACTTCAGGTCGATAGTGTGGGTAGCTCTTGTTGAAGTGATAAAATTTCAAGTGAAGTAACACAAATGTTCATGGTGACAGTGCATAGAATTCATATTTTTCTTTTACTGCGCAGTGAAATTAATTCTTGGAGGGAGGACTGGGAGTAGATATAAAGAGATGGATGCGGTTCTTTGCACATTAATTGCTGATGTGTATGCTTGTTTGTAAAAACAGTTGTGTCTGAGTGTATGTTTATATATTGCACACATTCTGTCTCAAAATTTCTGACTTCAGCACGAACAAGAATTGGTTAACTTGAATGCTAATTTAATTGCTCTGATTTCAACTCTTGTTATATTTAATACCATGCGGATGTTGACTTTAGCGAAAAGGATTCCAGAACTCAATGGTTGTATTCATTGTAGGTCTTCATTTCATGCTTGTATAAGTCTTGCTTGTTGTTTTTTTATTTAGGCTACTCATTTTGCATTTTTGGTGAAATAAGTCGCTGCTAGGAAAAATTTTTCCATGTTTCAACAAGATAATAATGATGTATGTAGTGTAGGATGTCTTACCCATGCAGTATTTTTGCCGCCATTAATGCCGTTAAATTTTTAGTTAAAAAACTGCCGTTATCCGATTTGTTTTCTCAGATTTCAGTTTTTTGCAGAAATTGGTGCAAAGGGAAGTTGAGACTGTAGTGAAAGATTTATGTTTTGAGCGTAATGGTTTTCAAGAGACTTTCTGAAATAAATTTACTCTATATTAAGTAGCTATGTTTATTCAAAAGATAATATGAAAGGAGGGCGCCAACAAGAGTAAATAAGCATGCCAGTTGTTCTTGTCGAGCTTATTTACAGTTATGAGTGAAGAAAATCAAGCTTTCCATTTATAAGAATGGTGTAATGCCTACAACAAAATATTTTTTTTCCTATATTCGATTTTTTTTGGAGAGAAACAAAATACAGTACTATATCTTAACTATTTTGATATCTCTGATAAGTAAAGATGTGTATATATTTGCATTTAATGTAAATTTTAAAATGTCTGTTTAAGAATACAGATAAACTTGATACATGCTGTGTGTAGAGATGAAATCAACATGGAATGATTTATCGAAAAGCATCTTATTTTTGTTTATTCATATATGTTTACCACATTTTGCTAATTCATGTAGCTTCGAAAAGCTTGTAAAATAATAGAGAATGTAAGAATTATTAGTTTTTTAATAATTGATTCTATTGTTGGGTGTTAATTACTACAAAACATGATGGACATTGGTAAAGTTGCATAATTTATAGAAGGAATACTAAATATGGTTATGAACAAACTGATAATTAGAAGTTTCAGATAGTTTTTGGGAATTCAATTAGTCTCTTATTTAACATTGTAGAATTAGAGATAAGAGTGTGTTCTTCAGAAAACTGAGTTGCACTGAAATGCTAACATAATTGTGTCGTGTATATCTTGACATCAAATCGTTGTGCTGTGTAATGCAACCTAGTTGATAGACAAATATAAAGTCAAAAGATGGGATGGAAACTGAAAACGGGTTTTGCTAGATCTGAATTGCTGCCTATCCAAACTGCAATAACTAATTTGTGTTGTCTATCATTAGCAAGTGTAAATCACATTTCTAATATAGAATTAGATGCAGACTGCGAAAAATAGAATGGGATATTCACTTCGTATTTCATTTCTGTTGATGAACTTTTTTAAAATATCCTCAGTTATCGTAGCTTCACAAAAGTGCTAAGTTTCTAAGGTCTTAGTTTGTTTGTTAGTGGGAACTTTACATATCTGCTTTATGGGAAATGATATCTTTCTTAGCATTTCTGAAGAAGGAACACGCTGTGAATTCAAAGGATTTATCCGGAAACATTATTTAATAACCAAATGTATTTTTGCTATAAAACCCAAAAAAAAGCTGATTGCTGTAGGCAATTTGTAAAGTGTTCTGGCAGAAGTATTAAGATTTTGATTCTGTCATTAGCTGAATAAGTTCTCAACCAGAAAGAAGGAAAAAGCGCGATTGGTTGGAAGGGGGATTCATTTTATTAGTATATTCAAAAATACATTCGTCTTTTTGAGAATATATCGTTTAAAAATCAGCCATACAGATGAATACAAAGTGTAAAAGCTGAATCTTATTAGGCCTTGGTATTTGGTCCATAGGAAGTCTTGGATAATTGAAACACAACTTGAATTAAGTTTAGAATGGTTCAATGCCTTCCGTTTGAAATTTTCTAGAAATAGCTTGTAGAATATCCTGTTGTGTATTTATTAATTTAATAATTTTTGAATTACAAGCTAAATAATTAGCATTGATAGCAATGTCTATAAAGTCCTGTGTGAATGGGACGACTGCCTTAATTTCACAGTTACTGTTTGCATCTGCGGTATATTTCATGTCCTTTTTTCCATTTTCGTAATGTTATTACTTTATGTTTGAAAAAAAATCGCATAAAAATTTAAAAAAGATTATTGCAGATATAGAAACGACTTGACTGAATTGTAATTTCTTATTTTTCCATTAGTGTTACGTTATTCACATTAGAACTTTAGCTCAAATGAAAGCATATACCATTTTTTGGGAAAAGTGTGCATGTTTTCTTCATGGTTGACAGCATTCAGTGTAGCAGTTGTAATGTAGAGTTTAATCTCTGGAATTCAGTTATTTGAAACTTTAGCTGTACATTTTGCTTGTTCGTTCTCTTTGCCTGTTTTTCATGGTACGTGGCCAATGTGCTCACTCTATTTCAGATAGGATTATTCAATTTTATGCATGGTTTCTATTAATTTCTAAGTATTTTGTTAAATTTATATCTTATCAAGTCGTTTAACGAAGATGATGGCAGGAGTGTTTGATATTGGTAAGTTAATCATTCAAGGGTCAAAATATGTTTGAGTTAAGTAATTTTGGACAGCATTAACTACATTGATAACAATGACATTATTAGGGAATCAATTTATTCTCAGACTCCGTTTGAAGAGGAAGACATGCTAAGAAAAATGTAGATTATAGTAAGTTGTGAGTAAAATTTTAATTTGTTTTTTTGAATGACTACTATCTTATCTTACAGAATTAAATGATCATCAATCCTGTGCAGCGGTGTCAGGTGACGAGGTGATGGAGGAAGATAATGAGTACATTGATGTTGAAGATGTTGGTTTTTACAAAGTACCCTTTGTTTGTCTGAAATCAATAGATTATTTTAGGTCTCAGATGCAATTGAATCAGCTTTTATCTGTAATACGTCTTTATAAAGTTTATTTCAGGGACATATCAGTTCACCGCCGCCAAGCTCTTCTTATTTGTGAGTTTTAGATCTAGTTTTAATTAAAATCAGTGATTTTTACTTATGATTTTAGCAGTAGCCTTATATCTCCTTGCATTTCGTCGAGTGTCCGAACTCTATTCCTCCTATAAAGCTTTCTTATATCAAGTTTGTAAGACGTAAAATTTGCATTGCGTGCAACACTTTTTTCTACCATAGCTGCAGGAATATTTTTGTAATTACTAAAATCAGTAATTTGAGTAGAAAATTTGAATATATGTATTAACAGTTGGTACATGTTGCTAATTTTGAAAGTTTTTTTGTCCTCATGTATTCCTGAATAGTTGTTCAGTCATGGTTTTATAGTCATCATTTCCTGTGTTCTTCCAGGCATGATCCATACCTCGAAAAAATTGATTTAGATGAATCAACAGTAAACCCACCTAATACTCGTCTAGGTCCAGAGAATTTTCAGCTGCTTAAAGTTTTGGGAAAGGGTGGATATGGAAAGGTTAGATGGTGGATCGATCTTTTTATCACTTACCAGTTAATGTATAATTCTGCATAATGATACATTGTGTGTACAAATTTTTATTGAATCTGATCAAAAATTTTTGAGATAACAATGGAAGAGAATCTTCATCTTTTTATGTTTGAAACATATTAAGTCGTTTTATTTTGGACTAGTTATAATGATTTGCGAAAATTGGCTTTACAGATGTATTGTTATAGGTATTTCAAGTCAGGAAAACGAACGGAAAAGACAAAGGAAGGATTTTTGCCATGAAAGTTTTAAAGAAGGCAACAATAATCAGAAATCAGAAAGATACCGCTCATACAAAAGCAGAAAGAAATATTTTGGAAGCAGTGAAAGTTAGTTCAAATTGTGTGATTTTTAATGAATGTCAAGCACTGTATTGTGGAAAGAATTTGCTTACTTTTCATATGCGAAATTGGGACGCGTATAGAGGTTCTAAAGTCTAGCAAGCTTATCCGTCACATTTCTTTATTCGTTCATTTTGACATAATGAATAAGAATATTTTCTGCTTCATTTAGCATACATTCAGCTTTGATTTCAGAGTCCATTTATTTGTGATCTTTTGTATGCTTTTCAAACAGGTGGCAAGCTTTATTTGATTTTGGAATATTTAAGTGGTGGCGAGTTATTTATGCATTTGGAACGAGAAGGATTGTTTATGGAAGTAGCTTTTCATGTTTATTTCACGTTTCCTAACTCTGATTGATAGATGGACTTTTTAACTGTACTTGATATGCTGTTTTAGCTTTGTGGTAAAAAATATTTGTTTGCTAGCAACTTCACAGTAAAGAGTCAAAAATGAATTTGCGAAAAAGAATAAGAGTGTATATTATTCAAGAAATGGCATGTTAAGTATCGGAACCAATTTCCTTAGCTTTCAAATTAACAAAAATTTCTCCCTCGTTCAGGATAATGGAGATGTGTTATTACAAAAACATGCAAAATTCTTTATTTCAATCGTGATACTTCGTTTTAGGCCGTAATATTGATTAATTTTGAGCGATAATCATATAATAAATTCTGTTTTAACAACTTGTCTCTTCAAGCATTGTCTGTAAGTCATGATATTTCCACCCACATTCTTTATTTATTGCAGGACACGGCAGCATTTTACTTGAGTGAAATAGTGTGTTCTTTAGAACATCTGCATCAACAAGGAATTATATATCGTGATCTGAAACCGGAAAATATTTTGCTTGATAGTCGAGGTTGTATTAAAGGAATCTTTGGATGATAAGAACTTTTATTACTATTTATAAGAACGTTCATTACTATTTTATAAGAACTTTCATTACTATTTCTACCACCAAAAAAGAAGTGAAATGGAACACTTCTTTCATCTGCACATCTTTTGACTTCTCGTTTTTGGTAGTCATTGTTCGGATTTCTCAAATATTTAACCTTGTTTTGAAGCCAAACTTTATGAATGTTTGATTAAGAATATTGTATCAACGGGAACTGGAGATACTTTGGTAGAAGGTGTAGTTGGTTTGCCATCTGAGAAATTCTTATGATTGTGAATGGCTGTTTTACAAATTTAGATTAGTTTTGTACAGTTCTTTGTTAAAGGGAATTTTTTTAGGTCATGTAAAATTAACTGATTTTGGTCTATGTAAGGAGGCTATTGAAGGTGATCAGAAAACGCACACGTTTTGTGGAACCATAGAATATATGGCACCGGAAATATTGATGAGAGTTGGACATAATAAAGCTGTAGATTGGTGGAGTTTAGGTGCACTAACATATGATATGCTTACAGGTGGCCCACCATTCACAGCCGATAGCAGGTTATGTTTTCTGTATATTTCTTATTGTCTTTCTTATATATACATATCCGGTTTGAGTAGTAGTTTAGGAACATAAGTTTTTTTAGACGAAAAACCATCGACAAAATTTTGAAAGGACGGCTTACATTACCATCGTTCTTGAGCATGGAAGCACGTGATTTGATTAAAAGGCTTTTGCGAAGACATGTTGAAACACGCCTTGGAGCAGGTCCTGAAGATGCCTGCGAAATTAAGCGGCATTGTTTTTTCCGGTCTCTTAATTGGGATGTAGTCTATGCGAGACAGGTTTCGTTTACCTATTATTTCACATTTTTTGGAACATGGTGAAATTTCTATGCTAATTAATGGCACTTCACATATGCCACAGTTAAGTTACTTGAAAATAAATATATTTTCTCCAAGTTTTATATCGTAATCTTGACTATGGTATATGGTTTTTTAAAAATTTGTTACTTCAATTCTTGAGTTATTCGGAAGTTTTACAGCTGGAACCACCGTATAAACCAAATATCACATCGGAAGATGATGTGTCATTGTTCGACAGTAAATTTACCAAGATGACGCCAATTGATTCCCCTTGCGAGCAAAATATTTCATTGTCAGTCAATCCTTTTGAAGGTTTCACTTATGTTGCACCAAGTGTAATGGAAGAAATGCAGAAACCCAAAAATACAAATTTACGATCCTCGGATGCAAATCAGTGGTGAGCACAGTTCATGTAACATGAAAACAGTATCCTTTCCAACAGTTTTTATTACATATTTCAGTTCTTTCATTTCACTTATTTGAAATTAATTTTTTTATAGTGGATGAACATAAGATCTGCTAATTATGTTGACTCAAACCCTTCTGTTAAAATAGATAAATAAATAAATAGAACTAGCACTACGCAAAAATTTTGTGCATCGTGACTGTTCTGTTGTTGAAGCTCGTCGATTGCTTCAAGAAATGATGATTTACAATCAGATCTGCTGAATAGTCAAGACGAGGCGATGGACATCAGCACAAGTCCACCAAGATTTATGTATGGCTGAGTACATCTTTTGTCGTGCCTTTTTTACTCTACAAGATTAGTGATGTAATTTTTTTGTTGTTTTCATCTAGAGTTCACTTTTCAAGTATATAAAATCATCATTCATTTGAGCATGGATAATCACTTTTACTCTTGAAAGTCTATTTTATTTATATTGTGTGAGCACTTTTCAATTTTACCTTGGTCACATAACTATTTTATTCCACAACTTTTTAAAGTCCGAAAATTTATTTTCAAGTTTTTATTGGAATCTAAAAAAGAATAAGTTCGTGTGCATATGGTGCCAAAGACCTAAAAGACTACTCTGTACTGGATTGAAGTTCACGCAAGAGTCTTGACGCTATGTAATATGCTGGAAAGTTTTTCAGGTCACTTAAATACTTTATATCACGAAGAAACGTTTCATCTTGGTATTCTCTTTCCTAGTATAATGTCTTTTTTAGTCATCCTTCAGATTATATTCTGAAAGCACATCATCTATTTTTGTGCCTTTGGTTTTCCTGTTGTTGTTTTTCTTTCTTTCCTATTGAAATCAACTCCGTACTTGCTCATTCATAAATTTTTGTTTCAAAATGTTCCTTTCTTGAATTGAACTGACTTGCCTAACATGGCTCTTCACTATATCTAATTCGTCGTTGATAAAAATATGATTTTCATTTGTCCTTAGTTATTATTTATACTCTATCCGGAAAAGATAGTTTGCTATTACTTTAGAAAGAGATAATTTCTAAAGAATTCTACAATTATGGAATTTTTACACATATTTTTCAGTTTGCCTTTGTGTGAATTTCACTAAATTTCCTTCAAATATTGAAGAGTATGTTGTTGTACACAAGGCTCTGATATTAAATCAAAATGATACATAACTAGATTGTATTGAAAGAACACTAGGTTTGAAGTCTTATTTCTGGCATGTAGAATTACGTTTGATGAGGACTAAACATTTGGCTTCAAATCACAGTGGCTCTCAAATTTTTTTGGCAACATCATCATTGTGACTCCTGTAACTTTATGCTAGCGCATTGCTTCTCAATTATATGCCTTTTTCTTGAGAATCTTTCCAATTTTTGGTAATGGAAAGGTTTATCTAATCTACATTTTGTGACTGTGTCTCAGCTGTTTCCTATAAGTGGTATGTTGGATATTTGGGAATATATACATGGTGTAATTACTCGCATTTCCATGCTGTCAAATGTGAATTGTGGTCATCAGAGCATTGTCCTAATGCAAACGTCCTGTCAAAAAATTATGGAGAACAAGTGAAATGCAATTTTCGTTTCTCATTATAAGGTCTGTTATTTTCTCAACTAATTTGGGCACATCTTATGCGAATTTTTAATTTGTGTATGCAGTGAATAAATCTTGTTGCTGCTGTTCTGAAAACATGCCACGCTTTATTATTAAATCTTTGTGATATTTATATAAGAATTGCTTTACTCAAACCACAGGTATAATATGACCAAAGCTTCACTAAACAACCGTGTGGAATACATTAACTGACCTTTAGTTAGTGCAACAATTATAGAAAATCACATCAAATCGCATACTCAAATTAAATGGGGGTGAGACCTATTGCTTAGCATTGATAAGGGAAAATCGAAAAACGTTCTCTAAAAAGGTTGAATGGATAATGGATTATGTAGTTTGTGCCTGAGAGGGATAGTATTATTTGCTCTCGTGAAATCAGAAGTTCAAGGAAAATTAGTTGAGTGATTAATAACGACAGAATGAACTTATTCTCGACTTATTCTCGAAAATATTGAGGTTTAGATAATCGATGACAGCTGAGTGACTACTTAGCCCGTTAAATATAATTTTTTCACTGCTAGAAAGGGAGGATCGCAGCATGAATATTAGTTGTTGATGGAACAAGTCGAAAGGACAACCATGCTCTACTGCTAAACGTACCTGCAAATATTTCTCACATTCAAATATTTAAGAAAGCGTAGATAATTGCGAGATTTGCTCGTTAATCTATGAAATAAGAGTAAATGAATTGAAATCTCTATCTTTTCTAATTTATAGAAGTCTTAGAATCTGAATGAACATAAGAAAATAAAACCACGTGCCCAGTCTAAGATACAGCATTTAGGCGTTGTACTGTAACCGGCGAATAAGGCTGGATTTTCCAGCAGTCCACTTGCTGACATGATCCCTATAATCCAGAATCTTTACAAAGTAACTACTAAGCTTTCTAATTAATATTTCGAATAACAAACGACTAAGGACAAAAAATAATAACACCTTCACAGAGGAAGTAACTCTTCAAATACAAAATCATATACTTAATCGAAACGAATTTCTGAAAATTAGAACTGCAGTGAACAATATAGTCATTTAAGGAATCCAAGTGTAATTGAAAATAAGTTTTCAAGGTAATAAAAATTAATGTTCCCTTATCTAACTGCCGAGACTAATATTAAAATAATTTATAATTAATGTTTGAAAAACTTAGATGGAATAAAATCAATTTCATAACTGAAAGTATGGCTGCAAACTAATTGTAACGTTAAAAATTAACCATCTACTTGCGTATATCTCGCAACTTCTAGAGCCTGTTCGTAGCTTTTGATATTTCCATTTGCTATCACTGGAATAGATAAGGTTGATTTGATCAACTTAATTGTCTCATAATTTGGTAATTCCGATCGCTGTTCAGGTGTTCTCCCATGCACGGTTATAAACGAGGCACCTGCACTTTCTGCGCGGCGGCATGTCTCTAGTGTTAACTGGAGATCCGGCTTTAATCGAATTTTAATGGAAATCTAAAATGATCTGAGTATATATATAAGGTTACAAAACAGCTTCTGTCGTTTTCAGAATAATAAATCTTTACTGTAAAATTAGGCTTTGTAACTCTTCGCCGTGCAGTTGCAACAATATCTGCAATTTGAACGGGGTCTGTTAACAAACTGGAACCATATCCTTCTTTCATAACATGTCGCTGAGGACAGCCACAATTTAGATCAACACCTTGACAATACCTGAAACATATAAAAAACATCTTCAACTGCACTATGCAGATGTTTATATTCATTATCAAATACAAGTACCTGCTTACGAACATTGCTGCTACAGCAAACTCTTCTGACTCGTTGGCTGCAAACTGTGCAATAGTTGGTTTGTCACCTGCATTAAACAAGAACCTATAAAATAACTTAAAATAAGCTGACTAATCCCTCAATTAGATAAAAAGATAATGTGAAGTTTAATTAGGAAGATATAGTTGAGATATATTTGAATTCGCACGGCTTTAAAAAATATCTCAACTCCAATGTACACTTCCTGATAATAGAAATAATTCATACACGATTTCGAAATTAAAATAAGTAGTTACCAAAAACCAACAAATGAGCAGGTATAAAGGCAAACCTGCACAAGTAGTAAACTCTACTGATCGGCACTTGTCAGATGCAACAAAGTCTTTTGCATAAATCATAGGTGTAAAAGCGACATCGACAGAATATTTGCGAACCAACATTCGGAAAGGCAGCCTACAAAATGAAGCGGAATTATTTCTTTATCACCGAAATTATTCTAACCTTATTTAATATCACTTCATTTTGAATGAAAAGCGAAGAAGAAACAAAAGTAAAAATTTCAAAAATACTAATGTATTAAAAGTACTGATATACTGATATCCTGTAATCTAACGATGCTGGCTCCTTTTTCGACATTTTTCCGTAATCTAATTAAGCAGTTAATATAGATGTTCAATAGTGCACTGCCAACTATGTGAAAATCATACTGTAAAAAGTAAGTGGAAAAAATGACCTACTTGGAATAGCGTACCATCGGTGCAGCAATAAATACAGGAACTTGTTGATCGGCGGTTGCTCTTTTACGAGATTCCTCTTGCAATACCAAATCATACAATCGATTTTTCATCACTGCAGTATTGAATATGAGGTGAAAAGTGGATAGCACGTCTCATATTAACCTGCACAGAAGGTCTTAACCACTTCCCAGACTATGTATTCTTCTATTACTAATAAACTGACGAATGACATTCGAAGCAAGCTTATGCTCATGCTTAGCTTAACGACTGTTGCTAAATATATCAATAAACCAACAGGTCACTTGAAGTAATCCGACCTCTCAAATCCAGAGTGACAAACTTTACAACTAAATATGCATCTCACTTAATAAATATCCTAAAATTCGTGATAATTAAAAAATTTTATGTTTCGAAATTTTATATTGATCACGTGAGTAATTTGTGAACAATGTACAATGGAACAAAAGTTTTCATTGAGATCCCAGTATAATATTTAATGAAGATGCAGCGCTATATGGATATCGGTTTTGTGTTGGGTTAAAGTAGAGATGTTCAATTTGGCTATGGTTTTATATGATTAATGTAGCAAATGGAGCTAATAATTTAAATTGTTTTCAGTAACGCGAAGAGATATAAGTATGGTTATTAACCAGTTATTAGTGCATAACTTGTGAGGTGAAATGGTGTATTTTAGAATGGAATCGACAGGAGATATGATTGAAGCACGTGAAGCAGGCATAGATACTGGATTCGAAACAGATGAAAAGGAAGAGGAATTTATTGCTCTAGAAAACGAAAAATATGCTGATTCAGCTATTTCAAGTCACTTATTTGTTTGATTATTTTTTTACAAAATGCAAGGAGTGATTAATGTTTGTTACTGTAGATTATATAGTAATTTTTGTATATTCTGCACATTGCGTAGGCTGTAATGTAATTATATGTAGTTCTAAAAGGTAATGATCCATAGCGAAGGAAAAAAAGTAACTTCTCATATTTATATTGGTATTACCATTTTTTACTCAGTGATTTTAGATTTAAATCTTGAAAGCCACTGCAGTATGCGACCGCAAGTCGAGAATGACTCTTTTAAACGATTTGAGATGCTGTTGAAAAAAACCGAAAATTTTTCTCATTGTTTGAGTGCAGGAGATGTTGAAAGCAGTGAAGGTGAAGTTTTCTTTTGCATTGATATATTTCATTTATCTAATTTAAGATATATTTACAGAATCATGTTTTTTTAATCGTTAAATGTTTGGTTGGTATTTTTTGGTAACTAAGTATTTATTTCTAAGAAGTAGAAAAGAGCTACGACTATTCATCTAGCTTAATTCTTCACTCGGGAGAATAGTTATGGTATTTTTTACTTGTCATAATTACTTTTGAAGGTTCTTCATCAGGCAGTCCTGGATTAAAAGGACGACCTAGAAATCAGTCAGAAGGCGATCATCGGCATCGTAAAACTGAAAAGGAAGAAGATGAAGAGTTGATAAATCAGGTCAAGAAAAGTGACACGCTAGTTCGGTTGGCATCAATTATTTTTATCTTAATACTTTTGAGAGTTTTGGTATCTTAATTTTATGCTGTTCATAACATCAGTATTTACAATAGTTATTTTTTACTGCTTTGAGATTCGAGAAAACGCCCTTTTATATTGAAAATGGTGAGATGCGTGATTATCAAATACGTGGTCTGAATTGGCTCATTTCTTTGCAGCACAATGGTATTAATGGGATTCTTGCTGACGAAATGGTATCGGGTTTTTAATAAATAAATATGAATCTATTAAATTGTGGTATTTTTTGGCATAACAACTGAAAACTGCTGATACTTTCTAGGGGCTGGGCAAAACACTGCAGACGGTATCAGTAATAGGTTTCATGAAACATTACAAAAATACATCTGAGCCTCATTTGGTGATCGCTCCGAAATCGACTCTTCAAAATTGGTTAAATGAATTCAATAAATGGTGTCCTTCTCTAAAAGTCATTGTTCTTATCGGTATTGCCGACGTACGGGTATGTAATTGATTTTCTTTTTATATCTTTAAATGTTTTCTGATGTTTAGTAATAGTTGTATAACATTAATTTGTCAGTTTTCGTCAATCCATTCACTAATATCATTAGAATCTTTCAGGCAGAGTTGATACGGAATGAAATTTTGCCTGGTAAGTGGGATGTTTTGGTTACATCTTATGAGATGGTCTTAAAAGAAAAGTCACTATTGAGAAAATATTTCTGGCAATATCTTATTATTGATGAAGCACATCGCATCAAGAATGAACATTCTAAGGTGAGTTTACTTTGTTTTTTCAAAACGCCGTGTTTTTTGGAATCAGTGCTAGCACAGTATCTCCAGCTTGATTTTGCTGTTCAAAGATTTTTCAGCCTGATATGGATTTTATCATGTTAATACTTCTTCAAGCAGAAATCACGTCCAAATCTTTTATTGCAGTTATCGGAAATAGTACGGGAATTTAAATCGAAGCACCGTTTACTTATTACTGGCACACCGTTGCAAAATAATTTGCATGAGCTTTGGGCTCTGCTTAATTTCTTATTACCAGATATGTTTGCACTGGCATCTGATTTTGATTCTTGGTTTACCACGACTGGTATGATGGGCAATCAAGATCTCGTTTCACGTTTGCATAAAGTCATTTTTTAAAGTTGATCTTATTATTTTTGGGGGCGAAAATTGCATCGAATATTGAGTTGTGCATTTTTTAAATTGTTCGTGGCTAGAAACTTTTTAAGTTTTTACGGAGAGTCATAATTATTTAATCTTAAAAAATTGCTTCATTTAATTATATGTTTTTCAGGTCTTGCGACCATTTTTATTGCGTCGTTTAAAGTCCGATGTTGAAAAAACTCTTCTCCCAAAGAAAGAAGTCAAAGTTTATGTAGGATTATCGAAAATGCAGAGGGAATGGTAGTGTTTTCTTTTTTGAATGATATCTCTATGGATTATGTGTTTAGTTTCAATTATATTACTTTATCATTTTAAATCATCTGCTTCAAGGAAAGAGAAATTATCGGAAGCTAAGATGCATAATTCATATTTTAATATGATGCTCAATATGTTTATAGGTACACGAAAATCTTGATGAAGGACATTGATGTAGTTAATGGTGCTGGAAAACTTGAAAAAGTGTGCTATTTCTACTATTTATTGAGTTATATGTTTTCTGCCATGACAGTTTTTAATTATTGTATATAATTTGCTTTCACAAATACTGAAATTATTACATGTACATTTTGTTTAAAATTGTTGCAGATATCACTATGCACACTAGCATATAAAATTTTATCATTTAAAATATATATTTAGGCACGAATAATGAACATATTAATGCACTTACGAAAATGCTGTAATCATCCCTATTTATTCGATGGAGCTGAACCAGGCCCACCATATACTACGGACCAGCATCTTGTCGATAATTCAGGGAAAATGGTGCTTTTGGATAAATTGTTGGTGAAGCTCAAAGAGCAAGGTTTGGTACTACACTCATTTCATGTGTTAAAATTTTATATAATGTAGCGCGTATTTTATGAATTTTCCAGGGTCTCGTGTGTTAATATTTTCATCAATGTCTCGGATGTTAGATTTGTTAGAAGATTTTTGCTGGTGGCGTAGCTATCGTTATTGCCGTCTAGATGGGCAGACCGTCCACGATGAGCGTCAAAAATCTATTGATGAGTTCAATAAGCCAGATTCTGAAAAATTTATTTTTATGCTTACAACACGTGCAGGTGGTCTTGGCATCAACCTCACTGCTGCAGACGTTGTTATCATTTATGACAGTGATTGGAATCCGCAAGTTGACTTGCAAGCTATGGTATTTGCGTTTTATTAGTCTCTAATTTTTGCATTTGGCAAGGTCGTGTAAGTTAGTGTAATGTTAAAATATGTTTTTATGATTATCGCTTTAAATCATTGTTATAATTAATTGTATTTGACGACGCATTCAGGACCGTGCACATCGTATTGGACAGAAAAAACAAGTTCGTGTGTTTCGATTTATAACAGATAACACTGTGGATGAAAGAATTATCGAGAGGGCGGAGATGAAGCTTCGACTTGATTCTATTGTCATACAACAGGTGTTTGCGTTGTTTATTGTCCGAAAAACTCACTTTAGATGAGAATTCATTTAGGAATTTTGCTTAGTATTACATTAATTGCTGTATTTTTCAGAGCATATATTTATATTCAGTGCTGAGTAGTTACGTTCATGTATTGTATTCATATTTGAGAATGCTTTGGTGCATTTTAGTTACCCTCAAATAATAATCAAATTCAAACTATATTAGCTAATTTCTCTATGTGCATTTTAGGGGCGTTTGACCGATTCTCAAAAAGCATTGGGTAAAGAAGATATGTTGGATATGATCAGGCATGGAGCTGATCAAGTTTTCGCTTCAAAAGATAGCACGATTACAGATGAAGATATTGACACCATATTAGAGAAAGCAGAACAAAAAACTGAGGTATGGTTGCCATAAATGAACTAAATTGTTTTGGATTCATTCAGAATGTGCTATGAACGCTTCGAATACTGTTCTTTATATAGGCGCTAAATAAAAAGATTGCTTCAATGGGTGAATCGTCGCTCCGAAATTTCACTTTGGACGCTCCAGCTTTTGATGTCGATAGCAATTATACTATATACAAATTTGAAGGAGAAGATTATCGGGAAAAACAGAAGAATGTTGGAGGCATTGGATATTGGATTGAACCACCGAAGCGAGAGAGGAAAGCTAATTATCAAGTTGACGCGTATTTCAGGTTCTTGATTTATATGTATTTCTGAAAAGACAGACTTTTTTAAAAGTATTTGCTTTGCACAGTCTTATAATGCTAAAAACAATCTAGATATCGACATCAAATAAGAGTTCGAAACTAAGGATTTAGATATTAGCATAAAATATCAACATTTTAGTCCTTAGTTTCGAATAAGCTTAGTCTCGAATAAGCTCTCTTGATGCAAAAAAACTGGTAGTGATTTTTTTGGGCTGAAATGTACATCGTTTTTTTAAGAGAGGCAATGCGTGGGGGACACACAGAGCCGAAAGCACCAAAAGCACCTAAACCACCGAAACAACCTAATGTTCAAGATTTCCAGTTTTATCCAAAACGATTGTTCGAACTTCTCGAAAAAGAAGTTTACCTTCATAGGAAAACAATTGGGTATAAAGTATGTTTTTGAGTATTTTACTCCCTTAATGAAAGAAAACAGCATTGTGATGCTTAGTCTTTAAATTACTGAATTAAAAAATGGTATAGAGCTATCTTCCGCCCTCAAAGTTTGATTTGAAACTTTATTTACTTATAAGTATAGTCATCAATGATGAAATTAGTAAGTGAAGTTTCTTTTCTATTTATATTTTGAATAGTTGCTTTGTGCTTATTTTATCGATCTAAGAAGTTTTTTGTTAGTTCTATTGAGTCTGATTGTATCTTGAGCCTGATTGCTATTTAAGCTTCCATATCTTTGAATGGTGCAGAAAAAAAAAAGCACAAAGTTTCGTCATATTTTCAGTGTTTTCATCTTCTATTTGTACAGGTTGATGTAGAAAGTTTAGTTTTTATGTCAGGTTCAGTGTATTGGATGAAAAACTTTAAAATCAGATTTTATACTTGTCATAGTTGTGTTGCAGAAAATTTTTTGAAGGTATAGAAAGCAGTAACTTTGATGAATTTTACTGAAGTTCATCCTTTTGCTATTTTAAGGCTCAAAAGCAGCCTGATCTTTCACCGAAAGAAGCAGAAAAGAAGCAGAAGGAGGAGCAAAAAAAAATTGACAATGCTGCACCATTAACAGAAGCAGAACAAGATGAGAAAAATCAGTTACTGAAACAAGTAATCTTTCAAAGCTCTTTTTCTGCTTTTCTAATTAGGATCGCTAAAATATATTTGCTGATATTCATTTGCAGGGCCAAAATAAGTGGAGTCGCCGGGAATTTCAGCAGTTTATAAAGGCGAATGAGAAGTATGGTAGATATGATCTGGAAAATATAGCAAAAGAAATTGACACGAAGTCAAAATCTGAGGTTATTTTCTTTTTACACAAAAAGAAGTAATTTTCAAGTCGACCTTATTAAGCTGAAGTTTGTAATATTCTATTATGCAGATTTGTCAGGATATTTTTCTCGTCTTCACTTCTAAGTTTTAAAATCTTTATTTGTTCTTGAAGGTAAAATATTATGCGAAACTGTTTTGGGAACGTCTGGAAGAACTGTCTGATCATGAGAGAATCTTGGCAACAATTGAGAAGGTTAAAATTTTATGTCTTATAGTTTATAGGTTACAAGTTATGGAAGCAAATTTCTCATGACCTTGATTATAATAAAATTGGAAACCTTGATGCAAAATACTAGATCGTTTTTCAGGGCGAAGCTCGAATACAGCGGCGACAAAGTATCAAAAAAGCACTAGATGAAAAAATAGCTAAATACAAGGCTCCATTTCACCAGCTTAGAATTCAATATGGGACAAATAAAGGCAAAAACTACACAGAAGAAGAAGATCGGTAAGGAATTTGCACTAAGAAATCTGCATCATTTGTTTTTGTTTAGTTCCTGAATATAATTTCATCATTCACTTTTCGTGGAAGAACTAATAATTTTGAGGTTCATGGTTTGCCAGTTGCATAAACTGGGTTTTCACAAAGACAATGTTTATGAAGAACTGAGGCAAGCTGTTCGCTCAGCACCACAATTCAGATTTGATTGGTTTGTCAAATCTCGTACATCAACGGTGAGAATTAGTCTATTTCTTCATCTTTCTATTATAGAAACTCTTATGACATAGTAAATTTGAATTATTAAGTCTTCTTTCATATTTTTGTATTCTGTTCTGTGCCAGGAACTACAACGACGTTGCAATACTTTGATCTCATTGATTGAAAAAGAAATGAGTGAAGTAGAAGTGAAACGAAAACATGGTCAGAAATCATCAGTGAATACTTCAACGACTAATATCAATGATTCGAAAACTACTCCTACTAAAGTGAGATTTCATACTTCTTAAATCATTTTTTAGATTATTGCATTCTGTAGAATATTTTAGCAGCTATAAGTCCGTGAAAATAATTGAAATTTCAGCCTGCTCCTAAACGTAAAAGTGAGCCATCGACATCGAGATCTGCTTCCAAGCGTCAGAAATAATATACTTTGTTATTAAACGAAACTTCAAATCTTGACAGTGCTGTATATTTATATATATTTTCTGAATGTTTTCCACTCACTTGATATTTGGTGTTGAAATTTCACCGTATTTAAACCTTTACAACAGATGAACACTTGAATTTTTCATGTACTGATCTCTCCTTATAAAAATTGAAAGCAACTCTTGTTTTAACATCACATCTATTTTACTCTAAATCAAAATGTTTTTGCCTTTCATCATTACTCATGAAAAGAATCTCTTGTTAATGATAGCTTCAACTGTAGATATATTGTTTTGTGATCACAAAAAAGCATTTGTAACCACGGACATTTATTCTAAAATATTCTAAACGCTAAAAAGTGATCAAACTGAATCAAATGATATTAACAGAAATATAACAATGAATGTTGCATTTGAATCTACTTTTTACCAGGAAGAAGCCACAGCAGTATTTTTTCGATCATGGATGTATTTAAATGTAAAGGAATCAGGAACAAAGTAAATTTTTATGTGAAACTAATCTAAAAAATACTGCTATATAAGAAGAGGAATTTCATGGGAAAGAAGTTGGGACATTGAACAAGCTAATATAGCCTACCACGCGTACCAAAAAATTGAATTTTAATAGGTTGTTTTTAAGTGCGAGATGGGAATGTGCGTTGTCTAGTATCCAGCAGTTTTCTTCATGAAAATAGCAAACCACGTGTGTATAGTCAATCATCTGCGGAATACACATGGAGATGAGGAACGATAAGTTTTATGTCATGTGTTCAGCAGTGTCATTTGAAATTTGGACAGTAGACAGTAACATAGCATCACAGCTAGTGATAGAAATGTTAATGAAGTCATCAACTGATCGTCATAACGCTTTGTTTCAGAACCATTAACTCTGATGGTGTCTTTGTGTTTCACGGAACAGTGGTTTTCTGAAATTGCTAAGAACAATGGTCTAGAACTGTTATTCATTAACCGAAAAGGATTTTGTGTCTGCTCCCTTTCTATTTAAATTCACTGTCACATGCAAAAATAAAAATTTTGTGTAGAGAAGGAATGTGCGTGTACACATATTTGTGAGGAATAAGGGCCCTGCAATTGGTGAATAACTACTGAGATCTTTCCCGTTCCCAGTCAACACTGCACTTCTCAGTTATATAAAAAAGAAGTTTTGGAAGAAATATAGATAAATATATAAAAACATCTGCATAGGCAATATTATTAGGATAGGCGAGATTTGCATTGAGTCGAGAGTAGGGCAGCTACATGGCCTGCACAAAGCAAACCTCTCCAAAATCTACTAATGGAAAAGCACCTCGAGACCAGTTCACACCGATAGCGACAAGAAAATTGGCTCACGCCACTGGTTGAGTAAGAAAGCCACACAGGTACAAACCTGGTATGGTTGCTTCACGTGAAATTCAGTTGTATCAGAAATCGACGGATTCCCTAGTTCTGAAATTGCCCTTTCATCTCCGTGAAATTTCTCAAGATTTCATTTTTTATCAGTACTGACCTCCGTTTGCAATCGTCTGCTATACCTGCCTTGAAAGAGACCAGCGAGACATACCTAGTTGGCCTATTTGAAGACATTAATATGTGTGCGATTTACGCCAAACGAGTGACTATCATACTGAAAGACAACCAATTAGTACGAAATATTAAAAGGGGAGGGTTCAAATGGCTGCCTAAGGTTATGGATCCAATGTTCACTTCAAACTCAACGACCCTCTTCAAAGTTACAAATATATGAGCTGTACAATTTTTGAGATCCCATCGTATAGCCAATAATGCTTGTGTGTAACATATTTTTGCTACTGGAGTTTAGTATAAAAACTACTCTGTAGCAGAAAAAACTGCAATCCTTGTTGAATAAAATGATTCCAGTGTATCGTTAAAATATACAGGCCATGATATTAAAGCAAAATTAAGACTGTTGAGGCAGGATATTACTTTGTTGCAGAAAATTAAGATTTTGTTATACAGCTTTGTTATTGTTTTCTCAAACTGCAAGGTTTAAATTACTGTTTCATTGTTTAGAACACTAAATGATCTGGACTTTGAGAAATGTACTCGGTCATTTGTCTTCTTTATCAATTTATACCTTGCATTTTCAATACAGCTATAGCAGTGGTTTTAAATTAAAGAAGTTCTCAAAAGCGATCTTGAAAATTATACACGAGAAATCAGCCATTTATTATAGCAATTAATTATATACATTTGCTTACAGTAAATTATGGGAACAGCGAATCGGTTACCAGAAAAAATATCGCACAAAGGTGATGCTCATTCAGGTTCCTACCGTTTAATAAACTTGTCTTCATTGAGCCCCACAGTTCGCTGTAATCCTTTGCGATTACTGCTCAAACGCTGTGCCATAGTCATTGTAGCTGCTGCATTATTCAACAGTGGTCTGAAAAAGATGGAAAATTAGAAATAAGCTAAGTTGAAATGCAATGAAAGACCGTAAGAAAACGTAAAAAATAATGACTATAAATGAAACCTGATAAAGCTGGCCGCCTTGCCTTCATTCTTTTTGTTCTCATCTTCATCTAACTGCGCATTTCTTCTGATATTTTTGGCCCGAACTTCATCTCTCCAGTCCGCATTTGCCAACATTTCCTGTCTTCTTGCCTCCATTTCTTCCGCAGTTAACTTACATCTATCTGGTTTCTGAAATGCACAGAGTTAAAGCTAATTTATGACTCATACAAAGAATATAGAGCATTTAATGACTAAGGATGATACTTTGCATTATATTAACCTTGTAGTTTTCGAATTTATCCTTTCTAAGAGATGACTTGGAGAAACTTTCAACACTTCCTCCCTTAGACATTTTTTTATCGCCTTTATTTCTCTTTCCTGCTGACTTTATACGTACTTGCTCTTCATTATCACTACTTGTCGATGATGTACTGCTCTGGAAAACAAATGCTTATGAAAAGTGAAATGAACAACTGCAACCGACAATAAAAAACGACTTACATATTTGGGACGTAAGTGCAATGGAACATGACTATCCCTTTGTGCTTTCTTACTCTGCTTATCCTGAAAATTGCATAACAAAAGTCACAAATGCTTCAAACACATGATTCGACATCGAGAAGGGACTTCCAAATTTTAAATAATAGTTCTCTCTGTACATAACCTTCATCGAATAATACTTATCACTTTACTTCAGAAAATTCTACGCTTACATCGATGAAGTAAATTAAAGCTCAAGTTATCAATCCCCAAAAAATCGTGTAAAAGAGGATTAGGTCAATGATTTTTTGTCTCGATAATTTCTGTAAGCAGTATGATACACATGATGCGGATACTGGTTTACCTCACCTCTAAATAACTGTCATTATTTGAGCGTTGTCGACGTTTTTCCTTTTTTTTCAGCTCTTTTAACTTCAATCGTTTTTTCCCCTTTTTATCCATCAATTTTCTCATTAATTTCTGCATTTTCAATCTAATTAATGGATTACCTACTTTATCTTGCCAACTTTTTTCCTCCTTCATCTGAAAAAATGAACGATAACATTAGCATCATGGTAGTATTGTAATTTTAGTATATGTGCAAGTGAAAAACAATACTGAAAATGAAAACCGTCGTTACCTTTATAGCTACCAAAGGGTCTTCGGTTCTAACAATATCAATTCCCAAATTGGATATTTTGGATGAAGCAGCATCTTGAAACTGTCGCAGAGGCTTTTCCACGGCCTCAATTCCGCTTTCTTTATCTTTCGTAACAACATCGGAATACAGCTCGAAGTGTCTGTCTACCTGAGAAATGTAAATATTTGTGTAAAAAAAAGCTCGGAATTGTCTTCAAACATGAATTTAATACCTTTTTGCCAAGCAGGTAGTCTTCTCGATTAACTAAAGACTTTGGGCCTTCATAAATCCAAGCAAGATGCTTACGGTCATCTGTTTTCTGTTCTACCATCACTGAAATAAAATTAAATTCGGAGATAATTTCTTCTAACTATATCAACAAGCAGCACAGAAAATGTTAACATTATTCTATTTGTAAAATATTTTGACAGAGTAACTGATTATTTCTTAACTTCATATAATTATTTAAGTAAATAGAAGGAAAGAAGTCTACGAAGAACTCGAATTATCTGAAACATTGCATCAGATGCTACTTAAAAGTCTGGCGAGGTGAAACAAGGGACACTAACTTGCTAACGAACAAAATACTAATAATAATGTAAAATTTATAATGAACAAGAATGAATCCGTTCACTAATCAAAATAACGTAAAGTAATTTTTACCCGCAATGAAAATTTAATGTCTCTTGTCATACCCTATCATGAAAGAAAACATAGATTTAAACTTTAGAGCAGTCGCTCTGCCAAATTAATAATGAGTCATATTCTACATCGTAATTCAAATTACATTCAAACTTTCGAGTCCAACAAATTTGACCATTAAATGAACAGATAAGTGAGTGAGAATCGATTTTTGACATCAGCTTAGCAAAAACTTGGAAGCTTTGAATTACCTGCGGCGACTGGTGTAATGATATGATGATATTTATTGCATCCTGACTTTTATCAGTTTTAAAATATCGCCACATATAAAAGCTCGAAGTTCAAGATAAGAAAAGGCAGATGCATGCGCAGGGCAAGAGAAGCAAATGTAAATGAAGTCGTTATTCTCTGGCGAAGTACTGATTAATTCGTTATGCATTTGATATTCAGAGCATCAGCGAATACTGCACACTGTACTCACTATTAAGTGCCAGATCTATACTATGCACATATGGTACAGTCAAGCAAAAACAATATTAATTTGGCAGAATAAGCACACTTATGCATGCATACTCACGTACACAATTTAACTCCTTTCGCTGTTTATTTCAGGTTGCGTGTACGTTCTTTCAATTTTCGGTGTTGCACACCATCGAATTTTTTACAGCACTTTTTTGAAAAAGAAATAGAATGACGAAAACGACCTTGCATGAAACTTATCATTCTCCTCCTGTCTTCTTTACAGTTCAGTTGCACTGTTTTGTTTCTAAGTTGAAATCAAGACAAAAAAGTTCGACTTGATTAGAAGAAGCATTCTTTATGCTTTCGATCATTTTTTAGCTTTTCTAAAAATTTTGCGCAGAAACAACCAACAATGAATTTCACTCACAAACTGCACTGCAGCAGTTGCAATATCAGCTCGTAATGCTTCAAGAAATCACTTCGAAGTGTTGATGATCCTGTCATTCTCCTGTTTGCTCTCTCACTGACACCTCAGCACAATATCTGTTACTTATCATTAAACTGCTTTATTATGAACAAAGCACAACGGATTCCACAAACAGACAGCGTGGTAGAGTCTAAACTTATTTTGCACATTTTACCTCTATTCCATGCTTGGTTTCCGGTAATCTTCGCTTAAGTACCATTAGTTCAATTTACAATTTGTAACTTACAGTCATGCACACCAATAATAAATAACTTGAATTTTTTCAAAGCTACAATTGCTTTGTTGCAAACACATTCGCGAGACTCATTTTAATAAGATTAGAAACGTCATAACAACGAATGAGAACAAAAAAAATTGGAATGAATCAGCTGTCATAACAATTGAGAGAAACGAACAGAGATTCTATTTGTTCATTTTTTTACGCATCTTTACTGGATATTAATGGTGGTCAATATGACCGACTATGGACATGAAGTATGAATACAGAAAACATCGCAAAGGAATCGGTTACTTGCTTTCTTAGAAGATTTATTAAACTCATCGTACTAACAGAAAGCCTAAATTTATTTAGTCTTTTCGTTCTGATTTGCAATGATCAACCGCATGAGTTTATAAGTAATTCCTTGTTTACTTGTATGATTTATAATTTTTGGACTAATAAAATGGTAGCCGATGCAAAGGGATTCAGATTCAGAATGTTAGAAATTGATTTGCATTTTATTTTATTTGTTAAGAATTATTTTCCGACTTTTTAGTGGTGATAAAGTTGTTTTTCAGAAATCTTGGAACTGCAGTAGTAATATTTTCGAGATCGATAAATGCCCCAAAAAAGAAGGAAAAGCTGGAGAATGTTTTAAAGTGAAGTTTTTCAGAATCTAATCCAACTACTTAAATCCGCTGCTGGTGAAACGGAAAACATTTCTGTTGTTACAAGTTTCTTGGGAAAACAGCATGTTCATTAGCATATCAGCGCTCTAAATTTATGTGAAAATATAGTTTGAATTTCCCAGGAGCAGACAAATGAAAATCTTTATTTGCTGCGTCCGATTCATCAAATGCTGAGATGGTCGGAAACTGAACAACTACACATTCACACGTTAATGACCAAACCATCAGCTTTAACTTATTACACTGTGCCATTTTCGTACTTTGTCGCAATATGGATTCTAGCCCATCAACATGCTAGAATACACATCATGAAGAGAGAATGTGTAAAAAGAGTATGAGAATGAGAGATAGCTTAGGTTATCAATTTTTGGCTATTTTTATTTGAACCTCTTACATGCCATGAACAATTTTCAAAATCAGAACGCACGCATTAGATGGTGAAGTACACCAGTATGTCAGAAGTTCAGTAATTTCCATATTGAGTAAGTAGTATAACAGACGTGCAATATATACATACAGCTGGCTTTTTAGTGAACTTCTGACTTCTGACATACTTAATCAACATGGAAATTACATACTTACTCAACACGGAAATTAATCATTTTTTAGCTTTGTGAATTCAACACCGTAGGAAGGAAAAATGGTTGTTGAGGAACGAGTGGTTAGTATGCTAACGGATCCTCGGTAAGTTTTTTGTGTTAATAATTACCGCTTCCACTTTATGCTAGATGTATCCTTAACATTTCTTGAAAATGAATTTAAGGAGATTTGTAACTTTTGCTGATTAGATAGATTTTTCTAAACCTTTTCAGTGTTTGATAATTACTTTCTATTTGCTTATTTCTCTTACCATTTTCAGTCACTTTTGTTTTCATTTTTCTAGATTTATCTTGCTGCAAATTTAGTACCTGGGAAATTTCCTTTGACTAGATTTTTTCTGAACTTCATTATCTTTGAAGATTTTATTATGTTTTTAGAATTCATTTCCATGAAATCGATCGGTTCATTGTTCTTAAATTTGATGAAAACGTTTTTGCCAAAATTGCCCACTTTTACTCATGGCTAGAAGAGGAAAAAGAAATCGCAAAAAACATCGTACGCGATGAGTTAGTACTTTAGTTTTTTTTGTAAATCAGACTTAATGTAGCTAGATTAATTCTACTGCTTACCTTGCATTTCTGAAATTTTTCATTTTATTCAATTGTTTTTTGCACTTTTATTACTTGTTTGAATCCATCATTTGTGCTGATAGTGGAATTCGCTGTCAAGTACAAAAATTAATTAAACGATTTTGTGCGGTTAACCTATGCGTTACTTTTCGTTAGTCAAATTCTCTTTTGCTTTGATTTCAGTGATCTACCGTTGTTTCGTTTAGACAAGTTGATGCTCCCTAATTAATTAAAAATTTTTTTTCACAGCAAACGGATGCTTTTGCAGAAATTAGGAAAAAATTTTTGGCCAGTGTAAAAGCAAAAGATGGCATCACTTTTGAAAATAGACGCGTTTCAAGCAACAATGTAGACTTTCACTTCGTAGAACACTTAATGTGGGGTGTAAATTAAATATTGATTATGCTTCTTAAAATTTCATTTTATAGAACTGGTTATCTTCGCTTACCAAAAACACCGACACGTGGATACTGTTTTCAACAACAAATGAAAGATTTTACAGACATTAGAAAAATGTTTTTAGCCAGTGTAAAAGCAAAAGTTGGCATTACTTTTGAAAATGATAGGCGCGTTTAAGTCCTTATATTTCATGTTTTTTTTTGTTTAAAACACTATAAATTAGCTAAAGTACTTCTCTCTATTTCATTTATCGGAAATTTTTGATATGATATTACGCACATTATTGCTTCTTCATGAAAATTTCAAATGGATGAGGCTCCTATCAGCTAAATTTCTTGATGAACTTCATCAAAATTAATTACAGTGATTTTTATATTAACGATAATTTCTTTTAAACATGATTTTCTACCATGAATGATTTTTCCAAAAATTTTACACTCATTTATTTTTTTCTAGATCTAAAATGGCTCATGATCCACATGCTCTAAAGTCTTCTAAACATGCAACTGTGGTACGTTCAAGCAGTTCTTTTATTCCTTTCATCGTTCTTTTTTTGGTTTTTTGTTATTCAGAATATTCTTGCAGAGAGTTATTAAAACTGAACAGAAGTCGCTTAGCAAAGCAAGCGTTTCGAAAACACCGGTTCGTCTGGCACTAACTCCAAGAAAATTCGTTTTGGAGCAGCAAACACCACTTAAGGTTCTTTTTAAAAAATTCACTTATATATCATCATGTATTTTTATATTTTAAGCTAATACTTTCTTTTAGAGAATGAAAAATACTCCAATTTCACCTTCTCGAATTACTACACCATTATGGTACGTGCTTACTTTATTTTCAGGATTTGTTATTTGTCTTGAATGAATATTTTGCTAAGAGCATTACATAAGATTATTAAGAAAGCTGTAGAAAATTTCTAGTACTCCAGTTCGGAATGTAGCAACTTCGAGAATTGTGGCTAATGCGAAAAGTACTGTTGAAAAAATTGTCGCTTCTCCAAGAATAAATGATAAACAAATTACAGTTGGCCCTAAAACGGTTATGCAGGTCAGTATTTCTCATTTTTTGAATGTGGATGGTTCACTCTTGTGTGTGCTTGTTCTTATTTTGTCCTTATACGGTACTTGGTCTCGGTTTGGACTTACATTTTCTCTCATAAATATATTTATCATAACCAAAACAATAAAGATTAATCTTGCAAAAATTTATCAAAATTTAAGGCGCTAGTGATGCATTATGTAGAAAAATAAAATATTGGTATAAAATTTTTATTTTTTTAGTCAGTATTCAAAAGATCAGAAGTAATACGTAAAATCGAGAAAAGAGCGAATACTGTTATTAAAAATAAAGAAGAACTAATGAAAGAAAAGGCTGAGCGTGCTAGAAGGTTATATATACTTGAAAGAAATTTTATTTCTGAAGTCACCTTTTTTCTTAGAGTCCAGTGTTAAAAATATTTCTTTGTTGAAAAATTTGGTTTCTCAATTTGTTAGAGTAAAACCATTTTATTTAAATGTTTTTTATTAATTTAATCAGAAATTTAGAGATCGTGAGGAACGTGCACTGCGTGTAAAAATGAATAACAAAAAGAAAGAAGAAGAAGCGCTAGAAAAGTTACGACTGATGAAAATTCGTGAACAGCAGATTGAAGCAATTAAAGTGAAACAGCGAGCATCTCAGAGAATTGTTTCTAAATCTCCTTGTCGCACCAGGTTTAAGTTGTTTCATAGTAATTTATTTATCATCATTTTTGAAGACAAAGTTTTGGAAAAGTTATGAAAAGGTTGACTGAAAAACTTTCTAAGTAACAGTTCTAAAACTTCTAAATAACAGTTAGGTCAGAGAAACAAATTATGGAATATAGTTGGTGAATGCATTTTAGGGGTTATTACAGTCGTATGCAGAAACCCTTAGCTTTTGTTGGATCTTTGCATGATATCTCCACAGCAAAGAGTGCAGTCAAAAAAGAAGTGTTGGTTATCGACAAGGTTTGATTTGCTATCAGTATTTTAATCAGTTTCCTTTTTAGTAACGATGTTTAAATACTGTTTTTAGGAAAAACCCAAACTTCATGGGAAAAGAAATTTGAATCGCAGTTTTCGACAGAGTAGAGATGGTTACAATAAACGGTGCAAACTAAATTCGTTGGAATCCAATACAAAAAGTGTTACTGACAGAAGTCTCGAAGAGATGAGGACTCCTAAAAAAATATCAAGCGGGAAACATGTAGATAATCAGACCAACATTAATTGTGCGGTAGATAATTGTCTGGTAGATAATGATGAAAAAAAATTAAGGAAAAGTTCATCACAAAGTAGTATCCGCTGTGCTGAAGAGCAAGAAGGTTTAACCGTCAATGAAAATATCTCTAGTGCTGACATTATGATGGAGTCTTCTGTAACTGCTGATACGATGTGTGAGGAGGAGAAAAATTTGCACGCAACCTCGCCAAACAAGAAAAATGATGACGCAATTTTGAATAAAAATGATGGAAACGATCAAACATTGGAAAAGAGGTTTTTTAAATGCGTTAGACCTACATAGCTAGCTCTAGCACTTCCGCATATTCATAAGTTTTCTTGAAATTTCGATGGGCATTTTCAGCATGGATATATCAGTCGTGGAAAGTACTAACGTTATTGGAAATAATTATAATATTGATGATTTGTCGTCCAATGATGAAACAGATGATGAAGATAATCCACGAAAGCCTATTCCTCTCTGGGCGATGGGTATGTATTCTTACCCAGTCATAGATCATATTATCTTGAAGAAACTCCATAAATAGCTTTTGACTGGAATATATTTGTACTTGTCTATTTAGAATCCCTTGAACCAAACTGTAATTACATTACTGCAGGCGATCAGCTACGAAATGCTCTGCAAGAACAGTTTTCAAACTCTCAAATTAATCCTGATGTAGTGTTTGGAACTATACAACCACCTATACTGAAGGAGATTTTCGGAAAGAATTATGCAGGTCCCAATAAACGGACATCTTCTGCTAAATGGTCATCACCGTTGAGTAATCCAAAAGTAGGGACAAGTAAATTTTTCGAGTTACAAGACGGAAAGACCGACGCCAAATTATAATATTGTGAATTCTGAAGTTCGAATTTGTTGTGAGTGAAAGTTTGCCGTACAGATATACGTAATTGTTGTTATTCATGAACACATAGTTTCTTGTTTTAAAGTGACTTCTCATCTACTGCTGTTGGACTATATGTACAGTTGAGATTCCATGTTTCTTAAAAATTGGTAGTTGCTTATTTCTACATAAAATAAGCACAGGAAAAATTATTGACAGCGTTCGGATTAAATTGCATTTATGCACCTGTATGAGAACGCTCTAAGTTTCACACCAGCCATTTGTCATGAAATTATAGCACAGGAACATCCTACCGCATCACATCCCAGCTCCCCTCATACACTCCAACACCACCCTATCGCATCCCACAATCCTATCTGCGAAATCTCATTAGATTTGCATACCGCGACTTTAACACATGAACCTCCTCGCACAACACAGTACCATCACATACCATCACATCCATTATTTCTCACCACCACACCTCACCACCCACTCGGACCCGTGATGTTTAGACAATAAATAAATAATGTACCGCTCAGCTCGCCTCCATCCCTTCCAAGGACCCCACAAGGTCCCTTTCGCAGTCATCAAGTCTGGATAAGGGTGTTTGCCCCTAACCAGACAGCTTCCTGCTCCAGGATAGACGCCTAGCCTCATCATCGCGGATGCACTCCGTTGCATTTTCGCTGAATGCGAGGAAATACATACTACAGAAATGATTCTGTGAAGTATGATCTCGACTATGAATACCGAGATCCACAGGTTATTACTATATTGCAGATAACGTTGAGTGGGTTGTCTTGTTTTTTTCTTGCTACTCTTTTGCTATCTCTCTCGCTGCGCTGTACATGCCCAACTGTTTCAACAGTGCAAAAAAACACGATCAGTAGTCAGCTGACAACTCATTGGCGCGCTGCTAAGTATTTCGCTACACACTGATACTCGTTTAGTTTCTCAACAGTTTTACTTGCATTAAGGTCGGTATTGATTATAATTTCCTTATCTTGTACTTGTGATAAACGAATGGTACTATGAGGTGTAATTAGTATAATTTTGGTGAAAAGAATGCTTGAATTTGAAATGTTCGGAAATAATTTGACAAAAATGCGTGTATATCAGTGTATAGTTCTGTATAATTGCACCAGACAATATTCATTTGATAGGATACAGGGATATGGGTACCGATAAGAGTATGCTTAATTATTCACCTGGAAGATCTGCTTTTCCACCCTACGCTATGCAGTGCTTCCGATTTTGCTGCGCGATTGTATTTACCCTCAAAGTTCTTTTCATTCCATGCTATTATAGTACTGACTTTGAGGTTTGCTACTTTGAAACATTTTTAACATTCGAACTTGAAGTGAAGATTTTTGAACGTTTTTTTAATCATTGTGTTGTATTGGAGAAGGAGCATCCTCAAGCTTATTCCATGATTATTTGGATGCAGGTTCATCGCAACTGGATGGCCATTACACATACACTTCCTTTGCGTTTGTGGTATTACGAGAATACTTCGGAGTGGACTCTCGACTATCCTCCACTTTTCGCCTTTTTTGAATACTCATTGTCACAGGTACAAAAGTATTTATTCTTTGCATATATATATATAGTTTTAAGCAGAACTTATTATTACTGGAATTAATTGCAAAAATTTAATTTACGGCATATCGATGCCAGAGAAATTTTACTATTTTGTTTCACTTTTCAACCAAACCTTCAGGTTGCATCAAAAATCATTCTTTCTCCTCCATTGGTGGTGCAAAAAGATGCATATTTTTCTAGTGAATTGTTACTTTTCCAGAGACTTTCAGTCATTGCGATGGATATTATTTATGTAAGTTTCTGAAGTTTTAGTTGAATTTCAATTAATTTTTAATATAAATTTAAGATTTTAGGTTTTATCATGTTTTTTTCTAATGAGAAGCCTCTGTGAGGAACGCAGTGGAGATAAATGTCTTAAAAAGAATTCAGTAGCTGCCGGGATATTTCTTGTAACCAACGTCTCTCTGATTCTAATCGATAATATACATTTCCAATACAATGGTTTTTTGGCAGCATTTCTGTTACTTTCTTCCACGTGGGTAATGAGAAAGTCTTTCATTCTTGTAAGTCCGCTGATTGATTTTTTTCATCGATATGAGGTTAGAATTCTACAAGAAAATCGTATATTAATTCTTCGCGTTAGTTTTCCTAAAATTGATTTTGTTTTATTCAAGCATTATTTTTGTACTGCGTTTAAATACTTCAGAGATATTTAAATAATACACAAAACATGGAAAGTTCATGTCTTAGAGATGCACATGTTCAATAAGTGGAACGAGAAAATAAAATTTCAAACATATAATAATTTCAAAGAATTCTGTTTATATTATTCAGTTTCAGGGTGCGCTGATGTACTGCATATTGTTAAATATGAAGCATATTTATTTATATTACGCTCCTGCTTATGTATTTTATTATATGGTTAATTATTTGCTTCCTTTCAATAAATCATTCATAATTCGCTGTGCAAAATTGACGGCTGTTCTTATTCTTCCATTTGCTTTAGCTCTTGGTATGGTAGTGTTTGTATCATAGCTGTTTTCAGCAAAATAAATTCTTCAATACTCATCCCACTGATTTTTGTTTAAATGGAACAAACTAGTTTACTTTGACTGTAATACGTCTTTATGGTACTTTTATAATGTTCTTGGTTTTTTCTTTTTGATTTTTTAGTCTAACTTTGCAGACAAATTAACAAATTAAGCTGAAGTTTGATTAGTTCCTGAAAATTGCATCCTTGGTTAACTTTGGGATAATTTTATGCTTTGGGCCCATTAATCATAAATGTCATATTCTTTTAAAAGTTTCGCTTTAACCACATATCAGGACGCAAATTTTCAATTCGTTTAGGTCCATTCATTTACTTTTGTGGTCCTATCGTTTTGCAACAAATATGGAAAAGATTATTCCCCTTTGAGCGTGGATTAACGCACGCATATTGGGCGCCAAATTTGTGGGCACTGTACAACTTTGCTGATTGGTATTTTTATCAAGTTTTGAGACTAGCGAAACGATTACCTCCAAAAGTTCATCCACCTAATTATACTTCGGGCATCGTTCAGGTGTTTTTATCTATAAGAATGTCTTCATTCGTCATTATTGCACATTTTTTGCTAGATTATTTAAAGATTTATACTAGTTTTTCAGCAATTTGCACACTCTATTCTACCTTGTGTAACGCCGTTTGTAACTTTCTTGGTAACTGGAATATTACTTGTTCCCGTAGTATTTTTCACTCGCAGACGATGTTTAAGGAATTTTCCTCTCTTGTTAACGCTGTCTGCATTCGCTTTTTTTCTTGGTGGATATCATGTTCATGAAAAAGCTATTGTTCTCATCACTATTCCTTACACTCTTTTGGCTTCCTTAGTGGGTTTTGATTAATACATTAAATTGTACTATAAGTTCATTAGTATTACTATATTATCATTAGGTGAGTTTTTGGCAATAATTCAATGCATTTTTTAAACTGAAAGATCATTTTTTGCAGATTTTATTCGAACATATAGCTGCAGAGTTGAAGCATGAGCTCTTAAAAATAACTCTCTCTTTAATTTCTTGATCGCTTACTGGAAATCACTTATTAAGAAGTTTTTCTACTAAGCCCGATTTTTAGGATCACCGATTCCTGCCGTCTTTCATAGTCCTTTCAGTTATTGCAAATGTTTCATTGTTTCCTCTCTTTTTTACTTCAATGGAAAGTATTATAAAGGTATATTTTTTCCTCTAGTTTCAAAAAGTGTATCAATAATTTACTTTTCAATTCAAGAAAAATAGTAAAGTAATTTCATCTTTTATCAATATCTCTACAAATCTTCTGAACATATTGCATTTGTTAAAGACTTAAGATGCATTTGTTAAATATTGCATATTGCATTTTCTTCTCATTCCTTGTATTCACCAAAATTATTATCTGAAAAATTACATAATAAACCAAATCCTTGAAATTTATATTTCCTCAAATTACAGTTTAGTTCTTTGTTTCACAGCGATCTACATTGTGAATAATATACATGACTTTGAGCTATTTAACGAGTTAGATGTTTTTTATAATTTATAGGTGTCAGTCACTCTTTGTTACATGTTTTTATCTGTCGCTATTATGCTCTTTCTCTGTCCGAAAAGGAAACTTAGTGCCTTGCAGAGAGCCTTCTTAGTTGGAGTATCGGTTATTCAGTTTTACTGCTTAGTTACACATCAGGTTGGCAATTTGTTTACGCTACTGTACTCAAATGATACAAAATTTGTTTGTAGAACGAGAAAGAATACGACAAGTGATCACTTCAGTTATTATTCATCTACTTACTTTGGCTTAATTTTCTTTATTTCTGAAATTTGAAACAAAATTAAATTTCTCTGACTACAAAAGATTAAATTTTTCTGTTCAGTTTCTATTTAACACTTTTTCAGTGGATCTTTGGTGACGATTTGAAGTTCATGCCTTTAATGTTAACTTCTTTGTCAACAGCTCTTGGGATTTTGTGGATCTATTTAGAATTATTGTGGGTAATTTTTTTTGATGGTGTGCAGAGTGCAGAAGGCACTTGCTCTTGTAAAAAATTGAAATCATGATAAATGGTGGTATGTTTTGCAAAGTTGTCGAGTGACTACAGCTTATTTTATTTTGAGACAATTCATATTGTTATAGTTTGTCATGATTTTCATATTTACATGCAAAACGGTTGTTATTGTTATTACTAGTTACATTCAAACTAATCATATTTGATTGTAAGTCAAAATCTGTTCATGTGTCTGAAAGCATAAAAACGTACTTCCTTTTAAAACATGGGAGTTGAAACTTTAGTTCACAGTAATGAGATAATGACTTTTTGATAGTACAAATAGTGCTCGTGTATTTTATCTGAAATTTGTCAACATGAGGAAATATATAGATGACCTTCATGAATTATAGGAAAGCAGAATTATATTGTTGGTATATTATCTTAGGTTCTTTATCTTTAAACCTATGTAAATTATAATATTAGACTAAAGTTGAAATGTTTAATACAATACTGGTTCTTAAATTCATGTGTTGTGCTGTACTGAAGTTAACTGGTTTATGATTAATGCCGAAATTGTATGGAAAAATTGTTATAAATATTGTCACATACTTCCATAATTATGCCGCTACACGTATACATTGCATTGGAGCAAAATTATATATGTTTGGAATACAACTAGATTGTCTAAAAATTTGTAACGATGATGTTTGTACAGTAAAGAGCTGATAACAACTTCAAGACTGACATGTTTGAGTGACGATGATGACAAATAAATTTCGATAAGAGCTATCAGAAAAAGCGAAAATGAAGAAGTTTTCCTGACAGCTATGGCAAGTAAACTGATAAATTAACTAGCAATGTTGATAGTGACGATGACTATTATTAGAGTTTTACACAGTTGGAGATTACTGTTGTTTACTGCTTTTTCTCACTGGTTATATGTAGAATTCTTCTGTCAATACTGGTATTTGTTTTTATAAAATGTTAAGTTAGCTAAGACAAATGTTGAGGAAATCAGAAATGGTTTGATAAAACTAAGGATTCCAAACAAATATAGCCTGTCATGAATTCAAATGTTTAGTCTGTAAGCAAGCGAAATGAAGTCTGTTTTGTTTCTTTTCAATAAATAAAAAGTCGAAATATCTCTTCTGGGTACTGACTAAACTGATATCGAATTGATGTGAGTTCATTTACATCATTTAATAAAAGTGTTGAAGTGCTGGAAGTTATCTTTCAGTTGGTATCACGATATCTTCCTTGTTTATGAAAATCTTTCCTTGTCTATAGATAGTCCTTACTTTCAAAGCGCGCAAAATTTTTGCCTTAAAGTAATTTCAAACATTCGTTGAGAAGGTTTGTAAAATATGCAGTTGGTTTATTGGTGTAATCTGATAGTGTAGATGATTGACTGCAGTTTATTCAAATCAGCTTACATCATATATATCAATATTTGATGGAAGTGCCTGACTGTTGTAATCAGAAATGGTCAGTTCGAAACAGTTTTCATCAATGTCAAGTCTTTGGATTAGTGACATTTTTTCTAAGAATACATGTTAATAAGCTTTCAGTTTAGTGAAGCGAAAAATGTGAAGAGAGTTTAAGTCTAAGCTAAGGTAGCAAAGAAAATTGCATACATATATCAGGTTATTATTCTTGGCTAAAGTTGGAATTTCGTGCTTAATTTAGATTCAGAAAGAGGCTTAGAGTGTATGGTAGGAAGAGAGCCAGCGCTAATTTTCACTTCTTACTTAGTAGTGTTCAAAGTAGTTCTTCTTGCACAACAGTGATTGTTAGCATGCTATACTAGTGATAAAGGTGAAAAGTCATGCTTTGCTTGTATATTACAAATTTATTGCATCTCTTTTGATTCCACGCTGCCTTTGCTATTCACATTATTGCGAACGAATTTGATAGCAATGGCAATAGTCTCTTTCTCATTATTTATTCATAAGGGTAGAGGAGGAAAGAATATAAATACTATCATCAACTACTTCCTTGCGTACGCAGTTATTATCATTGTAAACGACAAGCAGTGACTGCACAATTAACAATGCTAATTATCATTCTGAATAACCTCGATATTAACTACAACTTAGCTGCTAACATTTTTCCTCACAAAGTATACTCTCTTCTTAATTCAAAGAGTGCTATCAATATTAAAACGATCACAATCACAGTGATATGATGATGACGCTGAGTAATTGTGATATGAATACAAATACAGCTTCATAACTATTATCTAATTATTATTGTTATTGTTATTATTATTATTATTATTATCATTATTACTACTACGGTTGTTATTATTATTGTTGTTCTTATTAATATGAGCATTAGTTGTTGCTGTTGTTGCCGTTATTGTTGATGGTAGTGCCATTAACAATCGCCTGCTGTCGATATTGACATTAACAATTTAGGGCTCTCATACTGTGTTTGCTAGTCTGCAGCCCTCCATCATCATCATTATCATCGTTAATATTGACTGTTTGCTGCTATTGATGACGATAAAGAGGGAAAGAGTTGTTGTTGATAATAAGAATAGTAGTGATGGCGCTGGTGTTAGTTGAAGGAAATGATTGAATGAATAAATGAAATGAAATAGACAGATAGATAGAAGTATGGGGATAGGTTGATAGGCAGATGCTGTGTTGCATTCACTATGACGGATGTATGAACAGACTCTTCTTGTAAAGTAAAGTAGAACGAGAACGAGAACGAGAACGAGAACGAGGATGTTGACTGGAATAGCAATGTTGATGCTTTTATGCTTGTGAACAGCAAGCGATAAATGGCGGACTATATTGTGCGCATCTTTTCTGATATATCACTTATAGCATTATCGTTATCATCATCATCATCATCATCATCATCATCGTCACTGTTTAAAATATTTTATGATAATTACACTAGATATTTGCATATTTTTCTATTATTTTTCTTGTTATGAAAGTATGCTTAGTCTTATAAATTTATATTATTGCCAATAACATTATTATGAGATTATCTGCACTTACAGCAGTTGCATGCTTTTTATTTCACTACCATTTTAATATTATCATTAATTTATTTTTATAATATCGACTGTAATGCAATGGTATGTTATATTATGCTTATGATATTTACGCATTATTGTTGTCATTACTAACTTTTTCTTAATTTCATCGTTATTAATGTCTTATTTCTAGAAATTCTGCATTTTATTTACTTGCAACTATGTATTATAGACGAAGAAAATTGTAGGAAATGATGAGCAATAACAGCATGACTTAGTAATCATAGTTATTGTTAATCCCAAGTTAAAGGTAATTATTATCGTGCATAGCAGAGAGTGGATATGAATATAATTATAGTCAATGATAATTATAGCTGTTGTTGGTTGATGATGATGTCAATGATGAAAAGAGAGATAGAGAGAAATAGTAATAATATTGCTTAGCAGTAATGGTAGCAATGGTCGTTGGTTATTGTGCTATTTGCCTGATAATATTGTGTGGCACAGTTGTCGGGCATTATTAATATCAGTGTTTTGTTTACTTCCATTCCCATTTTTGTCCATTATTTTTCTGATCGTAATCAGATTACTGCTGCCAACTTAAATTGATAACGACTTTATCCCAATCAAATTTTGTTCGTTGTATTATTTTTATTATTATTTTTATTTACATTACTTTTCTTGCTTAGTACTTTATTTTATTTTAAATTTTATTAGAAAAATTTTTTTTTGAAATTTGATCTAAACAATTTCTGCAGAAAGTTTCGTTTTGAATGCTTGGTGTGTTGATTGCCATACTCTATCAGAAAATGCATTAATGAATTGATGAAGTGAATATCATAATTATTTGAAAATATTTTAAAATTCTCAAATTGATTTTTAAACAGATGTGTTTCACTTATATTTACAGCTAAAACTGATCATGCATGCTGGATTTGATGGTACGACAGCACCATCAATGGTGAGTCTAGTAAGTTGCTTTTATATACTTTTTAGAATTTTATTTCTGTTTTATTGTTTTCCAGATATATATTAAGATAAATTATACTTGTTATTTGAAACAGAACTGAAAATTATTCTAGTAATTTGTAAACTATATTGCTTCTTGTATTATCTAGTCTAGAAAATCAGCTTCACCAGCTATTTTTTTAAGGTTTGTGAATAATTTATTTATCAACTCAAAGAAATTTCTAGGTACCAGCAAATGTATCTGTTTCACAACGTGAAAAGAGACGGTTTTATGTTAAAAAGTCAATAATTGGTATGCAAGAATTTCGAGACTGGGAAGAGAAACTTGGTGATTATTGGTATCGGCATCACCATGTAAATTTATTTTGATTATATGTCTTGCGCAGTAGTTATTAAATTTGAGATTTTCAAACATATGTAATATCATCATCTAGATATGCTGAAAAATGTTTTCAAGTATTAAATTTCTGGAATTTGAATTTTTTTTCTGGTAAACATGATTCTTCCCATTATCTGTTTTGTGATAATAGTGTTGAACGTATTGTAATTGAAAAGTAATGTTTCAGAAAGTGAACAACATTGTATATTACCATTGCAAATATGAGCCTTGCTACGCATCAATGAAAGCTAAAGTAATGCTCGATTGTGTACAGGTATTGATTAGTTTTTGAGTTCTTTTTGCTGAATATTTTTTGGCGCGTTAGCTTTTTTATTTTCCTGATTTAAATTTACAGTTGTATGTGACCGAAGAAGGACATTCACATCCGGCTCCAGCTGACATGATGGTACATTATTTTATGGCAAATTCTTATAATTACATTTATCATTTTTAGCGAGCAATTTTTGATGCATTATGGAAGTGATCCTTCTACTAAATTCTATACGTAAGTCAGCTCGAAACTAGAAAATTAGTTCAGCGAAACTTTTTAAATGCAGTGCAACAGAAAACAGTTATTAATAAATCTGTCTGGTATTCTAGTAGCAATTGATTAATGAATTCTTTTAAGTCGCCAGCATCAAAGCATGTCATGGATCCTTTGAGCCGTCAAGCTGTTTCTGTTCAAAAACGAAAAGTATGTAAAGTCTTTCTTTAAAACCCTTAAATATCTTAAAATATTCTCTAGTTAATTTCTGCGGTCTTCTTATATACTCTGTATAGATAGCTTTAATTTACAGCACATAGATGAGCAATACTACACTGGTTTTTCGGCAGCACCATACCCTCAGCAATTTTTGAATGATATACTTCGTATGCAAGGCGATTTTAATGGAGTTCATGATGTAAGTAATTTGACCTTTGATTAAAAATTGAAAAATAAAATCGTAAAAATATTGCTCGGATCTGTATAATAAAAATAACCCTTAATTTTTATTTCCTGAGCCATGAAACAGCTTCCAAGAACAGAAGTGTGCATTATCGACTTTTCTGTTTCTAGGGCAAGAAAATTTTGTTGGTCCGACGTTTCTTTAAACGATTTCTATGGAACGATATTCAGTTTGCTGATAACATGTGGATATAATCGGAGAAGAGGAGTTTATCTCATAAACTTCTTATTTCCTGTTTTATCTACATGTTTTTCTTGAGACTGTCTGATCGTTATCATCAAAACACACATAATTTCGAGAGATGTAATTAGATCATGGAACCAGCAGTTCTGGAAACGTTAAAATAATTTTATAGAGTCAGTAACTAAGAATATTTTTGTAGGCCACTGCAACTGCATGCTACAACAATCCTCATGTAGCATTTCAAAATGGTGAAGCATCAAAAGAAGTAATTTTTTCTTGTCTAAATTTCTCATTTGCATCAAAATGAATTTCGTTCAGAAATTGTTTCATATAATTCTTTTTAGCTATTTGAAATCAATTTTATCAGGGCATCGAAATAAAAATGGAGAATCAGGGAGCTACAACATCGGATATGCGTATGGAGGTGATCTCGGCAGTCGCTGAAGTCGCCAAATACGCACAAACTAGAGTAGCACATATGGAAAATGGTGTTCAGAAGGGTTCTAATGGAAATGGTACTGGGCAAGTGACAAAGCCAATTTCTGCCCATTCTACAACTTCACCGATTAGCTCACCTGAAGTACACCCTTCGGGCAATTCTAGTCAAGTACAACACCGGCATGGGTTTTTGGATGAAAGTTACAGTGATGATGATGAATCTTCAGGTAAAATTACTTTTAATTCTGCGAAATTGATTCTCACGAACATTAATTTTTTTGTTGAGTGCAAAAAAATTATTCGTGTCTGAAAGATCTTTTGCAGATACTGAAAGTGATGATGCAAAATGTTCTTCATCTCATGGTGGACAGAAATGTTCTGGAGATGTTGAGGTATTTTTTTTAATGTAAAAGATGATAGTATATTGTGCACTTTGTAATTATTTAACTTATTTTCCCGGTTTTATCGATAAGTTATTTTTTATTTCCCGTTTTTGGTAATCTTTTTTTTTGATGGATTGGTTCTTCATTAGTTTAAACTTTTTTAATTTCAATTATTTTGTTATTTCTGTCGTAATAATTTGCAGCTTAGGTTTTGCAGTATTCATGAAATGCATAATAATGATAAATTTATCAAAATTTAGTGCAGATATATGTGAACAAGATGTATAATTCGTAGTTTTCTTGTCAAATTTTATTTGCTTTACAGGTAGACAACGATTTGTTTGCAATATTAAAAAAGAAAATTGAAAGACAAGTACCGCGGAAGCGTTTACGCTATTTACGACGCATTAGACGTCAACTTAGTTATTTCTTACAAATGCATGAAGTGAAAGAGATGTCTTCACGACTGCCGCCAACAACAAAATATGAAGACATATTTGGAAAACATCATCAGCAGCAACATACACAGCCACCACATCAGCACCAGCAGCAACCGCAACAGCAGCAATCACAACAGTAATGACCGTCGTGTAAACAGTGGTTAAATTTGTTTTCATTTGTTTCCGCCTATATAAAAAAGTGTGTTTGGTCTCAGTAATATTCATTGTGCGTTAATTTGCTATTTTTTTCAAGTTTTTCATTTTTAATTTTTACTTTACGTTATCATACATGATTGGATTATATAGCAGTTTAAAATTTCGTAATTGAATAAAGTCTTTCCAGGGGTGCACTTTTTGTTTTTGTTCTTTTTTTGATTTATTCATTTGCTGCGAAGAGGATTTTGTAATGAAACCACCATAAAATTTAGTAGCATTTTCGCTGACAGGCAGGATTAGCATTCTTTGTCTTTTCGTGAATTGATATATTGGTGTAGTAGACATGTGTATGATTGTTATCAAAAGGATTAATATTTGTTTTGTCTTTGGTCACCAGATAATATTATTGTATACGGTTTCATGTTTTTATTATTTGACATGGCATTTTTTTAACACACAAAAAATTTCTCACTCATTCCAATAATCATAGATATAAAAGTAGGGCAGTCTTTTATCAAATTTGTGGGAAGGCATGTTTTACTTTTCAATGAAACTATATATTCATATTAAGAGTGTAGTGATAGCACCAAGACTCTGGTAGTAATTTAAGTAACCATGTGTGGTTTTGCTGCTGCTACTACTGCTTTTAATACAATTATTCTATTTTTCGCATTAAAGACTCTGTACCTTGATTCATGTGTCAGTATTAATTGTGGATTCAAGTAATTTAAATTCAAATGAATTAATTTAAGAATCCATGTAGTATATCGAACAAAGTTTTGTTTATGCTTCTGTTGTTTCAACTTGAAATATGCGAATCATTAACACATTTTCTTAATAATTATAATAAGGAATTAAAAACTGTTTCAGAAAGTTAAGCAGGCAAACCTCATGAATAATAGCAAGTTCGAGAACTGAGAAGTCTTTTTCTTTTAATTATTAAAATCTCTCTGAATTTCACTTCCATCTAGTTGTAAGCAGCAATATTACTTCGATGTGCAGCTACTAGCAGTGTTTTTCAGTAATTAAAAATAGAAGTGAGACAAGAGGGGGTCATAACTTTTAACCTTACAAGAAGTCGAAGTACAGGTTGGAGTGCCATTCCAACTGGCTTTTTCTTTATTAATTTTGAACTCGTGCAGAAAATGACACTTTTTGGTCTGAAAGTTATCGTTCATTTAAAAATTGCCACTAGTATAGTGAGACTATCAAATGTGTTCAGCGAGGTAAATTTTCATATAAAATGAAATTGATCTCAAACAAAACGTCCCCAGAAAGTGTTCTAAGCGGAGATTGGAATACGAAGCGTTTCCTTCGAATGTTTTTGTTGATTACTGCTTCCTGTTTTAGCACTACATCATATCATTCAGCGATTCCTGAGAGGTTATGTAAGCTGTTACAATTACTTTTATTTGTTTGTACAACTTTTTCGTGTAGTTCTGTTAGTACGGAGTTCAGTTTAGTGATAAGATGAGAAAAGTATTCTTGCACTCAAACAATAAATTCTTGAGCAAAAGTAACAAATCAAGCAGTCTCTGCTTAGATTCTTCCTTATTTTGTTATTTACATTGTTGGTATTGCAGTATGCTAGTAGCAATTCATTCTTAAACAAACAAGACTGCGTGGTCTAAGACTCCCTTTAGGGCAATTTAGAATATAGCATATCAGCTAACCGCCATTACCCTTGTGCTTTTGATGCTTATACTGGCTTGACCTTGTAAAGAGATAATTTGAGTCCATGTGAAGCTACTTGAAAGATCAAAATGAAATGACGCAGTTCATAATGACAGTGCACTTGCTTCTCTCATTATCATGTAGTACTATTTGAAACTAGAGCTGAAGAACTCTCGTTTGCAGCTTCTATTGCTACTACCTTTTTTCAGTAACCAATGAAAGCAAACTTTTCACTTAGTCGTGTGATGAATGAGCGGTTCTTTCCCCAACATTCCGTTTACTGTTGTTTCATTTTGCAGATCATTTCTCACGTGAAATTTCCATTTTTTTATTAACGTATTGTCAAAGCTGGATTTCAAAGTCACTGATATCGTTTCACTTCTTGTTTTTGAAACTGACTCAAATTTGTCTTTGTAAAATTTTCTAATAACTACAAAATTTTTTAACTTAGATATATTTGGTAAATGATGGTGGAATATTTTTTTAATTTTTTGTCGTTCGCTTTGATTTTGCTTTGTTCAAGCATTTTTGTTTTCAAGGAGTAGTAAGCTTTTCTACTTTGATGCCTTTACTACACGATGTATGTCAAATGTAGACAATCTTAATAGATAATAGTATATTTATGTGATCTGAATAGCAGCTGCTTTTATGAAAAGTAATCAACCCACTGGCAGCCGTGAAGAAGACCACTGTTGTACTTAAATTGCTAACCGAAAATGTAGTTCAAATTGTGTAAATTACGCGAGTGATTTATTTTACTGTTTCGAAAATGAAGAAGATTACTAATTATACTTTTTGGGTTGTTGAAAAAATACTGGCACAAGTATATATATATATATATATATGTGTCTAGCCCAGAAATATTTAAGTCAGTGCTCACTGACATGTAATAAGTTAGTGCAGAGAAAGCAGACTGAACACAGCCTGTGATTATTAGATCGATTGCTGATCATGTCTGCTTTTACAATGCTCTAAAAGCTGTTCAGTTTTCAAATATCTCATACGAAACATCTCTAATTTTTGCCAAGCTTTTAAAATTTCGTTTCAAATTTTAATAGAATAATTTGAAGTTAGTCTTTAAATTGACCTTTGTTTGAGTTCCTTTAACAAAGAGATATAGAGAGAAAGTGAGAAAGCTCATTAACAAATTAAGTAATCAAATTGAGGTATAGCTGTGACCGCAACAATGAAAGTGAAGATTTGGTGAGGTATGTGTTAATACATAGACAGTCTATTACTGATTGTGGGCAGCAGCTGTACGAGTGAAAAAAAAAAAACTCCGTGACTTTCATTGTTAATGAAATTATTTGCTAACATAGTTAAAGAAATAAAGTCCGTAAAGTTTGAGTAACGTAATCACTGGAAAAGTGTGCAAAGTATCAGATGGCTGAAGGAAGGGTATAACGTACATTGCAAAAGTGATTTTAAACGAGACTGTAGTTATATAGCTCATCTGTAAGTTTCGTAAAATTTATATTTTCATTGAGCTTGAGAATGAAAATCAGTTCTTCTATTGGAAATTAACTATAAAGTGACAAAAAGTGGGCTGAATTTTAGTGCAGGCTTAATCATCGTTACACTTTTCCCTTCAAAAATCATTATCATGCAGTGATTTTTGATGGGAGTGAAGAAATACAATTATGAAGATGACGGGACTTGATCTTGCAATTTGATCTAAAGAAATTATCAAAATTCTAATCCAAAACTTTTACTAAATATTTTCTGTTATCAGTAAGACATTGGCAGTGAAATAGAAAAGCAATGAATTGCTATTAAATTCGCAAAGTAAAAAAACAAACTATTTTATTGGCAGATTTAACCACCTCGAACTTGATTTCCCAAACCTATGCACGAAGCAAAATTTGTCCTATTTTTTCTAGAACAAATTTGCTCTGAACGATATAAATGAAATAAATGATCTTCTTAAGGATGTCTGTCTGTATATGTCTCATTTTATTTTCTACAGTTCAACCCAATGCTGTGTTGGAATCCTTCTAGCTTAACAACATTATTACAACTCCGAACAGAAAAAGCATTTTCACTTGCCAGAACTAATTAATAATAATATTTGTATATATTTGTGGAAACTCTGCAATAAATACTCTTTATGGAACAGATATAGAATAATCGTGATTCCATGAAAATTTAATTTAAACGTATTCGATCGTTAGTTGCATAAGACATTTATTTGCTTACTCAGTGACGCACAATTTTTCAGTATTATATTAAATAACTCATAAATAACGTGAGAAGCACGTATAAATGATAGTATTACTGTTAGTAGACTTGCGATCGTTTCCAATTTTATGTCAAATAAATTACAGAAGGATGAATGACATCGCTGTTAAGCGGTCTTTTCTCAGTTTATTCTAACTCACATCGCAGTCAGAAGATAATTTAACGGTACGCTCTAAGCACCACTACCATTAAGCATTACCACCACTCAACCTCCTTCACAACACTCTAAACCAATCTCATTTTGATAACATTAGAAGCCGTTTTGATGATTCTCATGCATAGTAATTTATTCGCCATGGGTTGGTGTTTAAGTTGCAAGCTTTAGTAGGCTTTGCTGTTAGGTTGCAAACGCATTGGTAAATTCTTGGTAATGTTGACGATTAGAGTTTGCTATATTTTTTCTGCAACTGTTAATTTTTGCATTCAGATCTCTTCATATACCTAACCCAGCTTTAGTTTTTTCTTTCGTCACTCATCGGGTTTTTGATTTCAGAAATTTCTACTACATTGCATTCTCAGTCTTGTTTTGCTTCTCATTACGAAAATGTATGTCACTTAAGTATGCACAACTGAAAATTGGATTAGACGTAGTGAATACGCTGCACTGTCTTTTTTTTCACGTATACCTGGCATTGCTGAAAGAAATTCATGTTTGCATTGTTTGAAGAATAATTTGCCTTCAGTAGCCATTTTATACTGCATTCGTTCTAACGCCAAAGTATTCGTCATCAGTTATAATTCATATGTATACCAAATATTTCTTTAAGATTTTCCAAATATTGATTACAGCAATTGTTCCTGTTATGATTAACGTTTATCACAGGCAAAGAACTCGTGTTTGAGAAAAAAATTTCATGTTGAGCAGAGCATCGAACAAGAAACGGAAAGTGACTAGTAAAAATGTATTTGAATTTGCTTATAATAATATTCCTTGCTGTCGTCACCAGTTACATTACTGCTGTTGACAAAAAAGGTACATTGTTGATAATAATTATATATCAGTATTAGATTATATGGGAATAGTTTCCATTGTCTAAAGAAGGTAGAAAATGGTGTAATATTCCTTATTCTATTTAACGTTTTATATGAATAAAAAGTTTTTCAATTATATAACCAATTTATCATTCCAATATTCTGCACCAATTTTTTAAGTTAGTAAGAATAATTATCTGATTGGTGCTTTAGTTACAGAATTTTATATTATATATGAAATTGTGTTATATTCTGTTAATTCTATTATAAATTCTGTTATAAAATTTTGTTCATATTATTTGTATTATATTATATTATATATATAGCACACTATTAAAAGTGTTCATGATGCTAAATTTTTTATTGCAGAGTCATTTCTTTACGATTATGATTCACCAAATTTCATACCATTACGAGTAAGACAAAAGAGGGGAATTGATGATGACAATGATGACATGAAAGAAGCATTTAATATGCCGAAAGATGTAGAAGTGCAAGAAGATTCAGTATGATTTTAATTAAAAAATTGCTTCCACCACTTCAAGTTTCGAATTTATTCTGTTCAAAATATTTATTAAAATGGAAATATGACTTTTTTCAAAGCTGCATATTTCTTGAATTTTTGATGATAGTTGAAAGCTGCTTTTGAGTAGGAAATTTGATTAAATGCAGATAAGTTTGTTGTGTTTGTATCTCTTATTGTGTATCAGATGAGATTTATGCCCTCTGAATAGAATGTTTCGTGACTTAAAAGTCATTATCTTTTCTAAAGATCGACCATCAATATTACGTTATGGAAATTAAAGCGAACAGATCAGATCTTATGCGAAATTACTACATCGATGTGCTGGAGATGTTAAAAAGGCCCGGAACTGTTGGTAACAAAAGTCATCCCTCGTTATCAAATAGCTACAGAAGAGCTGTGGTATGTAATCTTTCAGTTGTGTCTAGTAGTTTAAAAAATATTTCAGTTGTTTAATAATTCTTCAATATCATAAGTGTGTTTATATTTCAGGCTGCTAAAATACAGTTCGATTTTCCTTTTTATGGTCATCGAATGAAAAATTTAACAATTGCCACTGGTGGTAAGTAATTAAGTGATAGTAAAATGTTTGCCTTCAATTTTGTCTTTTTTTGTGGTCAAGTGCAGTTCGTAATTACTACTATATAATACATAGTTGTGCAAACCTTGGAACAAATAGTAATCAAAAATAATTTTCAGCATATTTATTTCACATACCCACGACAGTTTTATGTAAATACAATGTAAGAACAGCACTTGTTTAATTTTTTAAATTATTTACTTAAGCAATTTCCATATTTTCTGCTTCATAACTTAGATTTCTTGTATTTCAAAATGATTTTGGGAAATAACACTTGGGTTGATCTTTATTACAGGCTTTGCATACATTGGAGATCAGTCACATAGTTGGCTTGCAGCTACACAATATATTGCACCTTTGATGGCGAATTTTGACACGCATGGTGAGAATGCCACCATTATGTATGCTGATGATGGTGAAAAATTTGTTATTGAATGGCGTAATTTACAACTTCGCGAACAACGTTCAGGTATAACTTTTGAATTTATGTTCATGTCAATTCAACGTTAACATTTTTAAATATTCAAATGCAATGAGTAGCGGAAATCTGTGGAAAATGTAACAATTCTTCTAAACTCATTGTTAATTTTTTGAATTGTTTTGGAGTTTGAAGATTCTTTAAAGCTCTGTTTTTCTCGAGAAGTTTGGTTTTGAATTTTTGTGATATTTATGCACTCAGTGGCTTTATTTTTCAGATGGTTTTTTCACTTTCCAAGGATCATTACATAAAAATGGAGATATTTGGTTTGTTTACAAAGATGTAAGCTTTTGAAGAAATTATAGTTTTAATGGTTATCTCTTAATGCTATCCTTCATTAACATCAATTATTGTTGTTCAATTTTTTAAATCACACCTTTAATAAGTAAACTTTTTATTTTTGATCTCTGATTGGTTTATATATATCATGTTAAAGAGACAGATTTTTGTAATACGTGATCACGAAAATTTTTTGTTTTCAGATACCAATATCTGTAACAAACATTAGCGATTCACACCATCCAGTGAAAATAGGAATGAGTGACGCCTATCTTTTTCATCACAATATGCATAATCCTCTTGGACCAATTTCACAGCCTCGTGAGATAATTACTTGTTTTATTGTTTAAAATTCATTTGGTAATTTCTCAGAATATCATGCATGGTGAAAAACAAGAGGAATCATAAATACATACTTTATAGCATCAGTAAAACGAGTTATTTATGAATATCATCGAATTGAAGTAAAACCATCGTTGATTGTATCGAATACCGTGGTCCTCCTGAAAGCGCAACCAAGTATTAATTGATTTTATTCATACATCCATTTAACTTCTACAGTTTTACCAGTATATAACTTTAAGCTTTTTTTTTGGGGTTTTAGCATGTATTCAGTATCAAACTTGTGAAGATTGCTCAAATGCAACTCTTAAACATTTCAACTGTTCTTGGTGCCATTCTAAAGCAAAACATGGTGGGCCGTTCTGTTCGGATCAGGCGGGGTAAGTTATTTTTTACTTTTTGTTTATCAAAAAACATTTGCAATACATGCGTGGCAAATTTTATTTTCAGACTGCATAGGCGCCGACAACACTGGATTGAAGGGAATTGCAAAGATAACGGTAAAGTAACATACTGCAGTGTTGATGAAGATTTCACTGAAGTGGGTGATGAAGATGATATTCGAGATGCAACCGGTACTTGTTTGACAAATTTCACACTTCTTGAAAAATTCTTTTCGTATTAATTTTTTTAGGTAGTAGGAACAAAAATGAATTTCCATTTCAAATTAACTGTTTGTTCTTAGTGGTGGTAGTATCAAATCCCATTATTTATTCATGTATTACTCATCAATAGTGTTATCAAAACATGTTATGTGCCTTACATAAATTTCTTGATTAAGATAAACGGAAGTCTGGATCAGTATTTTTTTTAAATTATAGGGAAGTCACGAATTACAGCATCGCCATCAGAGCCAGATGAAGTAGTTGCCTGGGATCGTCAAAAAAAAACTAAGGCTCCGTTAGCAGCTAAAAGTAGCGAGGGTAATTTCATATTTTAAGACATTTACGGTTTAAAAATTTTTCAATCAAAGAGATATCATGGTTGAAATTTAATTTTAGATCAATATGGACGTTCTAATAGTGGCTTTGTATCATTATTTGTTATCTTAGTGTGTGGTATACTATTTGCAAGCTGGGTTTCATACGCTTACTTCAATCCACATACGCCTTCTGGTCAATTATTGATAAGGGTAAATTCATGATGTTTTTCGTAGTAGAAAAAATGCTCGCAGTTACGAAATTAAATTTTTTTCATTCTGCAGAATATTTGTCGTCGTGTTATTTCTTTTTGTTTTTATCATTAGCTGGCAGTAATAGCCCTTAAACTTGTTTAATAATTGCACCTCACTATGCAAAAGTTTTCAGTATCGTCCATCTAGGTGGCATATGCCATCAAGTCATGTCCGATATAGCGCTTCGGTCCATATGTAAATGGTACCAAGATCCTCAAGATATCTTTGTCTTCAACAATAGAATTGTGTTTCTATATCGAATCTCAGTATTTACTTTTGATGTATTTATCATATTTAAATCTTACTTCATCTATTTATTTGTGATGAAACTTCGTAAATTACCAAGTGTTTCTTTTATTTTTGTTCTTCCTAATTTTTGTAACTCAGTTATCCATGTAACTTTGTGCTTATGTGAAGCACGACTTCAAAAAATTAGAAGGAACTGTTGGGAAATTTATAACAGAATGCTAATATTCGAAAGAATCATAATCATTGTCAGTTCAACCATTAGTCGAAATGGACCAGTACAAAGTTTTTCTAAGTATGTCATTTTTTATTATTCCATTGTAACAGGACATAAAATTTTTTTAAAAATAGCGCATCTTCGCTAACATTTTTTGTTTGTCTAAGATAGCATCTTTACCATTTCAATTCTTTCATAAAATATGATTAACTTAAGCTTTTTCTAGATTACATTCTGCTCATACTATTTTAGTTTTATGAGTTTAGGCCTAATTATTATAAATGAGATGATTCCTTCATATAAATATATATTTTTTGACAGTTGATAAATTTCAGTCTTAAATCTGTTTGTTTCATACTTTTTTCCTCTTATAGAATCAGACTTTTTCATCATCATATTTTTCAAGGTTATTATCTATGTGTCATCAGACAGTGTCAAGTAATGTCTTGCCGTTTATTATAAAACGAAATACTATTTGATGATGCTTTCGATGGATTCACAGAATCACTATCATTGCTATATGCCCTTGAGTTTGTCCATAATTAAGTTGCACCTTCCAAAAGTTGGGTGTGTTGTACATCGCTTCGTTTTATTTGATTATACAGTGACATACTTGAGATGATGTTTGCGTCTACATTATTTGGGTTGATTTTTTCTTGTTAATTGGGCATATTATAAAAAATAGAATTTTGTTTTTTGTGTTTTAATTTATTTTATAATCGCTGTTGACAACAGTCTTTTTGCGGTGACTTATACATTTCTTTGCTGAAGATCGTATAGTTCGATTTAAGATATACAAAGCAAAGGTGATATTAACTTATGAAGTGAATTGAATTGATAATGTGCAAAGCATACTTTATCATTAAGACGATACGCCTAAATGATATGTGTTTAAGTAATCCGTCAATAATGATTATTGGTTTGACGTGAGACAATTTCACATAGCAATGTCGATCTCTAATTGATCATTTATTTTTGAAATACGTAGTTCTGGTTTTGTGAGTATTCGTTGTTCACGTGTGGTTTTCAAATATTTGCTCACTGAACCTCCTTAGTTTAGTACGTATTTCAGAACAATTTCAAGATAGTATCACGTGTTTAAATCTCATGGGCTAGGAACTTGCATATTAAAGTATAGTTAGTGAGTCTGCAGGCTTGTTTGTATCAAATTTTCATTCTCGTCAATACCTTGTAGCATTTCGTGAGCTTGCCTATCAATAATTTAGAAAATGGAAAGTAATCTGGGCTAGTGTTGTGGACGTTTTTGAATGACTGGTTTGGTAGAGCAACTTCTAAACTGCTAAAGACTTCATCCTAAACGTGAAGATTCAACATCTAATTCATGTATTACATGAATTAGATGTTGAATCTTCACG